CCATAGGAGCACATTATGAATGATTAAATTATATTAATTCTAATAGACTATTATAGACCTAATACATGCAGGTTATATAATATACCCTATAGTAATAACATACTATCGCCAAAACAGCCCCTTACCGGGGAACACATCTCTTTTAAGCCTTAAGGAACACAGTAGGCCTATTATTTTATTTCTATTAAGAATACAGATGTATATAATTTAATGAAACTAAAACATTTTAATTAACAAGCATTTCCATGCAAATGGAAGGTACTAGTGATTATTATACTATTGTTATTTCATCATCAAGTCACTCACATCCCAGTGGAAGCAGATGTTGGAGGTTATGGACTATGTGGGCTAAATGGGACACTTATAATTTTATGGCATAAGGATTATGCTATGCCCTTTGCCATTAATGGATAATCAAAGCCTATTTGTATGATTTCTGCAAAAAGTGCATCATAATAAATACCTCAAATGTCTCATCTCTATTGTTCTTATAATTGTAGTCTTCTAACTGGCCTTATAAAAGCAATAGGCATTATGTAGTATGCATAAACTGGGCGTTAGCCACTTAGCTCCGCAGCTAATCTAGGATACTTTGTGCTAAACAACCTGTGGCCAGCTGTAACTCTTCCCAGTATTGACTCACCACGGCCCTGTCTCTTCTGTGGACAATATAGTTGCTGTAGATTTTCTGAACAAGTGGCTGCAGCACACATTCGCGTTAGCTTTAGCGTTAGCTCTGCTGCTAAACTAGGCTGCTTTGTGCTATGTGGTGACAGTGAAAACTCTCTCCTACCTCCGTGCGGGTGTCTCTCCATGCCCTGTGTCCCTCTGCGCGGCTGCTCCTCTCCTGTCTCCTTTGTGGATGTATAATTACTGCAGAAATGCATAAACTTCCCCTTGACAGAAAAGACGCTCTGTTGTCCTTCCCCACGGAGCATGCGCAGTGCTGACTTTGTGTGTGTGTGTATCATTTTCCCGCGGTTGTGTATAATTCCCCTTTTTCCCGCGCGGGAGAAACCCACCACTAGGGGCAGTGGCGGACACACAAATTTACCACTTTTCTCAGGTTTCTGGATTAAAAAGACTTTTGAGAAAACCACTTTTTAGGCATTAAAAAATGCATAGAAAACGATTTAGAATGTAATTTTTATGAGGACAGCAAATTGTCCTCCTTACTCGGAGAAAAGTCTTGAAAATCGGCCTCGTAAACCAGAACACACACACACACACACACACACACACACACACACACACACACACACACACACACACACACACACACACACACACACACACACACACACACACACACACACACACACACACACACACACACACACACACACACACACACACACACGTTTTTGTTACCTGGTGGGTCCCTTTGACAGGGCCGTTCAGAATGGGACCCATAGACATAATCTTTTTTTACCAAGACTTTAAGTAATACAAAACAGTCAATAGAAACTAAACAACTATTTTAAAGGAATTTTATTTTAGATTTTGTTTTCGAATTGCAGTGATTCTATTTTTGACATAGAATTTAATGCCACTCCATGTCCGATGTCTAAGGTCATCTGGTGAGGCATTAATGCAGGCCAGGCAGTGAGACTTCCCAGGGACCTTTCCAGTCTGTATGAAAGGTGTCATGGTCTTCTCCACAGCCTTCACCTCAGATGCAGACCATGGCTTTCTTACACGTTCTAGGGAGAGAAATAAAAATATATTAGCAATATACACTCCCAGGGTGAGGACCAAGCAGCCTGGCTGTAATCCCCCACCTGGTACACTTACCAGAAGGGGCACTGCCACTACCATGGGGTGCATCTGGATGAATGGTTGAAGGTTCTCCGCTTGAAGTTTCTTTTAGCCCGTCCGTTTGTGAGAGGATCTCTACTGCTCTCCCTGTCGCACAGAAAATAAAAATACAAGTGGCCTTTAGGGGAAAAAAATCATACATATTTTAATAATATCAAGAATTACCTTCAGGCTCAATTTGTATCTGGTCGAGGCTCTTTCCTTCGAATTCCGTCACTCTTCCCTGCTCCATGGCCATCAACACTTTGCTGATTTTGGCCAGCTCCAGTGTCCCCTCTGGTAGTCTGTAATATTGCCTGTGGATGCGAATGTCATGGCCGAGGAAGTTGGCAAGTATGTCCATCTCATTCTCTTTCATATTGAGAACTGTAGACATAGTAGCTATGTGCTTTCTAAGTTTGGTTGAGGATAGCATCTCTGGATGCACCGCACCACATTCTTTGGCTACCTGGCGTAGGGAGTCTGATCCCCTGATGTGGGTGTCTGCGCCCGGGCGGGAAAAGAAGTATGGGTTATGGTCAGAGATGGAACAGGCCCTTCTGTTCTCCACCAGCACCTCCATCGAAGCAATCATTTCAGGAGTCAAAAGAACCGGCACTTTCCGACTTCTTTTCCCTTTAATTTCAATGCGTTGAAAATGCTGACACAGCTTTTTCTCAAGTTGGGACAGTCCCAGAGCAATGTCAGAATGGATCCCAGTCTTACTTCTTAAGGTAAAGGCTGTCAGTGGCATCTTTGAAACCTCACCTTCCCTTCTTCGATTGAAAATGATGACCTCACAAAGAGTCAAAACTGCCAGTTTAGACCAATGCTTAGACGTTGGCTCACTTATTAGGGTTTGCACATATTCAGGTCGACATACCTCAATATGTGCATGCATGGCTCTAACGTCCTCAGTCAGAGGGAGCAGGTCCGGAGTGTTCCACTTGGCTTGCCGGAGGGTCTGTAGGGCAGCAGAAGAAACACAGACGTCCCACCTCTTCTCAAAAAGCAGCCGGCTTCGTTGGAGGTTTTTAATAAATAGTTCATCAACACAATGCTCCATTTTTGAGTCACATTCAAGAATATCTGCTAGCTTTCTGAGGCTATGGCCGAGTTTGAGGGCCAAGGATGGAGTCTTGTATTGATTTGTTTCCTCATCATATCCAGCCACAGACCTGACTGCATCAATCACATGGTTAAAGTTGGAAGGAATAAAGAAATCCTTAATTGTTTTCAGTTTCCCTGCGGTTTTTGCTTCGTTAATTAACCTACCGACTTCTCTCATTTTCTGCCTAATGTAATCATGCTTTGTCTTATCATGCCCGTGTTTTAAGTACAGGTGCTCTCCGAGTCTCAGAATCCCCTTTTCTGCTTTGACAACACCCGTGACCTCATCCTGATGCATTGCCGAAATTAAAGACCACAGCTTTTTGCTGATGCCCTCCGGTACAGGCTGGGCTAGGGAGCAGAGGGACTGGACCCTACTTCTACCTGGTTTAGCCTGGGCATCTTTCTGTGAAAGCCGGCACCTGGCCACATGCCTCCACAGCGACTTTCGCTTAAGCAATGCCCCACAGTCTATACAGTGCAAAAACTCACTGGATTTAACTGGGCAATTTGGCTGTTTAGCTGGGACTAAAGTTCCAATGCCGGCCTTTAAAACCTCAAAATTGTGCTCACGGTTTCCACTATTCCTGATCAAATCAAACTGAAGTTTACGTGCTTTAGATTTCACAGGTAGAGCCAATGCTCTGGCTACGTCACTTTCATTTCCATGTTTTCTAGTCAAATGACGGGACATTTTGTGGCAGGACATTGAACAGTAGAGGCAGAAGTGTCTCTTGCTATAAACTCGCCCCCCATTTTTCTTCTTTTGCAGCTGCATGATAACAATCTTATTTGCCTTTGGTTCGTCACTTTCCGAGTCTTGAAGAAAAGTGTTTTTGATTTTTCTTTTTCCATACTTTTTTACAGGTTTCTTCTTGACAGTTAAATTGTCAGAATCTGAGTCGACTTCATCAATTAGGGACTCTTGACTAAGCTGCACAAACAACAAATAATTTGTAATCATTCTATATAACAATTTGAAGTCATGACTTGTAGTCAGCACTTACCAGTGGTTTGTAAGCGTGCGCTTCAGTGTGCTCCTCCATGATTTCTTGCAGCCCAATGAACCACACACTTGCACCTTTTTCTAGCCTGACACCTGATTTCCTCTGTTGTGCTGCTCCATGATTGGCTCCAGCCTGCTGGACTGAAATTGCCCCAGTGTGCCCCTCCTTGATATCCCGCAACCCACCACCAGGGTTCCGACACATAACACACTTTTTTCAGGAAAGTAAACCTCCAGGGGTCCTTTCCATATTTTTACAGAGACTGCATAAGGACCGTTAGAAAAGCATTACCCATTGATTATTAAGCTTGGACCAGTGGGGTCCGGTGTTCGGGCCCCACCACGTAAAACCAGTCCCCATGACGTGAGTGGAATCTCAGGTTATGGAACCCACCAGGAGTTGAAAACAAGTGCACACACACACACACACACACACACACACACACACACGCACACACACACACACACACACATACACACATACACACACATACACACACATATACACACATACACACATACACACATACACACATACACACATACACACATACACACATACACACATACACACACACACCCACACCAGTAAAACAATAAAACCATGATGAGAGACTTGGCAGGGTTCAGATGCAACCAGCTGAAAAAGCATCATCCAAGGAGCCGTCTGCACCAGGAGCAGAGAGCCGCCCGTAGCCACAAGGGACGACACAGGACCCAGAGGAGACATGAAACCGAGGCCCCAGGCCCCCACCAGGCCCAAGAGTCCGACCCCCGCAGCCACACCGACCACTGCTCCCAGTGCAGAGGGCTCCTCCAGAGGAAACACTGGGTACACTAAAAACAATACAATAAGTAAAACACTAAAATGTGAGACTAAAAGGAACACACAATACATGAATAATAGCAATAGCAATATAATAAATAATAAATAATAAAAGATAAATAGAATTGAATAATAAAAACTAATCAAAAGCTAATCTAAAAAGGTGCGTCTTGAGCCTGCTTTTAAAAATATGAATGTTCTCTGCGGCCCTGAGCTCCTCCGGCAGACTGTTCCAGAGACGGGGGCCGTAGTGCTGGAAAGATGCCTCGCCGTGAGTGTGTGTCCTGACTTTGGGGATGGTTAGAAGTCTGCTGCCGGAGGAGCGCAGGGGCCGGGAAGGTTCATAGGATAAAAGCAAATCTGAAAGATAAGAAGGCCCAAGACCATTAAGACATTTAAAAACCATTAAAAGAACCTTAAAATCGATTCTGAAACACACGGGGAGCCAATGCAGCGATTTTAAAACCGGTGTAATGTGGTCCCGCCCCCTGGTCTTAGTCAGGACACGTGCGGCCGAGTTTTGGAGTAATTGAAGACTGTTCTTCAATGTTCTTTTTGGGAAGACCAGAGAGCAGGGCATTACAATAGTCAATGCGACTGGTGATAAAATATGGGTGATAAAATATGGGGGTCGCGGGCTAAAAACTTTGGGAACCCCTGTATTATATCATTGCAAATTTTGTGTCAATTTTTGATTCTCTGATCTGTGTTGGCAAATTCAATGGTTTTGCAATTTTCTGTTGCCATACAATGTTATGTGGATAAGTGCACTGTGCCCTTCGACACGGGTCTAAAAACACGCCTCATGTGTTCATACTGCTGACTCTGCTTCATGAGTCCGCAGTGTGAAAATGTCTGGTACAGCCCCTTCTTTAATTTAACTTGTTTTCTCTATTCTCGCGTGTCTTTCTCAGCCCCGTCCCCTCAGAATGACCCCGCCCCCACCACGTTGCCGACAGATACGCCATCCAATCACAGCTCCTCTCCCCCGGCCTCTCCTGCAGCGGTGACCAATCACAGTGTGGCTCCACTCAGCGCGGTCATCCAGCCCCGCCCATCTCCTGCAGACAGCGTTTTCATTGGTACGTTTCCGTCTCGTGACTCAAAACACATAATTATATAAACTATTCATTTCCTCTCTTTTTATTATTATTATTATTATTATTATCTTATTTGAGAACATTTTTTCATTCAAGAGCCCTCAGCGTCAGTATTTGACTATTAGGGTGGGACAGTGACTTTGTGGATATCCCTCGCTTCTCAGCCAGAAGGTTGGCACAGGTGTCCTCCGGGTGTTCCGGTTTCCCCTAAACACGGGCGCTGTTTCTACGGCAACCTGACAGAGGCCCTCGTGGCATTTGCAGGATGGGACAAAGTTCCCTACGAGGATAAATGAAGTGCAATTTAATTACTTATTTGGGCTGAAAAAGCTGATCTATTGATACTTGTGTTAGTGAAAATGTTTTGAGACAGAGCGAAAGGTATTTCACATAGTTTTTTTGTGGATTGAGAGTTGGGTAATCCAGCTTTAACGGATAAGAGACAAAATGAGAATTTGAACAGTTTGTACTATCGCTATGTGTTGTTTTTTGAGAAAGTCACAAGTGAAACCAGACAGAATCAAAATGTTAACCACTGAAAGAGAGACAGAGAGCTGCAGTGAAGCTGAGTGTATTCATGAGCTGTTTTATGCAACATTCTGAGGACTTTCACAAGTTGATGCAATATTTTGAATTCATTTACAACATTGTGTTGGGACAAACATAACATGAATGAAATGTGAAAAAGCTGTCAGACTGTACAACGAGAACTGCTGAGTCTGTACATGTGCCATTCACCTGTTCTGATCATCACTTTACCTGCTGCCATTATTACTGTGGTTTATTCCACTAAAGCACAATATAAACTGATAAAGTACATTATAAACATCTGTAAATATCTTCTGATGCTGCTAATACTGTGCAGACTCCACAAGTGACGTATCCTTGAAACAATTGCAATTATGGTTCCATGGTTTTCTTTTATTATTTCATTATCTATTATCTTAAATAATAGATCCTGTTTGATGTGTGCAATCTGAGTGCTCGTATTTCCTTGTTTTGATTCTGCTGTAATGTGCAACTATGAAATTGACATTTTCCACTGATTCAGATACAGAATACTTTATTGATCCCAAAGGGCAATTCATTTGCAACAGAATCTCAGAGCAGTACACGGGGCGGCTCGGTGGCTGAGTGGATAGCATTCTCAGCAAGAAGGTCCTGGGTTAGAAGGTCCTGAGTGGGGTTTGCATGTTCTCCCCGTGTCTGCGTAGGTTTCCTCCGGTTTCCACTACCACTGAAAACACTTACAATAGTTCTGGCATTCGCCTCCTGTTTGGCAACCTCGCTCCCATCTCTGTGGAGTGAGAGACAAATACCCCAAAAAAAACTTGACTCTGGTCTGTGAAAGGCGCTTAATAAATGAAATGACTTACTTTCACAGACAAACACACAGAGTCAGCAGCAGGTTACAAAATAAGTTAATGCAATAAAATTCCCAAAGGCCAAACACCTCTACCAAAGTCCCACAATTTTATGGCAGAGGAAAACAAATAATTGGAAAAACGGTTCATTTTCTGAGCTGGAGAATTCAAACAACGCCCTTGAGGCGTCATTACAAAGTCAGCGATCAGAGAATGTTTTGGACTGAGCCAAAATACACTTTGCTTTATCCAGCACCTGTCCCTCCCACAAACAGTGAAGGTCTCTGAGATTTCCTCCATTGATTTTTGGAGCTTTCACAATAATCTGTAGCTTGTTTTTGTCCAGTTCCAAAAGCTTGACGCTTATGAACAAATTAAGGTTTATCTTATCTTAATGAAAAGTTATATCTTGTTCTTATTCTATCTAGTAATCAGGAGTTATGTTCATGCACTTAAAAGTGCGTCACCCGGAGCCTGGAGCTTGGAAACTATCTCCGAAGTTCATCTGAAAAGTGTGTAATCCAGCGCGGATCCACCCGATGGAACGCAAAACAACCTCTTTGTGCCGCAAATGTCCCCGATTTCCAACGCTCCTGAAGGCGACTGCAGCGTGTTCCCATGACCCATAAAGGCAGCGCACATGTTTATTCACAACTGCTGCGGAGACGCCTCAGCAGCTGAACTTAGAGCTCTTGTGGATTTCTTTTTGCAGTTTATTTTGTTTTTTCCAGTTTTTTAAGATTTCTTTTTTGTATAGATATAAATTCAAAGGTTTAGTTCTTTGTACAGTAAAAAGCAGGAATCACACTTTGGCTTGTTTTATTTATTTTTTTGCTTTCATCTCTGTGCTATTCAGTCCACTTTTCATCTTTCTTACCTTTTTTCAGTTTTGATACAACTTGAATTTACTTTTTATATGCTTATAAATGGGTGCAGTTCTGTTTTCTGTAAACTAACTATGGTTTAAAAGCAGGACTTGTTTGCATTCGTTTTTGAGGATTATTTCTTAATTTTATGACTAATTTTCCCTCAAGTTATCCACTGTCCATCTCCTTTTTAAATTTCGTAAATTTTTCACTTTTTGATTCAACCTGACCCAACTTTTTGAGTGATTCATCTGATATTTTTGAGTAGTAGCCGTTTTATCAATAGTTTTTAAACCATTTTCGACCCTGAACTGTCAACGACGTTTAGTTATCTCTGTGGTACGTTCATTAGTGGAAAACCTCTCTGGTGTTTTTCGAGGTCCCATGATGCTTTGAGACGCCGCAGCAGTATTCTTCGGCCCACGTTTCCGGCGTCGAAGATGTCGTCCGGGCGCCGCTCTGCTCTGGGCTTTTCTCCGCTGACTTTCTGCATGTCTCTGTTCTCAGTGATGAGCAGCGTCTTCATCGTCACCGGATCAGTGGCGCTGATGATCGCAGGGGCCTGTTGGGTCAGGTAAGAATGACAAGGCAAGGCAAGTTTATTTGTATGGCACAATTCATACACAAAGGCAACTCGATGGGCTGAACAAAACAAGATGGAGATGGTCACACAAGGCATTACAATCATAAATAATCAACGGTAAAGATAAATTCCCTCAGTTGTATGCAGGTTGAAACAGAACTGCTTCAACCTGGATTTGAGGCTGGTCTCACATTTTCAGGGAGACTGTTGTTAATAATACATAATACAATTTATTGCACCTTACCAGGAAGCCTCAAAGTGCTACAGATCGAAATACAGGACAGCAAACAAACAAAGAAAAACATCAGAAGTTCATAAAACGTAACAAACAAAATAAAAAAAAGCTCAAGTTCCTTTTATTTGTAAAGAAGATAAAATTGTGTTTGTGAGAGTTGGTCCCAGACACTCATTCAATCGGTCCACAAGGGGTAGATGACCTCAGAAGGAACAACTAAAAAAAAAACATTGGGAAAAAAAGGTTTTTGGGGATTTATGTGGAAAATCTCTGTCCTGTAGGAAGGACTTAATTATTGTTTAGTTGGCTGATTTTTCTTTCGATTAATTGGTTGGTTTAGATCCAGAAAGTTCAGTGAATATGAGCTTCTTTACACTTTTGACCAAAACAAAGCTCAATTAATGTTTCCCCTGGAGAACATCGTCATAGAGATGAAGACATTGAGTTATTTTATGAAAAATACTTTGTGCAGTCATTACAGAATTATCTAAGACATAAAACCTCTTCTCAGAATGATTTAAGTAGATGGAAGGTTCACAAACGATTAATTGATGAGTATTTTTTCGTGATTTTTCATTTAGTCATTCTTAGGATTTAAGGAGGAGGCGAGGAAAGATATTTGGGATGAGTCTATAATAGAGACCCTCCCCTGACCCGCTGTTCTCTGCTGCCCCTGCAGGTTACAGAGGGGAGTGCGTCTGTCGCAGAAAGTGGACTATCCTCCTTATGGACTCATGAGACCACACACCTTCAACAACCAGGCAAGTCCTACTCATATAGAGTTAGCTATAGACCAGAGCTATAGTAGAGGCTTAAAGGGACACAGCCTGATTCTGTTCTCTATAATATGATTCTCTATGATACATACTAGTTTTAACATTAAGCTAAAACTTTAATTGAACTTTTGAAAAAAATTAACCAGTCGTGTTGCTCCTCCTTCAGTTTTCTTATGCCATTGAGACCTGACCCTTTGGCAGAGAAGTCAGTAAAGAATCAAACTGACTTTCTTAGTCACTGTCCCAGTGTTGAGCAGCAGGTGCAAATCTGATATGTTTCATTTTTAATCAATAGCAAGATTTTAAAAACACCAGAAGTAACATAATAGTTTTCTGGATAAAACACAGAAAAAAGTATTGTTTAAATTTGTTAAAGAAGATATAACCCAATTCTGTCCTACGATCAACGTTCATTCTTTTTTTTTTTTTTTTTTTTTTTTATTCATTTATTTGACAGGGACAATGTAGTCATACATAGTTACATTATGAAAATGCAGCTGATGCGACACATACAGAGTGTATAGCTAATGCTAATTTTCAACTCCTGTCCCTGGTTGAGCTTTTCCCTACAGTGCAACAACATTAAACATTGAGCTAAAACAATGTTGTGTCCTTAGCCCCTCCCTTTTGTCATGGAAACATGCTCAAATGTATGTCTCTGCTCCTTCACTTCACAAAGTTGCGTGATCATGTTTTTATTAGATATTGATTGGGTGAGTCAGGTCCTCCACGTCTCACGGATTTATAAAATAAAACTGCCAAAGAAAGTAGATGAAACCCAGAGGAGGGGCGAGGTGACATAGTCTGAGGACTGAGGGGAGAGCAATGGCGGTGCACATATGACCTCAAACATGCTTAAATCATGCTAAAAATAGCTCTGTGTGTAAATGACTGGAAAACAACAGTAAAATGGCCAAAAGATGCGAAACGTTGATTCTACAAGTTTTTTGTCTCCTTTAATATTTGACTTAATTCCATTGTGCTTGTGCTTCAGCCCGGTGACAGGCGGCTGGTGCAGAGCGCTCAGATGTATCACTACCAGCACCAGCGGCAGCAGATGCTCTCCCTCCACAAGTGAGCGACCACCAAGAGACTGTGCTCAGATAATCCACACATTTACTTCATCCTCTCCACAAAGCTCAGATCGATGACTTACAACTAATCAAAATTTGAAATGACTCATGCAGTAATTTTATACATGTTTTTGAACCACATACATCGAATTGTTTGGTTTTATGACTAAGATAGAATTGTAATTACTTGTTAGTACTTTAACTCATAAATATTCCCGGTACATTCTGTGTCTCCCCAACATCTCAGTGTTACAGTATCTTACCTTGTTATTACATCTGTGTTTGTGTTTGCGCAGACACAGGGAGAGTCCCAAAGTCCCCGACTCTGGAGCTTCCACAGACGATGACAACGAAGACGGAGACTTCACGGTGTACGAGTGTCCAGGACTTGCTCCGGTGAGTGTCCTGGAGCAACGGTAGAGCACAGGGAAATGAAAGAGGACATTAAAACCAAGGTTACCTATATAACTACGGTTCTATGAATCTATGAATGAGGGATGAAATAGAACTGGAATTAAGTTTTATTTCTTACTCACACACTGTATGCATACTGTATGGACAGTGCTTACTCAAGAGCTCAATGAAGCCCAATGAGGTTCTGCCTCTTATTGACTCACATTGTAGAGTCAAGTCCTTTAAAGTACATCATGGTTCAGCTCTCTCTGTAAATCCAGTCATGAGCCTTAACAACTGACCAATCAGGAGCCCTTAGTCCTTGCATTTGACTTTTGCAAGTCGGTTTGTCGGTTGTTTCATTTTAAAAAGTAATGAGTTTCACCACTTGGTTACTCCAAGTGTTGGCTGAATGCGAAAGAAGCAGATTTGAACATCAGCTAGCTGGAGGCATCCATCCATCCATTTTCTTCCACTCAATCCATTGCCGGGTTGCGGGGGCAGCAGTCTTAGCAGAGACACCCAGACCTTCCTATCCACACACATTTCCTCCAGGTCATCTGGGGGAATCCCAAGGCCGCCAGCTGAGAGACATAATCCCTCCAACATGTCCTGGGTCTTCCCCTGGTGCCCGGAACACCTCCCCAGGGAGACGTCAACTAGTTCCTTTTGACGTGGATAAGCAGCGGCTCTACTCTGAGGTCTTCCCGTGTACCTGAGCTCTTCATCACTATCTCTAAGGGAGCGCCAAGCCACCCTTGGCTAGCTGGAGCCAATTTCTTTATATGGGCATTTGTTTTTCTGACAGTGTTAGCTGTAGCGAGGACATGTTTTTGACATGGTTTCTAAGGCACATCAGGGATCTGATTGGTCAAATCTTATATGGTTTGTATCTGGATTTACAAAGACAACATCACTGTATATACACCCGGTCATTGAGGGTGATAAACCATAGATAGAGTTTACTTTTTAATAAATGACCTGATGAAGGTTATAATGGCTGATTAATGAGTGTGCAATGCTTTCTTGATGCATTTTCTTTTCATTGAGAACTTTTTGGTGTGCAATACCATATCTTTAATGAGAAAAAAAACACTTAAAAATAACATAAATAAATTAGATACATTTTGTTCGTAGTAAGATGCTAGGACTCATAATGTTGTTTCGTTCTTTTTCTGCTCAGACCGGAGAGATGGAGGTGAAGAACCCGCTCTTCGACGACTCCACGCTGTATTTCCACAGATTTCACAAATGATAAATCTGGCGGCATATTAATTTTACTGTCAGTCACTGTCTGCCTTCTACCATGACACGGCGCCCCCTAGCGTTACACCGACAGAAATACAGACGTGTACAGGTATTTCTAAAACCAAGCTCAGTTCTGGAGTTAAAACCGGACTCGTTAGGTCTCGCGTTTTGATGTCAAGCTGTTCCAAACTTTTATAAAGTTGTCTATTGTCAAAAAGCCTCTTACGCTTTGGAAGTACAGACTTTCTAGATGCCTTCACTGACCCCGGGACCACAGCGCCCCCTGCTGTGTAACTCATGATGCCTTCAGGAGCGCTGGGACACTCTGGACCAGTGCATGTTTTTAAGATGCCTTCACTGTCATCATAGACGTAACTAGGGATGGGCGATATACTGGGTTCTGACGATTATGTAACCATATATCGGCAATCGCACGATATTTGCCATTTTTTTATTATCTATAAAACTTCCAAAATTCATTTTATTCTATTTAAAATTAGGGTTTCCTTTTAAATATTAAAGGAGACATCAAATGCAAAACTTTTTTCTCCCTTTTAACCTCATTGACTTGACTTGACTAAAGCAGGACTAAAGCAGGACTAAAGCAGGTATAAAGCAGGACTAAAGCAGGACGAAAGCAGGACTAAAGCAGGACAAAAGCAGGTCTAAAGCAGGACTAAAGCAGGACAAAAGCAGGACAAAAGCAGGACAAAAGCAGGACTAAAGCAGGACAAAAGCAGGACAAAAGCAGGACAAAAGCAGGACAAAAGCAGGTCTAAAGCAGGTCTAAAGCAGGACTAAAGCAGGACTAAAGCAGGACTAAAGCAGGACTAAAGCAGGACTAAAGCAGGACTAAAGCAGGACTAAAGCAGGACAAAAGCAGGACAAAAGTAGCTCTAAAGCAGGACTAAAGCAGGACTAAAGCAGGTCTGAAGCAGGTCTAATGCAGTAATGCAGGTCTAAAGCAGGACGTTGTTCCCTCATCAAAAACAGACCTGGAGTTGTCTGGAGGTTCTGGCACAAACATACCACAGGCTAAAAGCATTTTAAAACCCACCTCTTATTTAACCATATATAAATGTTACTTATAGATTATTACACATTCTAAAACATTTAGTGAAGCACAATATTTCTTTAACTAAAACACAAATAGACATATTTGCAAATTCGTAATATATTTGGAGGCCCCCGAAGGACTGGGATATCATGATTAGTAAAGTTTATTATTGAGGATAATAATACATTTTATTTATATTTACACCTTTCATTTCCAGGAAACCATTAAGTGCTACAGATTAAAATACAAAACAAAGCAAAAGCATCAGAAGTGCATTAAATATCAAAAAGAAACATGAATGGGTTAAGAGCTCATAAAATCCATAGTAGGTCTAAAACCAGAAGAGCATTATGGGTATCAGCAAATATCAGTTATCGACCCATCCCTACAGTAATCAGTACATGTGTAGTTTGATGCTAATGCTATGCTAATATTGTAACATTCCACATAATCAAGATGTTTTCCAGTGCCAACTCATCCCCCACTCGTGACGATCTCTCTCTTATGGATTTATTAGACTGTTTAGCTAGCATCCGAGCTAACTGCTTTCAATGGAGATAGATGACAGATATGACTTGCTTTGAGAAGACCTCATCCGTGCAGTTAATTCTTTGTCATCTTAAAGCGGCTCTATGTACAAATCCAACTCCTCCCTCTGGTGGTAGCATAGGGAGTTGCAGGCGGATAGCATTTTTGTGCCCCTTAATGCTTGTTTCACCATATATTTTCTACATCGTATTTTTTGCAGTCCTAAACTATGCATTTTTAAAGGGTCAAGATTAATACATAAAATATCTTAATTAAAGAACATAGCAAATGCCATCTGCCAAAAAAGCAGAATAAAAAAAAGTTAGATTAGTGTATTATTTTTGTCGCACTGCACCTTTAAAGTCCATACCCAATTCTTTGTTTCCCGGTAATTGGCCAAAATCTGTTTTTTACTCAAGTGCTATGTTGCAAAAGTATCTCTTGTTGTTACAAAGAGATGATATATTTATGTACTGAATGTTTTATTGTATGATTTGATATAGAAACTGGCTGTGCTCCGCTAATGTGGCTATCTCCTGTTAGCTTGTGAAAAATGGCAGTGGCTATTTATAAGCCTGGACTGCTGCAAACTATTTAAAACTAATTGTATTTGATTTTTTTAAAGTCAGTTTGTGGATGAAATACACGTTTTATTGAACTTGAGCCTTGAGTTATAACTGCAATTTTTACTGTACTATGAGAGTTGTATAATTTATTAGATATTTATAATATTAGAGTGGTCTTTTTGTAGCAATGGGCAGGAATTTTACGCTAACTCTGAGATAAATGTCTAGTGTCGCCACACAAGTCGCTGAACGATTTGGGGAAGAAATTACAAATCAAAAATCATGATTTTCCAAATACAAAAACTGTGTTGATAACAAACAATATGTTATGGCCAGCCTTAATAACTGTGCTATTTAAGCCAATCACAGTGAACGATGATCAAAATGAGTGTAACTGGTGTCTTTCCATTCACTAAACTTGAGATTGTCATTATTCGATCTTTCAATTTTTGACACAACTCTCTGCATTAGACCAGGGGTGTCAAACTCTTTCAAACTATAGAAGAGATTTCCTTTTATTATCATAGTTATAAAGATATTTTAACATGACTTTAATGTGACATGACACTGTTTTCTGGTTTATTTCTCTGAAAACAAAGTGTGTTTATTGTTAAGATTGAACCAAAACTGGATCAAATATAAAGTAAAAACATGTTGTATAGAACTATTTAACCTCTAATTATGTGTTATTGGGTTCAAATGTTAGAATACATTAAATTTAGTTTTTTTCCCCTGAGAAAATAGATGATGCCTTGGTCACCCATTACCGTCAATGCTGCTAGTTAATAAAAATACAACATAATTTTAGGGGCCACTAAAAATTGTCTCTCGGATTTGGCCCCGGGCCTCGGCTTTGACACCCATGCATTAGACTAATGCTGGTCTCACACATGAACATACATTCATTCTTAGCTGGTACCAAATCCAGACGCATCGCTCTCTTACGCTGCTCATTCCCAGTGGTTTTTTTTATTTCCTCTGGACTGAGAGAAAGTGATGATCCACAAATGACTTGGACTAATCAACAAATCAAATTAAAATGGTAAATAGTAGCCAAACGGTTTCATTAGATCATAGAGTTAGATAAATATGTCAAAAGGTGTTTATACAAATAACAATAGTGATGGTACTTCAGGTTATTTTTTCATGAAGGGAAAGAGCTGCTCATAGCGACCTCTGTTCTTTGTGCCCAGTTTTCTTTTTCTCTTCATTCTTTTGTTTCTTTTTAAAGACATTTTATACATTATTCCACTACATGTTGTTTCTGTTTCAACGTGATTTTAAAACATGAAAATCAACAAATTCATAAATGTTTGTTTTTATTAGATGTATTGCTATGGAAGGCCTAGTATGTATTGCATTTTATTTTGATTATTTATTATATATATATATATATATATATATATATATATATATATATATATATAATATATATATAATATTACAAACATACATAACATACAAACAATCAAAGGTAGACCTTAAACTCCCTCTACTTTCTATGCATGGACTTTCGTGGCTGACCTCTTGAAACTGATTTGTTGCTGAAAAGTGAAAATGTAAATGACCTCTGTTTAGTCCACACTGTATATTCTGCTGAGTGTCCTGCTCTTTTACCTCTTTCCTCTTTTACCTCATCCGCTGCTTCTGGTGCTGGTTCTGATCGGGTTTTGCCCTTTGTTTATTTCCTGAACTTTGAATTCATGAATCAGACTTGTTGCAAAGAGGAAGTAGTGTTTTCATTAAGTCCAATTAGTTTGAGCCTTAGAGGCAGGTATATGTAGATGGACAATGCTAACCCTCTAGCTCAATGAAGCCCAATAGGGAAGTGCTCATTAGCAAAGTTTTGCGCCAACTCGTTCTGGCTCCTATTGACCTACATTGAAAAGTAAGCTCCTCCAGTTCAAAAATCTGTGGTTTAGCTCTCTGTGTAATCCTTATTATATATTTTGAAATTGGCTTTTTGTAAGTCCAGGTATGAGCCAAAAGGATCAGATGTCTGCATTTGTGCGGCAAACTCCAGCTTGGCTTTTTCAACCATCTTAGCAACAAGATGATGTGAAGCTAACCTGTCGCTATAAAGGAAGTCCCAAGGAAACTATACGAATAAAAACATCAATGTGTATTTGAGTTGAGTTTCTAAGTTCTCTTCCACTTTTACTAGTTATTATTATTGGATTCTGAGTCTCTAAATGAAGCTCATTTCCACAAGGATCTGTGCTGTACGTCCAGGAGTAAAATCTCTCTCATGAATGGTCTTTGAACTCATGGGTTTACCATCAAGATTGTCTCTGTGAAAGGAGAGAAACCCTCAATACATTCTAGAACTTCAGGTTCTTCTTTCTGAATGTAGCAAAGAATTGGACTAAAACCTGGTCTCTGGTCAAAGGAGTTTTGAATAAAAACAACAAATTTAATGAATCTTTTTTTATTCAACACATCTCATAATTTCATACTTTTGACTTTTTGACTTTTATCTTTTGTATTGAAATAATTCTTGAACAGAAGCATTTGTTATGAGCTGCTGATGCATGATGTGCAAACTCAAATAAATATTTATATACAGTAATCATGTGGATGGTGCTGTTTTCATTTCAACAAAACTGTTGCATGTAAATTTACAGGTAAAACAATTTCACATTTATTTGGATTCTATCAAAATTATGAAACTGCTCAAAGCCAATAATGTCTTCTTTAGACATTGGATTGAAATGTATAAAAAATGAAAGCTTTTACAAGAAGAGATGGATTTTAGCACATAGTGCATTGTTTTTTGTGCAGGTAGTTGAAGCAGAGACGACATTGCTTCACTAACTCCTATTGTTCTATTGACTTACATTGAAAAGCCTCAGTCCTGCACCGCGAGGCCTCGGCCCTCGTTCTACAACCTGAGTCCTGGATCTATAGACTGTCTGTGTGGGAGTGGATCTCTCCCTCAATGTGGGCCTCCCCGAGGTTTCTGATTTTTTCCCTCTGGGTTTACAGAGTTTTTCCTTCCTGATGCAGGAGGGTCTAAGGACAGTGGTGTTGATCCAGGAGACTCGACATTCATCCTCATTTATTAAATGTATTAACAATTTAAAAGATACAAGAGCCAGAAAAAGACATTGGTCCTCCGTCGCTCATGGACCAATGGCTCTTTGTTTTTTAATCATTGCATTTCCTGTGTTTGAAGTCTTAGTTCTGTGCACCCCTGACTATTAACAGACTATTACTATGGATGTGTATGAACCAAGCGTGGGAGAGATGACAGAGACAGAAAGAAGCATATTGTAGTAGTATTGTAGCATGTTGTATCGAACAGCGAGGTCCTCCTTTCTTCATGCACACTAGAATAATACAAACACATTACACATTCTTCCCATGGCTGTAAAAGAAAGCTTTTAAAGTTTGTGCAAGATTGAACAGTGAATCAGTAAATCCTTAATTTCCAAACATAAACATGAAATGACTCCAACAGTGTCAGATAACTGTCAAACACAGTTTCAGAGTTTTTGTAAAACCTGAACAAACAAGTTTAGTGGAACAGCAAACTTCTGCTCAGGAGCCGTCCACATTTCAGGTCAAACTGTTAGTTTTCTTTTGAAGCTGCTGAGAGCCATGCTCCTCTGCACCCGGCAGTACATTCTTCATCATGGCTCGGAGTTGGTGACTGTAAAAATGAATAGACAAGTAATGAACAAAGATACGACAGTGTGTCTCCTTGAACATAAATGAAACATAAGTGTGCATTTACGTGCAGTTGAAATGTCCAGTTTGTGGGTGCGTTGTGAGCCACATGTTGCCCATTGTTGTTGGACGCAAAGACAAGCACAGACTCGGCTTTTGTTCCGAATGCTAATTCTAAAGCTAACGCTAACAGTGGCCGTCTCTGTGTGTCACCAGTGATGAGAAACTCCGTTGTTACGGCCCCACGGACCTCGTCATGTGAGTCCAGCGCAACCAAACTTATCTGAGAGCGAGAAACCAAAGTTATGTGGATTTTATTATATTGTAATTTTATTGTTTGTTTCAAACTTAGGGACTCCAGCTTTAATTCAATCGCAGTGTAATTCATTATTTGTATTTTTGCAGTTCACCAACAAGATTGTTATGAATAATAGTTTTGACACAAATTAGCAACTATTTACAGAAAGTTGTGTTCAAAAGTAGGTTATCAGTAAATACATGAGTGATTCATTACAGTCTATGGTTAAAACACGCTCAGATCCACACACGTTCTTTTCTGTTCCTTTCGACACGTTGTTAGTGTTCAGATGTTTGGCCATAATATAATAGTAATAATAATAATTAAATCAGACTGGACTAACCCTGCAGCAAGATCTGTGTCCAAAGAGGCAGTGACTCACTCTTGTCTTGTTTTCACAGATGGTACTTTATGTGTTTTCAGTACAAATTAAAAATGTAATTAAAAAAAGATTCTGTTTTTATACATTGTAAAAAATCTAGATGGTGTCAAGAAGAGTCTTGAAACACAATATCTGTCATTGTTTTTGCGTAGATAAAACAAAGACCGATCAGAATGCAAAGGATGGAAATATGATATTGTATGTGTATAAGTGTTGTGTTGTCCTCTTGGACAGTACGCCCTTGGAACTATATCAATAGGATTTTACTGTTGAATAAAAATGGTGTAGTGAGACAAACTTCTGTGTTTACGATATACTTTTTGAGGGATAAACAACATTAGCTCTATATGATGAAGAGAACCATTCTGTGAATTCAACCCCCACAAAGACGATTGAAATAGTCTTAATACTAATGGTCTTAAGTGTGTGTGTGTGTGTGTGTCTCACACCCTCTGTGGAAGTATCATTGTGTGTGTTTTTTAATTCTACATGATATTGTGATAGTGTGTGTGTGATTAGGATTGGTTTCGAATAAACATTTTCTTTTCAAACCATGGACTTGTTATCTGTTTTTACAGATATATGCGAAAATATGTGTTTTGCAAGTTTGAAAATCATTTGACACAACTACATTTTGGAACACATAAAAAACACATTTTGGGGCACAGAAAAAACACTTTTGAATTGCGGACTATTAGCCGCGGCTTGTTTCCCGCCCTTTGAACGCTGCGGCTCATAGTGAGGCCCAAACACATTTTGCCAAGTAACAGTAGACCTGCAGGATTGATGAGTCGTTCACAAATGTTAAATGAAATTATACGATATGTAAATCAGTCCTCACCCTCGTCCACTGTGGAGAAAACTAGAAGAAAATCATACAATAATTTGTGCATTGCTAATACAAATGTACAGTGCATCTACAGGACACAAGCACGTTAGAAAAAAGCATTTGTAACATGTGTTTGTTTGTTTCTAAGCGGATCACAAACAGTTTAAAAGTCACTCACTTATAACATGTTTGTGTAAATATCTGTAATGTAATTCATGTAATAAATAGTTTTTGGGTTCTCTGTATAGACATGAGAGTGAAAAGTAATCGTAGCTGTCAATCGGATCAGATTTGCTACGTACTAAATAGGAGTTAAAATGTCTACTGACAACCTTTTCAAACTTGTTCTGCCATAAATCCCTCAGGACCAGGGATAAACGATGGTGAGGCTTTGGTAAAGGTTACAGGAGGATTTTCTACTTCCGGGTGGATCATCAAGATTTCTTTTTTCTTTTATTGCATTTACATAATCATATCAGACTGTATTCTTTAACCTTTAACATGTTCGCACACTTCTGCATTTTTGCACAATCTGAGTGACTATACCAAATGACATGTACATTTCTCCAGTGTGAGATCCATAAAGTCTTATCTTATCGGTTTTCCCAATTGTCAATCATTCTGGTGATACATGCACGTCAAATAAGACTAAAATCTCACTGTTGCTTTTTGAGCAGGGGTTAGTTTGACTTTTGTTTGAGGGAAGTGCCCGGTGACAACAGTCCATGTGTTCGTGGCAGAGATGATCCCACACAGAGGAGGCTGCAGTGACATCAGCGCCACACACTGCACTCTGTCCCCATGGCACCATGGGAAATCATCATTCACCTCTGACAGCTTCTCTGGAGGAATTACCCTGAACTGGAAACATAACTGCATTTTTGTTATTATCCACATTTCCTGCTGCATTTAGAGGAAATATTTGTTTTTGTTTTTTTGTACTATTTATGCTGCTTTGGTTTTAGACGTTGGATTTCTCTATTTTTGTCAACTGCATTTTCTTGATTAGAAAAATTGTCTAGGTTTTGATGGATCAAAGTGACGTGACATTGAACGCACCGTAGCTGTAGACCTGATTTATTAGATCAAATGGAAGGAAGAAAAGTCCTGCACTGACAGAAAAGTTTCATTTTGTTGAACTTATTGTCAGCCTCTTTTTATCTGCATTCATTTGACTCATTTTAATGTGTTTTTTATAATTATGTGACGATACAAAGCTCATCTGTTCAACGGTCCGTACATTTACAATAACTTGTTGGACTGTTTGGAGTGGAATTGTTGAGTGTGAAATATCATGTCTGGCCAAAATCCTTCCGAGAGCCGCTTCCAGGTGAACGTGGTCAGCGAGGCCTCGGCTCCTGGCTCCAGTCCCCAACCTCCGGCTCCATCCGCTCCTCCACCCATGAAGGTATATGATTATTGATATTATTACATTGTTTTTTGTAATCTTTTTTTTTTTTTGGACTCTGACTCACTTACCTCCTTAATGTGTAGTGCCTTTTTGGAGTACACATTTTAGAGCACCTAAAACAACTTTCAATTCCTTCCATACGCCTACTTCTTCAAAAAAAAAAAAGTTAGTCAAAACTCACCTATTCCTCCAAGCATACAACTTTTAATTTCAGCTTTGCACTTTTTTTTCCTGCTTTTGGATTTTTAGTTATGTGTATCTGTCTGACTGTGTGTGTGTGTGTGTGTGTGTGTGTGTCCTGAATTGTGAAGCGTTTTTGAGTTTTTGAAAAGCACTGTATAAAACAAAAATATTAACATTTTTATCAAAATGGTGTATTACGGTTTCATTCAATTATTTTTTGTAAAGGCCTAAATCACAACAGCAGTTACTTGAGAGGACTTTACAAAGTTGTCAATTGACCAACAACAGATCAGAGAATCAAACTGTTCGAACAAAGTAAAATCAATAATTAAAAAAACACATAGGAGCCATTGGTCCCCAGGGAGCGTTAATAAATGTCCTTAAATCTCCTGGATCATCACTGTGCTTGGTATTTGTTTTTTTGCTTTTCATTTTTGCAGGGTCAGTGTACAATAAACATAAGCCAAAAGGAGACATACATTGTACCAGGTTTTAGCAGCATTGCTAATTTACACCTGTAGTCCCTGAGCAGGTTGTAATAAAAGTAGATGGGTACATTACTATACATATCGCCAAGGAACAACTCAAAACACTTCACGAAGGGGATAGTGAACCAGAAATGAATCCTTTAAGTGTCAGAATTTGTTTCAGAACAGGTAAAAGGTGAAACTGTATAAGAGATAGAGGACTACTAACATAAAAAACTGAAATAAATGAATAATAGGGAAGTGAAGGGAACTGTTTTTATTTGGTGAATAAAAAGAGTCCTGGATTCCGAAGCACTTGTACTACTTTGGCCTTAAGGGGAAAGACCAGGGGCCGCATTTACAAAAGATTACTTGTAATTCCACTTGAGACTGTCGGAGGAAATGCAAACTTCATCTGTTGCCATGTTCCCATAGCTCACATCGCCCTCTCTCTCCAGTTCACCATAAGGACATGGAAAGTGACTTATGAATGAGATGTGTGATCATGAGTGGGTTTGATTGACCCATGAGGCAGAGGGAGGCGTACTCTAATCATAGCCATAGTACACTAAAGTAAATTAAACATGTGAAAATGTGTGCCTTATTAAACAGGCTGATGTGTATTATCGCCTGCAGCATTCTGGGCTTTAATGCATGATTCAGCCTGGTGTTTTTATTTTGATATATAAATTGTAAATGAAATTACTAGTGCTGTCCAACGATTAAAATATTTAATCGCGATTAATCGCCCCTTGAATTAATTAAAATAAAATAAAAATAATAAAATAAAATTAATAATAATAATAAAATAAAATAAAAAATGAATGAATAAGTAGATAAATATAATAATAACATGAATAATATGTGCATATAATGATAATACACAAGTCAGGGTAAGCAAAAGCTTATTTTAATGCATGACACGTTTAGTTAAGAAAAACACTTGGGAAAAAGGAACAAAATAAGAGGGAATGGGCCGGGCGTGGGCTCCCTCCCCCCCTTTTTGGGGTGGGGGCCTGCTTGGGGGTCTGTGTGTGTGTCAGATTTGGTTTTGATGTTGGCTGGGTTCCGCTTAGCTTGGTGAAACTCAGGCGGGCAGACTTTATATCTTATCTTATCTGTGGGGTGTATGTGTGTGTGTGTGTGGAGTGTGTGTGTTTATGGGTGTGGGTGTGTGTGTGTATGTGTGGGTATAGACCATAGACTGTATAGAAACATCATGGTGTCATTATGATGATGATAAACAATCTGTAAATATTTTGTAAATTTGTTCATGTAAATACTCTATGCTGTTTCTCTGTTTACTTTCGGTATATCTATGACTGTATACTGTTTGCTTGTATTGCCTTTTTTATTAACCCCTCCCCCCCATCTCCCACTTTATGTCCCCCCCCCCCCCCCCCCCCCTCCTCCTATGTGCCCTTCTGGGTTTCTTCTTTGGCCCCCATGTATCTCCAACTACATATTGTTTGTAATCTCTGTCTACATTGTATCTGAACTAGTCCTTTTCTTTGTTTCTATTTTTTTTTTCTGTATATGTGTCTGTCTGCAATAAAAAGTAAAAAAAAAATGTATATATTTATTTCTTTTTTTTTTTTTAATTGCGCAATAAAAAAAATGACGCCCTTAATATTGATTTGCGTTAACGCGTTAATAACGCGATATTTTGGACAGCACTAGAAATTACGTGATCACAAAATGCTGTATGTTTGTCCAATGGCTTCGCACGGATGATCCAGATCCTTCTTAACTCGATGTCTGCTTCAGCTCGCACATCGTTGCGCAGAAAATTTCCTTTCTGTGGCTTCTTCTTTTAAAAGTCAAATGCTAAAAATGACTTATCTTGGTCCACTTCTATTGTACCGTCTATGGGTGCAAGTTGCAACTGTGAAAATTCCCAATTGTGAGAAAAGTTTCATGTGTGATCTTCTGCCTCTGTTGTTCCAGACTCTTTCAGTCCCGGTCTATGCTCCAGGGCCGGTCCCTCCAGCTCCGGTCCAGGCCTCCTCTGGTCCTCCACCCTGCCCCCCGCTCCCCGATCCCTCGCGACCCACAGATCGGTTCCGTGTGGTAGGCTTTGCAGACTCAGAGCTGGGAGCGCCGCCAGATGTTTTCCAGGAGCCGGACAACGTGAAGAGTGACTCCGTCAGCCTGCACTCCACCGGCACAGGACACACACACACCTCCGGAGTGTCCCATGTTTCCGGAGTGTCCCACGTCTCTGCAGTGTCCCACTTCTCTGACTACTACATGAGGACGTTTGGACACAACACCATCGACGCTGTGCCCAACATCGACTTCTACCGACAAACCGCTGCGCCTTTCGGGGAGAAACTCACCCGGCCCTCGCTCTCTGAGCTCCACGACGAACTCGACAAAGTGAGTGATTCTCTTTGGATTTGGAGAACAAAATAAATGTGTTTTTCTTAGTATGTGCGACATCACATCAGTAAATGACTTCTGGTTGTGTTCATGGTATTTTATCATCGTCCATTTTTACAGATTCAGTTTATTTGCCATCCATTCATTTTCTTTGCAGTAAAGCCACATTGGGATACATGTTCAAAAGTTCCCCAGTGTGCACCAGACAAGTACATGAATAAAACAAGCTAAAAAGAACGAGAAATGAAACAAATCAACAAAAACAGTTTAAATAATAAGCGCAAGATCATTGCACATGGCGCCGTGGAAGGATCTCTGATGACTGCGCTGCACACTGGGGTTGTCTTGCACAGTTATTCCAATGTGGTTTTACTGCAAATGGCAAATTTGAATCTTGGGACCTGACTTACCATGAGTTGAGGGAGGGATGCCAGGTTTGTTTAGCCCAACTCTAGAAAAGGGTTTGAAGAGTAACATAAACCCCTCTATGACTCAAATCTGTTGATAATAGATTCCATCGGTTTCATTGTTTTATGGCAGGTCCTGGAGTCTCAGACGGGGCACATTCTTCTCCTCCTTCTGAAACAACGTCAGACGGAGCTTCACACAAAACACAATCACACCCACTCACTGGTCGTCTGCGTGCATTATACATTTAACTCTGGATTTTAACTGGTTCAAAATCTTGATTTACGTCAAATGTATAATATCTCTTAAAAAATAAAATAAAATAAAGTCAAAATAAAAAGTTGCCTGTGTTAGTCATGCAGCAATTCATTTAATTCTTATATAGCCCTAAATCACAACACTACTTTATCTCAAAGGACTCAACAAAACCGTTAAATTCGCCAACACAGATCAGAGAATCACAAGTTCAACACAAGAAATGCAACAATTAAAACACACAGAGCCATTGGTCCATAAGGAGCAGAGACCAACGTCCATAAATGTTGTCATGCTCTTTTCTACGACTGAAAATGAACAAAAAGTGACGCTCTTGTTTAAAGTCATACATCCTGTCCGTGTGATCTGTGGTCGGTCTGTTTGAATTCTCTTTTTCTGTGATTGGTCTGTTTTGTTTTGCACTTTATTACTATTGTTAGAAACTTTTAGAATAATGTATCTATTTGTTTGTATGGATGGATGTGTTTCTGCTGCTAAACACCTGAATCTCTCCAAAAGTATCGACCTAAATACTCTTTGTCTGTGATTGGTCGACAGGAGCCCTTCGAGGAGGGGCTGGCCAATGGGGACGAGCCGTCTGCAGCGGAGGAGGCGGCGGCTCTGGCAGCGAAGGAGGCCAAAGGAGGAATGGTGAAGTTTGGATGGATCAAAGGAGTGCTGGTCAGTCTGAATCTTTCCTAGTTTTATTACATTATAACTTTTCACCACATTAATAATATTCTCATGTTTAAATGTAGATTATTTTTAGTTAGTTTAATGCTGGGATAGCAAGACTTGTTGGACAAATTCAGCATTTTCTCCTGTCTTCTCTATCTTCTCTGTATTATAAAGTTGATGTTACTACCAATTTGGTCAAAAGGCCTTGGTCTCCCGGAGCGATAAAGGAATATTAGTATTATTATTATAATTATATACAATACAATACAATACAATACAATTTATTCTTGTATAGCCCTAGGTCACAACAGAAGTCATCTCAGAGGACTTAACAAAACCATTGAAATCACCAACACAGGTCAGAGAATCAACAGTTAAAACACATGGAGAATATAATGTTTATTTGATAGGGACAGAGCATTGTTACAAATAACCAATGCCATGTTCATAGGCCCACATAGCTAACAGCTAATTTGCAGACCTGGTCCTAAGACATAAAAATACGTCACTTTTACAAATCATTATAAAAACACAGATTATACCAGGTGTCCCCAACCTTTTTCACCCAAAGAGCTACTTTCCCGGGATGATTAAGGCAGAGAGCTGGAAAAAATGTGGTGATATATTGGTGTGAACAAGCCTGATATTGGGAACAGTCATTATTTATCATCACATATTTGTGACTAGTGAACAAAGTAAATAATAAATAGTGATAATGAATAACACAATCTGAAATATTATTCGATTTGTTCATTTCGAAATCCTTTGGCGAGCTACAGGTAGGGTCTCCACAGGTTGGAGACCCTTGGATTACACAGTACAAAATATTTACAGTAGAATATTAGTCTTACATTGCGCTCACAAGTTTGATTCCTTTTGAGCTATTGTTTATCTTTCATGTTAAACTCATTCAGGTCTGATAAAGATTTCACTTCTTTAACAGACATAAATAACATTAGATTACACTTCAGGAAACCTCTTCATGTGAATGTGTCTGTCCTCTGCCTTGATGAGTGTAAATTTCTCCATTGTGAGATCAATAAAGTTCCATCCATTCATCCATTTTCTTCCGCTTCATCCGTTGCCGGGTCGCGGGGGCAGCAGTCCAAGCAGAGACGCCCAGACTTTCCAATCCACACACACCTCCTCCAGCTCATCCGGGGGGACCCCAAGGCGTTCCCAGGCCAGCTGAGAGACATAGTCTCTCCAGCGTGTCCTGGGTCTTCCCCGGGGCCTCCTCCCAGTGGGACGTGCCCGAAACACCTCCCCAGGGAGGCGTCTAGGAGGCATCCGGAACAGATGCCCGAGCCACCTCAACTGGCTCCTCTCGACGTGAAGGAGCAGCGGCTCTACTCCGAGCTCCTCCCGTGTGACTGAGCTCCTCACCCTATCTCTAAGGGAGCACCCAGCCACTCTGCGGAGGAAGCTCACTCCGACCGCTTGTATCCGCGATCTTGTTCTTTCGGTCATTACCCAAAGCTCATGACCATAGGTGAGGGAGGGAACAAAGATTGACCGGTAAATTGAGAGCTTTGCCTTTCGCGGACCGCGGACCCCGTACTCCCGGAAAACCCCCCAAAGAACACCCCGGGGAACATGGTCGAACGCCTTCTCCAAATCCACAAAGCACATGTGGACAGGTTGGGCGAACTCCCATGAACCCTCGAGTATCCGATGGAGAGTATAGAGCTGGTCCAGTGTTCCGCGGCCGGGACGAAAACCACACTGCTCCTCCTGGATCCGAGATTCGACCATCGGCCGTAGCCTCCTCTCCAGTACCTTGGAGTAGACCTTACCGGGGAGGCTGAGGAGTGTGATCCCACGATAATTGGAACACACCCTCCGGTCCCCCTTCTATCAATAAAGTTATCTTATCTTATCTTAAGCCTGGTTCACATGGCAGCATAATTAGGCCGATTTTGGACCCAATTTACCCCTACGACAATCGTAAGAACGCTCCAAATATCGTAACAAAAAATCTGATGGATTTTCCTGCCGTGTGTGGTGTGTTAAGACTGTGCTCGTCGCTCGGAAGGACTTCGGGACTGCTCCGATCTCAATATCGGGGATATCCAACATGTTGGATTGTTTTGGCCTGATTTCTCTCCGTGTGTGGTGTCCCCCGAGGACAGACGAGCGCGTTGCCATGACTGCGGCGTGTAGCCAATCAGAAGACAAGCCGAGGCGGCGAGGAAACGCCGTAAAAAACAACTCACCTCCATATCACGATGTAGCAAGTACAGTCCATGCTCGTGTTGTCTACACTTCTTTGACCATCGCCTTTTCTTTTGATTACGTCTTTTCTCTGTTAAAAACAAACTATCGCCATTGCATCCTCTTTGTCCGCCATGATTGTTTACTCTGAAGTCATGCTTGATTTCGAGAGATTTTGTGAGATTTCCGTCTGATTTGGGAATGCTCGGGGGGGGGGAAATCGGTTTGTGTGTGATGTGTGTGGTTTGCGTGATTTTGTCGTGTGGCTGCGCACCACACACTGTACGACCAAAGTGGTTGGACCCATGATTTTTTATCTCCGTGTGTGAGGTCTCACACGGAGAAAAAATCGGCCGACAATTTTAAAATCGTCTTGTGTGAACCAGGCTTTAGCTGCACTGTGCACTACATATTAAGAAGACCCAGTGTAACATTCTGCCCCTCTCCTCTTCTACAATGTTACTTTTGTCTTTCAGATCCGATGCATGCTGAACATCTGGGGCGTCATGCTCTTCATCAGAATGTCTTGGATTGTGGGACAGGCGGGCATTGGTAAACAAACAGAGATCCCATGTGTGTTAGCTGTTACCAACTCTTTATGCTCTTTGAAGCAATTTCAATGAATCTGCTGCCACAGTTTGCTCAAATATTAAGTGTATTCTTAGAACGTGGCCTTTGAGTTAAACTGGTTTATGTTAGCGTTGTACTAGCCTGGTCTTAGCCATCCGTAAACGCCGGTCATTTCCCTACATGGCCGTCTGATCCTAGTGGCTGTGGGTACCTCGGTTGAATCCCCACCGACAATTTAGCGGTGGGGGGAAGGCGGGTGTTGTAGGTTGTAGTTTAGAAATGGTGGCGAATGAGATTGTAAAGAAATCCGTTCTGGTTCGGCTCCAAATATGAAGAAAATGAAACTGGAGCAAGAGGAATGTTTAGCAAAATTTTTTGTTGCTCTACTCCCCACAGGCTCCGTTAGTGGCTAAGGAGATGGCTAATTGCTAGCAACTTACTCGGGCGCATTACGTACTAAACTCAGATCCAATCGTTTCAATCTGCAAAAGGAATTAACCCCTCCCCCCTGTTAACAGAGCTCAATGGAGCAAATCCAGACTTTAGTACGAAATGAAATAAGTCTGATATGGTATTGGAAGACCAGGCTAGCATTGTAGTAAGTAATAGTAGTTTTCATACTTATATACAAAAGAAAAAAAATATCTCGCTTCTCAGTTATGTTCTTCCCGTGTATGCGTAGGTTTCCTCCAGGTGCTCCGGTTTCCCCTACCACTAAAACATGCACAGTTGCTATGAATGTAATGTGTGAGTGAATAAATGGTGATGTGTGAGTTCCGCATTCTGCTTCCGTCATCATCGGAGAATGAAACAATACCTGAACACCCTTTGGGTGACCTTGGTCTGTAAAACTGTGCTATATACAAAGATTTCTTATTTACTTACATACATGGACCCTCTCTTTCTATCGTTCTTTCTCTCTCACACCCACACACCTCTCCTTCATCACTTTCTCTGTTCTCTTTTTTTACTGCTTTATCTGTTGAAGAGTTGTGGAGGTTGCAGTCGTAAGTAGTAAGCCTCGACTTCCCTGAGATACACATAGATTTTTTTTGTTTATTTGAATTGAATTATTATTATTATTATTATTAAACTTTATTACAGACACAAAGTCCAGATAAGAAAGACATTACACAAAAACAAAAACAACAATAATCATAAAAAATACATGATTACAGCAGACTACTGTACCAGTGACGCCACAGTTCAGACTGATAGCGTGTGGCACTGATTCTGATTCTTATGTACACTTTGTGTGTGTTTTAATGCCCTTTGGGTTTTTAATTGTATTTTTAATGTTTATGTAGATTATAATGTCTATGATTTATGCCTGATGTGATATGGGTTGCGAGGCTCTTTGTGTTGCCTTGTGTAGGAAAGGCGCTCTGCAAATAAAAGTAAATGGATTGATTGATACACTTCGGGCTCTGTGTTTATATTGTAAATTACGAATAAACTTTACTAAACTTATCATCGCTACTTTGTGATGAGATTCCTGTTTTTTCCAGGTCTGACCATCGCCATCATCCTCATGGCCACGTTAGTCACCACCATCACTGGACTGTCCACCTCCGCCATCGCCACCAATGGATTTGTCCGAGGAGGTAAGTTTACTTTAAATTTGCTCAATATTGGAGCACATTTTGTCATTACACTTGAAGTATTCCATTTACAAGGAGCATAATGAAGGAAAGCTGATTCAGGTCATAGCTGAGACAGTGCACAGGTTCACAGTACGCAAGCAAGAAATAGGAATAGAGGTGCCAGATTGTGTAGGTCTGGATTTTCAAGTCAATTCACAGACCGTATAACGTATTCTCTGCAGTCCCCATCCAAGCAGCGACCAGACCCATCACTGCTTAACTTTAGAGGAGTTCAGACTTTCTTCTTGTTGCAGGTGGGGCATATTACCTGATCTCCCGGAGTCTGGGGCCAGAGTTTGGAGGGTCCATTGGTCTGATTTTTGCGTTTGCGAACGCTGTTGCCGTGGCGATGTACGTGGTGGGCTTCGCCGAGACTGTGGTGGAGATGCTCAATGTAAGAATGTATCATAACTTATTATCAATTGTATAATAATGTTGTTTTTCTTGTACAACTTCAGATTGATAATAACATTACTCATTTTCTGGAAAGATGATTAATTATGATTATATTTTGCAGTTTCAAAAGTAGCCATTTTGAGATGGGTTACTCCAAGACAAAGACTTCATTGTTTTCTCTAGAATGAGTTTTATTGAGTTTTGTTAGCAAGAAGTATATTGGTTACTTCATGATCATAGCGCTTAGACCTGGCTGATATACAGTATACTTATCTTATGGCATTTATTACTCGTCCATGGGGTGAATATGGGTTTGGCGCTTAAACACTAGCATGTTGCATGATGTATGAAAGCGGGGATAATCCATTTCAACCCTAGGCAAGGCAAGGCAAGTTTATTTGTATAGCACAATTCATACACAAGGCAACTCAAAGTGCTGAACAAGATAGCATTAAAATCATAAATAATCACAGAACATTAAAACGAAAAATAAAAATATAAAATCCCTCAGTTGTATGCACAGCTAAACAGCACCGTTTTTAACTTGGTTTTAAACATTGTCATTGAGGAGGCCTGTCTCACATCTTCAGGAAGACTGTTCCAGATTTTAGCAGCATGAATCTGAAAAGCAGCCTCCCCATGTTTAGTTCTGACTCTGGGCACTAACAGGAGTCCAGTCCCTGTGCTCCTCAGAGTCCGGGCTGGTTCATATGGGACTAACATGTCACTAATATATTTTGGTGCGAGGCCATGGAGAGACTTGTACACAAGCAGAGCTGTTTTAAAGTCTATTCTCTGAGCCACAGGAAGCCAGTGCAGGGACCTGAGGACTGGACTAATGTGGTCGTACTTCCTGGTTCTAGTCAGGACTCGAGCTGCTGCATTTTGAATGTACTGCAGCTGTTTTACAGCCTGTTTGGAGAGACCTGTGAGCAGGCCATTGCAGTAGTCTAACCTACTGGAGACAAATGCATGGATAAGAATCTCCAGGTCTGCTTTAGACACTATGTTTTTGATCCTAGCAATGTTTTTTAGATGGTAAAAAGCTGCTGATGTTACTGATTTGATGTGGCTATTAAAATTTAAGTCTGAGTCCAGTATTACCCCTAGATTTCTGACCTTGTTTGAAGGTTTTAGGGAGAGAGACTGTAGATGACAGATGACGCTCTCTCTTTGTTTCTGGGGACCAAAGACAATCATTTCAGTTTTGTCTGCGTTTAGCTGAAGGAAGTTGTTTTGCATCCACTCACTGATCTGTTGGATACAGTGAAGGAGTGAGTCCACTGGTCCATGTTCTCCTGCAGTCAGTGAGACATAGATCTGAGTGTCGTCTGCATAGTTGTGATAGGACACTTTGTTTCTGCGTATTAACTGACCTAACGGCAGCATGTAGAGATTGAACAGAAGAGGTCCCAGGATCGACCCCTGTGGGACTCCACAGGTCATGGCCATATGATCTGAGACACAGTTTCCAATCTCCACAAAGTACTTCCTGTCTTCAAGGTAAGACCTAAACCAACTTAGGGCGGTGCCAGCGACGCCAACCCAGTCCTCTAGTCTCTGTAAGAGGATCTCATGGTCGACAGTGTCAAAGGCAGCACTCAGATCTAACAGGATTAGGATTGAGACTTTGCCTGCGTCAGTGTTCAGCCGGATATCATTTGTAACCTTGACGAGAGCGGTCTCAGTGCTGTGGTGGGGTCTAAAGCCGGACTGAAACATATCAAATGAGTTGTTGATTATAAGAAATCTAGTAAGCTGTAGGTAGACAACTTTTCCAAGGACTTTCCCCATAAACGGCAGATTTGAGATGGGACGATAGTTGTTAAGTACCGTAGCATCCAGACTGCTCTTTTTTAGCAGGGGCCTGATGACTGCAGTTTTCAGGGCCTTTGGGAATATTCCAGAATTAAGGGACATGTTTACTATCTGTGTGAGTGAAGGTAACAGACTGCTCAGAACAGACGTTTAGAAATCTAGTGGGTAGTACATCCAGGCTGCATGTGGAGGAGCTCAAACTGGAGATTATCTCTTGGACAGTTTGATCATTTACAGGTGCAAAGTAAGTTAGTTCAAAGAGCCTTTCTGGCTGTTGGATTGTTATCTGTGGATTGGAGACAATGGCGTTTTTGATGCCTTGAACCTTGTCATTGAAAAAATGTGCAAACTCATTACATTTACGTTTGGAAGTTAGCTCTAATGGCATTTGAACAGGGGGGTTTGTTAATCTATTAACTGTTGAAAACAGAACACGCAGATTGTTGCTGCAGCCTTCAATCATTTCAGAAAAATACCTTTCTCTCGTACTACGTAGCACCTGGTTAAACTCGCACAACTTATCTTTGAAGATCTTGTAATCAACCTGGAGGTTGGACTTGCGCCACTTCCGCTCGGCCCTCCGGCACTCTCTCTTTTGTGCCCTGACCGAGTCTGCTTTAGCCCACGGCGCCTTCTGCTTATTTTTCACTATTTTAACCTTCACAGGAGCAACGGTATCCAGAACATTCAAAACACTAGAGGTGACAGAGTTAAACAGTTCATCTACAGTAGAATACGATGCATTCTCAAAGTTTATCATTCCCATAAATAGTTCACCCGTATTTTCATTTATGTGTCTTCTTCGTACAGTTGCAGAGTCCACTGGTGGTTTGTTAGTGAAACACATGTCAAAAAATATACAAAAATGATCCGAAAGCGCAACATTGACCACGTTTACATTAGAAATGTTAACCCCCTTTGTAACCAACCGGTCTAGAGTGTGCCCTCTGCTGTGGGTGGGGCCACTCACATGGTGAGTGAGACCAAAAGATTCAAGAACAGAACTCAGCTCTTTAGCATTTCTGTCATCAACATTATCCACATGAATATTAAAATCACCTGTAATAACTGAACTATCAAAATCTGTGCATACAACTGAAAGCAACTCTGTAAAATTATCAATAAAACTGTGACATGACTGCGGTGGCTTGTATAGGACAACGAAAAGTATTGGAGGAGATTGTTTTTGTTGTATTTTAAAAGACACATATTCAAAAGACGGAAACTTCCCAAGAGACATTCTATGGGAGACAAAGTGGTCTCTGAAAATGGCAGCTAAGCCTCCTCCTTTTTTGTTTTCCCGTATTTCAGATTCAAATTTGAAATTTGGTGGTGATGCTTCTATTAAAACTGCATTTTCTGTATTTTGGTCCAGCCATGTTTCAGCCATGAACATAAGATCTAGATTATAAGAACAAATAAAATTATTGATTAAAAAAGACTTGTTACAAAGAGATCTGACATTTAGCATAGCAAGTTTCAAAGTTTCAGGATCAGCGGTTGTGGTCGGCTGATTCTTACACGGAACAAGAATTAGATTTTCCTGATTAGACTGATTAACTTCAGATGTTTTTCTGTTATGTATTCTTTGTGTTATCACTAAGGGAATGGCACAGGTGGCTTCATGACAGGGCCCCAGCCGGGTCTCTCCTCTAAAACTGCCAGTGGCTGCGAAGCAGAGACCCTGTGCATCCTAGTGTTTAGAGAAAAGAGGGGAAGGGGAAGGCGGGGGAAGAGGATGGAGAGGCGGGTGGTTCTTGGGAGTTGGACGGGGGGGGGGGTTGAAGGTGGATGGGTTTTTGGTGATGGGTTAGGGGAGGGGCAGGCTGAGTTGGGTGGTGGACAAGGGGGGAGTGGAGGTGGAGGGTTTCTTGGTGCTGAGTTAGGGGGGAGGTGGGCTAAATGAGCAGGAGGGGGGGGTGGAATACTTATGGGGTTAGAGGAGGGACGGGTGGATTTTGTGGGAGAATTTGAGTTGGACGCCCTAGGTAGCTTTGGAGGTACGTATGGGGAGTAGTTTTGAATGTTAGATAGGACTCTTGATCTGGCTACAGTGGGTGTGAGAGGAATAGTCTTCATCGCCGATCTTATCATGCCTGCCGAGTGTTCCGGTAATTCCAGTAGTGAAGGCGGGGATAGAAAACAAAGGGAAAGGTCGTCCTCATTTTCCCTAGATGGAGTGGATGTAGCGGGGGGGACCCAAGCCGGGTCCATGAAAGGTGATGAGGGAGTCTTTGGTGGAGACAGAGGTGGTTGAGGAACCCCCAGTACAGGCCTGTCTGTAGCCTGGAGCAATGGGGGAAGCTTCACGGGAGCTGTAGGTGGGGAAGGTGCTGCTGAAGATGATGGAGCAGCCACTGCTGCTGGTGGTGCTGTATATGCTGATGGCGCTGATGAAGATGTGGCAGCTGCTGATGATGCTGGTGGTGGAGGCGTTGAGCTCTTTCGGAGCCGTGGAGGTGTTGAGTTCTTTTGGAACCTTGGAGGTGTTGAGTTCTTCTTGAATCGTGAAGGTGTGGAGTTCTTTTGAGGCGGTGGGGGTGCAGAGACCTCGGGAGTCGGTGGAGATGGTCGTGATGTCTGTGCCCTTTGCTTCTTCTTTCTCCCTTTCGACGGCTGCACGCGCTTCGCAGGCTGAGGTCTTAGGGCAGATGCAAAGTTATCCATCAACACTTTTACTCCGTAGTGGTTCAGATGTGGACCTTTTTCTTCAAAAAGCTCGTGCCTATTCCAGAACAGATTAAAGTTTTCAATGAAGCCAAGTCCTCTGCGTGAACACTCATTGAGTAGGAATGTATTTAGCTGATACAGACGGCTAAACTTCTCAATTTTTCCATCTATATTTGGAAGTGGTCCACTAATAAAAATGTTTATGTCCATTTTCTTGAGGTCATCCAGTAACAGTGTTAAATCCATTCGTAACTTCTCACTTGCCTTCTCATAGATATCTACCGCCCCCGTGTGGATCAATAATGTACTCACACCACTGTTCTCAGATAACACTTTAGGCAGAAGAGTCCTTATCTCAGAAACTTTTGCAGAGTGAACTGAGACAGTGAGCATGGACTCCATGTTTACATTTTTCACCGAACCATCTCCGATAAGGACACAGTTTGTCCTTGGTGGAGGCGCTGTAGTTGTTAGCGGCTTTGTTGTTTCAGAAAGGGGTAAAAAGCGGTTTGTAAATAAAATGTCAAGGAGATTAAAAGGCGAAGCAAAAGCAGAGCAGAGAGACACGACTGCTCTCTCGAGAAGCAGGAAGCATACCCTAGGAGTGGTGGAATCTGAAGAGATGAGTGGATTATAGAGATGGAGAGAATGTTCCAATTTTGAGGAGGAGGAGGGTTGCAGCACAAGCTCAAAGCTGATTGAATCTGAAGCGTTCACTATTTGATGACTAGTTAGTAAAGGAATGGAGTGAAGGCAGCTGAGGAAGCATTCATATAAATTCATGATGTTTTAAAATGTTTCTTGCATTTCTTGTGTACTTTGTTCTACTGTCCTTTTGAAACACCTTTAATATTTATCCTGGATTTAACAGATCTTTTGTTCCGCTATAAGGCCAACAAATGTTTCTGATTAAACAGGTGCACTTGTTTTCATTGATGTTTGTATGGATGGATGTGTGGACACCTAAATGTATTCTCTATGTATCAATATCTCATCATGGTGAGCTCCGGTTTGTTCTCTGCAGGACGTGGACGCTCTGATGACAGATGAACTCAACGACATCCGCATCGTGGGGACGCTCACTGTGATTCTGCTGCTGGGCATCTCTGTGGCGGGAATGGAGTGGGAGGCCAAGGTACAATAGTACAACTACTTAATGATCCAATGTCTTCATACAGTCTGAGGTTCTGTTGACGCTGGTCATATTTCATCTGACTCAAGAGTTTTGAATTCAGGGTGTCTAGTTCTTGACTCATGGACCAGCTGCTGTTGAGCAACAAAATTATCATGCAGGACATAAAAATATAGTTGATTTACATACAAAAAATTAGTGAATAGAAAACAGCCATTGGTGACTAAACATGCTGGCTTGCAGTCAATTAATTACCAATTTTGACGACTCATTTATCGAGTAAACTGTCCTTCAGTCTGAGTGTGTGGATGCTCATGTGGGATAGGAGCAGACAGCCTTGGGCAGCTGTCATAGGTGTTTCTTCCTCCCTCACACTTCCCATTGCCTGGCTGACCAGCAGGCAGCTACCCGGCTAGTCCAATGGTCAAAGTGGGGAGGGGAATCTTTTAGTCCCGTCCATCCCGCCCCTTGAGTTTGTTTCAGACCAAACATTGTTTTAAAAGAATAAAAACACAAACACAGAGAGCAAAATCACAGCAACAAAAGTTCTGTCCAAACACTAATTTGGGTTGCACTGGCAGCTTCACACAACTCCAGGTCTGTTTTGATCTGAAAGATCCTATACATATCACCTGAAAGTTTTAACAAAAATCTGTGTGCAAGAAAAGGAGAGCTGAAAGGACACACCCCTGAGGAGAACAAGTGTTAGAGATGGGAAAAGGATTCTCCATGTTTGGTGCCAACAGAAGAAAAACCTCAATATAGATGTGACCGTTGATTGATGAGAGTTGCATATTCAGGTTATCTTCCTCTCTCTCTTTCTCCTCTCAGGCTCAGATCGTGCTGCTTGTGATCCTGCTCGCTGCCATCGCAAACTACTTCATCGGGACGTTTATGCCTTCGAAAGAGAAGGAGCCGAGAGGATTCTTCGGCTACAACAGTCAGTCTCTGGTTTTGGTTGATTATTGATATATACAGCAATTTTAGCACAGTATTCTAGATGGTCAGGATTGGTTTGAAAAGACTTCAAAACCTATGTTTACACTCGCGGTCAAGATCTACAATGATGTGTAGAAAAGCACTCACTTCCAATGGTAATTTCAGTGGAAAATTGTGTGAAAGAGCATGAAAATTAGAATTAAACAACTGAATATTTGAGTTTTTTTGTGACAACTTAGACACCATCACCATACATTCCAAAATATAGGATTAAATATAGGATTAAAGCTCACAGTCGATTGTGCATAGTAAGTCTCACTATAGGATATCATGGTGGTGATCTTTTTGTGCCTATTTGTCTCCTCTATTGGTCTGAACACATTCTATTTGTTTGTTTATTGTCTATTTATTTATTATCGTATTGGTTGTAACAGCGGCTATCTTCCTGGAGAACCTGGGCCCAGACTTCAGAGACGACGAAACTTTTTTCTCAGCTTTTGCGATCTTCTTTCCCGCTGCAACAGGAATCCTGGCCGGAGCCAACATCTCGGGAGACCTCACCGTGAGTTTGTTCGATTTATGAAGAGATGGTTATAAAGTAGTAAAGCAAAGATTACAGGAATCAGAATCTTAGTGCTCACAATTAGCAATTAGTAAAGCTGCACTGATTGAATACTTTTTGTACAGGACCCTCAGTATGCCATCCCCAAAGGAACTCTTCTGGCCATCCTCATTACCGGAATCACCTATGTGGCTGTGACCATCTCCACAGGTGAGCTCTCACACAGAATACATTTATAATACTGTTAACCATGATATTACTGTTTTCCATCTCACTGTCATGATCCAAGATGCATTTAGATTGTTTCATAAATATTTCAGTTATCTGTTTATTCTCAATTACAATGCAATTATTAATACATATTACATAATTATTCTAGAATGTTATCTTAAAAATGACTTACAAAGCACAACAAATACGTGACTGTGGCTATGTAATAAACTAGTTCCTGGCTCTAAAACAGTTTTGTTCTCCCACTAGTTTTCACATTTTTCAGACAGAAAAGTGATAAAAAGAGGACCCCGTCACTCAGCTCTCAAAGAGTCAAATAGTAACTCACAAGTGACTGACATTTTGAAAAAGATGAAGATATCAACATTTTCCTTTGCCAAAGGCGTGTTCTTTTTGGGCAAACCACATGTTAAATATTGAAAAACTTGGGTGTATATATATAGTATGTGAAGTCCTAAAATTGTACCCAATGAATATTTGTATGCTAGTCCTATGCTTGCCGCTTTTTGTCAGGACTGGGGACTAAAGTTGGCTCCTGTGTGCACTTTAGGCTCGTGTATTGTGAGGGACGCGACTGGAGACCAGAACGACACCGTGAGCGACACCGTGAACTGCACTGATGCGGCCTGTTCTCTGGGCTTCGACTTCTCCATCTGCAGAGAGGGCGGCTGCCAGTACGGCCTCATGAACGACTTCCAGGTACAACACACGCGGCTTTAGACAGACCTGGTCACCGCAGTATCCCGATATCACAACAGAGCAGCGCTGAATATAAAGACAAGGGCCAGACGAGGCAGAAAACCCAGAGTTTAGCTTGAGAACGCAATCCAAGATGTCAGCCCATTCAAGTCGATGGCTTGTGCTCATACTCGCACCATTGATGTCCCAAACATTAGTGGAAAGGATGCAGTTTAGCCACCCCTGGTCCCGGTCTTACTGTATGTAGTGGTTCTACTTGATTCCACCTCTAGGCCTTTCTTGGTGGAGTCTGCTTGTTCTCCCCATGTCTGCGTAGGTTTCCTCCAGGTGCTCTGGTGTTCCCTATGACAATAAACATGTACAATAGGTATGAATGTAGTTTGTGAGTGAATGGGTGGTGTTGGTTGGTGTGTGGAGCGAATGGAAAAATACTGTATCTGAATTGAAGATTACTTACTTATAAGAACGAGAAGAGTTTGACAATAAAATCATCCCAGAATCTGGCCTGAAAGCTCTAGGCTGAGGACGAGCTGTTTTGTTTTCACCTAGTGAGAGGGTTAGCGTGTGTGTCCAAATAAATAGTGCTTCGGTGCTTGGTCGTTTGCAAAGAAAACATTCTGCAAAAAGGTAAAAACATGCTAGAATTAAGGAGAAATGGCCTTAATTTATTTTCTTAATCTATTCTTATTACTGAAAGAATCTTGTTGTTTAGACGCATGATTTATGAATTGTGTGGGAATCTTGTCTGATGTATTGGTTCATGTCAATTTGAACTTTCTTAAGGCTGTTTGATAGACATACATTGTTTGATATATACAGATATGGTACATCACATTGTATATACAGCATATGTCCGAAAAATTTAAATGAGATATTTTTGCCAGAATTGTGTGGTCCCAGTTGTAATTAGTGAACTCACGATACTTGTACCGTAAATTACGGCAGTTTCTCTTTTCCAGGTGATGAGTTTGGTGTCAGCGTTCGGGCCTTTAATCTCCGCAGGGATCTTCTCTGCGACTCTGTCCTCAGCTCTGGCCTCACTCGTCAGCGCCCCCAAAGTCTTCCAGGTCAGTAGCAGAATTGCAGCAATAGGAAGACACTGTGTTTGTAAAAAATCTGTATTTATCTTTAGATGATTCCATTTTCAGCAATGATTTCCACCATCTTCACTTGGATGTATATAGTTTGATTTATTGTTTGTTCTTTTTTGCTGTTCTCTTCTTTATTAGGCCTTGTGCAAAGACAATATCTTCCCCGGTCTGCATTTTTTTGCCAAAGGTTTCGGCAAAAACAACGAACCTCTGCGTGGATATGTGCTCACCTTCTGCATCGGACTGGCTTTCATCCTCATCGGTGAGTTTGGAGACATGGTTCAGGTTCTGGTAAAATCAAACTTTTCTGAAAACCTTTCTTGCCATTTCTGTAGCTGAGCTGAACATCATCGCTCCAATCATCTCAAACTTCTTCTTGGCTTCATACGCTCTCATCAACTTCTCAGTGTTCCACGCCTCCCTCGCCAATTCTCCAGGTTGAAATGACAACTCTTGTTATTGTTGATGCTAACGTTATGTTAATGACTGCTTTGTTTACCGGTGTTGACTACTTCAAGTTATCGTCAAAACCGTAGAAAGGAGTGAACTTGAGTGCAGAAGTGACCCGTCCCATATTAGTGGTGTATCACAGAACAAGCCAATTAGATTTCAATTTGGAGAGACGAGAAAACAGGAAGTTTTGAGTATTTTATTGAAAGGAGGTTTGGCGCCCTAGGTCCCGGTGCGGCCTTCAGATCGGAAAGGCTCCTGCGATGGAGCGCGCCCAATCCCCCGGGACCTAGGCACTGGTGGCGGCATTTGGCAGCGGGAAGCAGATTGAAGGCAGATTGGCGGCAGGGTGAAGAGGAGGAGGAGGGGAGGCGGTGGTTGCAAGGCTTCAGAGGCCGAGAGTGGGAGTTTCTCCGTTTTTATGCGGCTGGCGAGTCGGTACAGATGATTGGAAGGGGGCGTCTGCTGAGCGATAGGCTGGGGATGCGAGCCGGCCTGGAGGGGGTAAATTTGGTTAACGTCTACCAAATTGAATTTTCGCTGGCTGCATTTCAATTTGGAGAGACGAGAAAACAGGAAGTTTTGAGTATTTTATTGAAAGGAGGTTTGGCGCCCTAGGTCCCGGTGCGGCCTTCAGATCGGAAAGGCTCCTGCGATGGAGCGCGCACAATCCCCAAAAAGGCTGCGTGTTGATGGAGTTTTCGAAGCCTGGTTTGGAGGGGACAGACGTCGTGACTGCTCTATTCTGAGACCGCTATCGCTATATGCTGTGACCGCTATCGCTATATGCTGTGACCGCTATCGCTATCGCTATATGCTGTGACCGCTATCGCTATATGCTGTGACCGCTATCTACTGTGATCAATACTTGCGGATACTCGGCTGCTGCCGCCACCAGGAAGTTTTGTGAGTGATTTATGGAGATGCCAAGAGGCGCTGGGCTGTCAGAATGGTCGAAGTGTCAGGCCTGATGTATGAGGAGAGGGCCGATGATGACCAGCGGCCCAGCTGCTGGAGGGCAGAATGGGGGAGTCCTAGGGACGCGGCGCGCGTGGCGGCGCCTATCCGGAAGGAGTGGGCTGTGTAGAGATGGGGAGACAGGTTACAAAGCAGCAGTACGGACTTTAGTTGGGCCCTGAACCAGTTAGATGTCATTGGGAGGTGATCGGGGGTGAGAAATAACGGTCCGTTGAGATCTCCTTTCCGAGAGCGGAGGCGAGTGTAATGCATCATGGATCTGTAGGGACAGGGAGAAGTGTCAGACCGAGCTATGACTATATTGCAAGCGCCTTTGCGTTTGGAATGCTTGAGGTGGAGGTTGAAGTAGTCGGGATAATATGACAGGTCAGAGAAGGCAATGTCTCGGGATGCATTAAAGGTGGCGTGAGAGTTTGTGAATTCGCTTATGCGTAAGAAGCCCATTTTCATGTAGGATGCAGCGGAGGAGAGAAGGTGAAGAGACGGAGGGACTAGACCAGGGCGAGGGATTCCGTGCAGGGGATCTGGCATGGCGATGGATTGGCAGAAGGGCAGAGGCGTCAGAACTCCTGGACTTTAAAGCGAGAGAGAGAGTCAGCAATACAGTTAGGTGACGAGGGACGTGACGAACAGTGATGATAAATTGTTCGAGACTGAGAGCCATGTGATGCGTCTAAGGAGGGTGTGATTTGGGGAGAGGAGGAACGACTTCTTTTAATTATTTCAATGACGTCGAGGTTGTCGCACGTCACGGAAATCCTTTTCCTATGCCACGTATGGTTCCGCAGCACGCAGGCTCCGGTCACGGGATATATCTCGTGGAGCGCGGAGGAGATGCTTCGAGGGAAAGCGTCGGGCCGGGGCCCGGCGAGCCACTGGTCCTGGAAAACCCCCAAAACCCACGGATGGGGCTGCGTCCGTGAAGAACCGCGGGGCATCTGAGACAGGATGATGTCACTGTAAAAAAAAAGATACACCATCCCAGCGGCTCTGCAAACGGGACCGGAACGCCAGGTCGGAGCAGCGCCCCGCGTCCGGGCAGACGCGTCATCGAGGGAGGAGACGGAGCCGGCGAGGGAAAGGAGTCTGGAATTAAAAGAACGACCTTGGGGAATGATACAGACGGCATAATGAAGATGCCCGAGGAGGGAGAGCAAGGACGCCTCGAAGTGACGGGAAGGCCAAGGCAGACCGGGAGAAAGCGCGGATGCGTTCGAGCTTGTCCAGCGGGAGGGAGGCCTCCATGGCGCGTGTGTCGAGGCGGATGCCGAGAAACTCCAGAGCGTTGGCGGGGCCTGTGGTCTTTCCGGAGTGGAGGAATCCGAGGGCAGAGAAGGCGGGCCTGAGCTTGCGGAGAGAGCCCCCGGAGCAGTCTGAGGGTGGGTCGACTATGAGGGAATCATCGGGGAGATGCAGACAGAGGGGAGCCGCGCGAAATTAAGCAGAATCCGACACGGCGCCTCCGAGAGATTGTTGAACGAGAGGGACTACTCCGGCAGTCAAAGGTGAGGCGCACTGCGAAGAAGAACTCCGACGCCACTTGACCCCTGAACAGCGCCAGTGGTCGGGGTGGAAGGCAGCAGCTTGAACGCGTCCGGGATGACGGCCTTGGAGAGCCAGGAGCCGGGGCTGAAAGTCTTTATCAGCCTGATCGCGTGGTCCACGGTAGCGGACTGCAGGGAGAAGGGCGCTGGAGGGAAGGGGCTGTTGATGCTCGGGCGGGCCCGGAGCGGGGACAGGAGAGGACGAGTATGAGACGCTTCTTCCTGGAGTGCTTGCGGGTGGCGATGCCCATCGGGTTAGAGCGAGACGGAGAGAAGGGGTCAATGACGTAGCCCCCGGACACCTCCCGCGCCCGAGCCGCGTGCCGACTTGGGGCTCACGGAGAGCCGGTAAGAGGTTGCGGGACACGAGACGCCGAGGGACCTAAACAGAGCCTGCAGTCTAATGTGAGGGATTTAAATAGAGCTTGCAGTCCAAAGTGAGGTATTAAAACTGAGCCCGCAGTCCAAGTGAGGCGTTTAACGGAGAGCCTGCAGTCCGGTGCGAGGGAGTTAAACGATGTGAGGGATCCAACAGAGCCTGCAGTTTTTTATTTTTTATTTATTTATTTATATTTATTTATATTTATATTTATTTATATTTATTTATATATATTTATTTATTTTTATATATAAGCGTTCCAGATATAAGCAGTACCATATATGCAGTTCCAATATGAGCAGTTCCATATAAGCATTTCCGTATACAAGCCGTTCCATATATAAGCAGTTCCATATATAGCAGTTCCATATATAGCAGTTCCATATATAGCAGTTCCATATATAAGCAGTTCCGCATGAAGCAGTTCCAGGTACGGTATAACAGCTCCAGATATAAGCAGTTCCAGATATAAGCAGTTCCGTGCGGGATTAACCTGGGAGCTCGCAGTCCAGAGGGATTTAAACGGGGCTTGCAGTCCAAAGAGAGGGATTTAAACAGAGCTCGCAGTCCAGAGAGGGATTTAAAGAGAGCCTGCAAGCCAAAGTGAGGGATTAAAACTGATAGCACACAGTCCAATGTAAGGGATTAAACTGAGGTCTTGCAGTCCAATGTGAGGAATAACGGAGCTTGCAGTCAGAGTGAAGGATTTAAACGGAGCTTGGTTAAGAGAGCCTGCAGAACAATGCGAGGGCTTTAAACTGAAGCTTGCCCACCAATGCACGGGGCCAACTGAGCCTGCAGTACAAAGCGCGGGGCGAACTGAGCCTGCAGTACAATGCGAGGGGAATAAACCGTCCGCATACTTACCCACAACGCCAGAAGACAAGGGACAACACAACGGGACCACGCCGTACCGGCACGAGGAGGCAGGGATGCGCACAGCTCCCACCGCACAGCTCCCACCGCACCGGGCCAGACCGGCCGTATGCAGCAGCAGGCCGCGACGAGACGAGCAGCGGCGAACCCGCAGAAAGAGCCCGCAAAGGAGGAGAGCGGCAAAGACCCACGGACCACAGCACGAGACCCGCAGCAGGTGCAGCGACGCGGAGGAGGAGCAGACCACACGCAGCAAGACAGAGGACAGCAGGGACCGCAGGAGTAAGCGTGAGTAGACAAAGCGATTCCTCCAGAACGATTCATGCAAGGCTTCAGAGGCCGAGAGTGGGAGTTTCTCCGTTTTTATGCGGCTGGCGAGTCGGTACAGATGATTGGAAGGGGGCGTCTGCTGTGCGATAGGCTGGGGATGCGAGCCGGCCTGGAGGGGGTAATTTTGGTTAACGTCTACCAAATTGAAATTTCGCTGGCTGCATTTATCTCGAACAGGCTCCAAGGACGGGAAATTGGAGCCAAATTCTGCCAGGTCGACTTCCTGAACACCAAAGAACCGACCAGGAGCGAGATTGGCACCTGATTGGTTTGTTGATAGGGGTGATACCTGGATTTACCAAAACAATATTTATATAAACGCCAGGATTATGTAGAGCGTTAAACTGGTTATTTTTATCCCAATAGTAGGGATGTAACTTATTAATGAAAATGAATAGGAGCCAAAGCCAGGGCGAGCAAAACTTCATCCATGAACTTCCCTAAGGCTTCACCAAGCTACAACGTTTGCAAATGTAACTGAAAACAATAGGCATGAATCAGTGCTGTTGAATAAAGAGTTCCCTGTGTGTCCTCAGGGTGGCGCCCCAGCTTTAAGTACTACAACATGTGGGTGTCTCTGGCCGGAGCCGTGCTGTGCTGCATCGTCATGTTCGTCATAAATTGGTGGGCGGCGCTGGTCACTCTGCTCATCGTGCTCGCGCTCTACGTCTACGTGGGCTACAAGAAACCAGGTCTGAAGTCCCCCTGAGCTGGTCAGGGTTTAGACCTGGTCCTCCCGTACTTTGTGGATCTATATGGCTCACATACCCTGGTTCAAAAAATACATAAAGCTACATTTTGATGAATTGTAAATAATTAAATTAAAAGTATATTTGAAATGGGGAGAGCCGGTTACTAATGTGAATGTCAGACATAAAGGACAGCATGGTGGCTGAGTGGTTAGCACTCTGGCTTCTTGGCAAGAAGGCCCTGGGTTCGAAACCTGGTCCCCAGCAGTTCCCCGGGAACAAGGTCTTTCCACTTCCACTAAATCTAAGTACACAAGTACTAATAATTAAAATCTTCCAGTTTTGGCCTTCCCAACTAACAAAGCTGAGCACATACATCTGGAGATGGACACTGCACTGTGGCCTGGGCCTGGTGGCTTTGAGTAATGGGTCAAATGCAGAGGTCAAAATGTGCTGCGTGGACAACAACGTATAACTTAACTTAACTTCATACAAAGTATAGCATAAACTTTCTATAAAAAAATCAACAAACAAAAATAAAGTGAAATAGATTTTTCTTCATAATGTGAATTGAAGAGGAATGACTGTATGTTGTCTATGTTGTCATACTGTAAAACATAGGACCGTTCTTTACTAATGGAAACCAGAGTCTTGACTTTCTCTCTCTGCTCTGGTGCAGATGTGAACTGGGGCTCCTCCACTCAGGCTCTAATCTATAACCAGGCTCTGACCCACAGTCTGGACCTGACCATCGTCCCGGATCATGTGAAGAACTTCAGGTCTGTACCAAAATGTGGCGCTATTGTGAATGCAAGGAGGGAGGATTGTGAGAAACGTGAAAGAATTGTAAGTTCAGGAGTCTTCAACCATTTTAAGGAAGGCACTGATCCCGTGTGGTCCCCTCAGTCACTTCATTTGAGGTGGATCAGTAAAAGTGTCATGTGAATTTACTGTGTACTCAGTTTAATAGAGGGTTCTAACTGACAGTGGTTGGCCAGATGGTCAGCACTAGATCATATACGGAAGCGGGACGGAAGCGGAAGTAAATATAACCAACTACCTATTCATGCCTAAACTGAACCAGCCATTCCCATAAAATAACCCCAACCGACCCTTAACCCTGACCTTAACCATCTTACTCAGACACATAAAACTTAACCAGTCACCACTTAAGGAACTTATTAGTCTAAAACTAATTCGAAAGTAGGATTGTTACTGCCGCTTTCGTCCCAATTCCGTATATGATCTAGTGCCGACCTTGGCGAGAATGCTGCTGGACGCCATGGTTACCACAGCATTTCCCCAGATGCTGCTTTGTTGTGGCTAGGTTGCGAGGATATAGAAGCATAATGGAAATACAACCAGGTCCAGTAGAGCCGAGTAAAGTAGAGTAGAGTAGGGAAAAGTAGTGTGCAATATCTTGAACTACCACTGACCCTTTACTTTATGTATCTGTGCAATAATAACTTTAATAATGTCACAGTCTACAATATAATATAATATCACATGTGTCCACTGTCACTTACCCTAAGGCTGCTAACACGTGCAAATGTATACTGTACCTACAACTATATATTTCCTTCCTAATTATGTTAAAGTCAGAGATTTTGTTCTTAATTCTTACTTCTTATCATGCTAAAGTTGCTCTTAATTCGTGCTTCTTCATTATGCTAATGCTAGAGATGTTTTATTGCTACTTTTTTATGCTAAAGTTAGAAATTGTATTGATTTAGTTGTGTTGTTTAATTGTGTTGAGTTATTGTTCATTTATCTTGTGTTGTGTGCTCCTCATTCCTACTGTTCTGTAACTGGTGATGCAACACTGAAATTTCCCTACTGTGGAAAGAGGCCTGGTGTGAAGCCTGTCTCTTGGTTCAGTCTGTGTTTTCAAAGTGTATTTCCTGTGTTTGTGTCAGACCCCAGTGTCTGGTTTTAGCAGGTTTTCCAAACGCACGTCCTGCTATGCTGCACCTCGTCAACTCCTTCACCAAGAACGTCGGACTCATGCTCTGTGGACACGTCAGAATCGTATGTACCACTGCTGCTACTGCTACTACTAATACTACTGCTACTGCTGCTACTGCTACTGCTGCTACTAATACTACTGCTACTGCTGCTACTACTATTATTACTACTACTATTGCTACTGCTACTGCTATTACTACTACTGCTGCTACTGCTAGAACTACTGCTAGAAATACTGCTACTACTGCTACGACTGCTGTACCTCCTACTAATAATACTACTATTACTGCTACTACTACTACAATGTAAACAAATCAAAGTACAATGTGCAGATGTTTTTGCATCAGAAATGGCTCCACACAGTGAGGTTGTTCTTCCTGAAACAGTCGGTCAGATCTAAGGCACATTTCTGTTTTTGTTCTTTGACAGTTGAGTCGTCGTCCGAACCTGAAGGATTTGGCGTTGGAGCACGGCCGCTGTCAGCGCTGGCTGCAGAAGAAGAGGATCCGAGCGTTTTACTCACCGGTGCTTGCCGATAACCTGAGACACGGAGCCCAGCTGCTGCTGCAGGTGTGAGGGACTGGGACTGGTTGGCTGTCCACTGACTCTAACCAGTGTTGTGGTACTATCAGATCTTACCCACCCTTTCTTGTAGACAATTATACATAGTACACAACAAAAACATGCACAAATTGGCTTGAATTAGACTTTGATTGTTTTAAAACTAGATTTGCAGATGGGACATGAGACAAGCAAATCTTTACTTGGAATCGGACAAAAAACATGACCAACCTTAAATGAAGATTTTTTTCCTTGTCCCATTGCCAAATGTTGCTTTGAATGTAATGTATTTATTTATTTGATCAGGGACACCACACTATAAACATCAGTCGTTTCCACCTGCACAGGTTGATGATATATTTACAGTAAGACAACCACAGGTTGATGATATATTCACAGTAAGACAACTGATAGCAGGTCAATAGAGATAGCGGTTTCAGACTCAGACCTGGATCTAACAGAGCTCTCTGCAGGCGGCTGGTCTGGGTCGACTCAAACCCAACACTCTGGTGATGGGCTTCAAGAAGAACTGGAGCGACCAAGAAATGAGAGAAACTGAGCTGTACATCAACACCATACAGTAAGAATGACAGCACGCTTTTTTGTGTTGAAAATTAGCCTGGTCTTGCTATAACGCTAAAGGCAGTGCATCTGGTCTGTCCATATCATATAAATCAGGGAACCCTTTGTTGGGCTTTTTTACAACATCTTTATGATCTGAAACATTTTGTCAGAGTAGCACTATTTGTGGTGGACAAGATAAGAAATACCTTTATTTGTCCCTCAGTGTGGATAGTTGCGCATGTTACAGGAGAGAAGGAGAAATATGGAGATGAAAGCACTTTCCTTGGCCTCCTCATGTGTCTTTTTCACCCCCTCCATATTTCCCATCTTTAAAAACACCATAGATCCCAGTTCAGTAGCCTTCAGACCAGCGCTAGCTTCAGTGGCTGGTACCTCAACATTCAAAAAGGACAAACATTGAGCAGGGAAAAGTAATCAGTCATTCAAACCATCTCAAGTTTTTATTTTATTATGTTTTTGTTTTAACTTTATCCTGCTGTGTTTGTGCGAATGTGAGCAAGGAACTAAAGCATGATTTCCTTCCCAATCAATCACGCATTTATTTATCTACCTTTTTGTTTTGTTTGTGTTTTCTCAGTGACGCGTTTGACCTTCAGTTTGGGGTGGTGCTGCTCAGGCTCCAGGACGGACTGGACATCTCCCACATCCAGGGACAAGGTCTGTTTTTTTTTAACTAAATTTCATATCATTATTATACCTCATTGCAGACTGGGGCACTCCGTTATTATTTCAGAGTTCTTACGGAAACATAATCCACACCATGACATTTTCAAGCTCAAAATGTTGAGTGTGACACAAACGATCACTGAGCTGAATGTAGGTCAATAGGGGCCAGAGCGAGTTAGGGTAAATCTTTGTCCATGGGCACTTCCCTATTGGGCTTCATTGAGCTAGAATTGGGTTAGCGTTGTCTGTCTGTATACAGTCTATGGTTTACACTTGTTTAATGATGTGTTTTTGTTGTTGCAGATGAACTGACTGTGGAGAAACCCAAAGGCACGTCAGTGAACACAGACCCTAGTCCAAATCCCAACGGCACCCAGAGCATCCCTCTCATTATTAAAGGTACATTTGCATTTTACCGTGGACGTTTTACCCCCCAGATAAATGGAAAAGGAAGGAAAAACACTATAATACATATTAAGTGAAAGAATATGGAACTAAAAAAATATAGATTTGATTGATTTGAAACTAGTACCACCACCTCCTGCTGGTGCCCAGAGATGGGACTAGACATGGGGAGGCAGCGTTCCGGACCTATGCACCTAGATTCTGGAACAGTCTTCCCGAAGGTGTGAGACAGGCTGCTACCCTGGCTATATTCAAGTCCAGGCTGAAAACAGTTCTTTTCAGCTGTGCCTACGACTGATCATCAGGCAACGGATCCTCATTTTATTATTGATAATTACATATGTATATATTAACTCATTTCTTCTTAAATTGTCTGTTGTATTTGTTTTTACAGTGTGTTTTTAAAATAGCTTTAAATGTTGCCAATGTGAAGCACTTCAGGTTGCATTCTGTATGAACTGTGCGATATAAAAAAGATTGATTGATTGATGGATTGATATGTTTGTTTTTATTCAGCTATTATCTACTGAAATATACAGTAGCTATTCTTCCTGGGGTCTGTATACTCATCAATGTCACAATGGACAAAAATGAATGCACAAACAAAAAATATGGTGAAACAAAAATACAGAAATGTTACAACAAAAACACACAGTAATCAGAACCAAATAACAAACTCAATTTAAATGTATTTTGCCCCTAGTGCCCTCTATGGATCTAATTTTCCTTAATTCTTACATGTTTCTGTGTCCACATCAGACAGTAAACCTCCGCTGAGCCTCACGGACCAGAGGCTGCTCGAGTCCAGTCAGATCTTCAAGAAGAAGCGGGGAAAAGGAACCATCGACGTGTGGTGGCTGTTTGACGATGGAGGTTATGAACTTCAAATACTTAAGTTTGGGAAAATAGACAGCTCTGTCGTCCTTTTAACGAATATTATGATCTTTCAAAAGGTTATATAAGACATAACATCTGCCTGTGATATAGTGATAATTATCGGGTGTGTGTGTGTGTATGTGTGTGTGTGTATGTGTGTGGGGGGTGTGTATGTGTGTGGGGGGGGGGGGGGTGTGTGTATGTGTGGGGGGGGGGGGGGTGCGTGTGTGTGTGTGTGCGTGTGTGTGTGTGTGTGTGTTGGTGTGTGTGCGTGTTTGTGTGTGTGTTTGTTGTGCTTGTTTGTGTGTGTATGTGTGTGTGCGTGTTGGTGTGTGTGTGTGTATGCGCGTGTTGGTGTGTGTGTGTATGTGCGTGTTGATGTGTGTGTGTGTGGGGGGGGGGTGTTGGTGTGTGTTTGTGTGTTTGTTGTGTGTGTGTTTGTTGTGCTTGTTTGTGTGTGTGTTTGTTTGTGTGTGTGTGTGTTGGTGTGTGTGTTGTTGTGTGTGTGTGTGTTGTTGTTGTGTGTGTTTGTTGTGTGTGCGTGTTGGTGTGTGTGGATGTGTCTGTGTGTGTGAGATTGTTCAGAGTGATTTCCTGTTGCGTCCTCTCGAGTCACTAGTGCGTGTTGGTGTGTGTGTGTTTAAGGTTTTGCTTAGACAAGGTGGCAATCTGCAATTTTTGTCTTCCTTTGCTAAAACGTTAATGTATATATAACATTGCTAAAGTCAGGGTTTTTTGTACTTAATCTTTTCTTCTTTCCTTATTATGCTAAAGTCAGAGATGTTATTCTATTTTATATTAGTGTAGGATTATTGTTTATTTATTTTGTGCTGTGCTCCTCATTCCTACTGTTCTGTCACTTGTGATGCAACACTGTGGGATATATAAAAGATTTCTTAATTTAACGAGCGATTATAGCCCTCGCTGTTTCCAGATCCCGAAACATAATTGTGAAAAGGGAAGTGCATGCAAGACAGCCCAGATATCACTTATAACTAGAAGACTTCTGTAAGGAGTAATGGGTAAAAATCTATAAAACCAATGTGGGGGTAGATGGCATAACAGACGTAGCTGCGTATCCACACTAAACACTTCAACAATACTACTATGATAATGATGATATTGATACTAGACTTTAATGTAGTGAGCTAAATACCAATGTTCTCTCTGTCACAGGTCTGACCCTGCTGATCCCGTACCTGCTCACAAACAGAGGGAAATGGGGCGACTGCAGAATCCGAGTTTTTATGGGTGGAAAAATCAACCGCATCGACCACGACCGAAGAGCGTGAGGAATTTTACTCCCATCGATTCAATGCAGTTTATTCTTGTTTAGCCCTAAATCACAACAGTAGTTATCTCGGAGGACTTTACACAACCGTTGACTTTGCCAGGTCAGATCAGAAAATCAGTTCAAACACAAGAAATGCAGTGATAGAAAACACAAGATGACCAATGTCCATAAATGTTTATAAATATCCATAAACGTTGTTGAGTTGAGTGTCCTGGATCATCAAAGGTAAAGGTGCACTTTATTAATCCCCGTTGGCAGGGCTGGACTGGGACAAAAAAACGGCCCGGGCATTTTTTCCTTCTTACCGGCCCAGGCATGTTTTTGTCACGTTTTTTACAGTTTGTTTATACCAGGGATTGGCAACTCAAAAGGTTCAAAGAGCCATATTTGACAAAAAATACTAAAAACATCTGTCTGGAGCCGCAAAAAAATAACAGCCTTGTATAAAGCTTATATGAAGGTTACACAATGTAGCTACATTAGCCTATTATCTAAATGACCAAGTAAAGGCTACAAATACATGATTAGCATTCATGATTGTCAAATGTGTGTTTTCACTGCAGCGTGTCCTGGAGAGAATGACGCACCACGTGATGACTCTACTTTAACTTTGACTTCCATTTTTTTGCCTTCATGCAACTGTAGAAATACAATAAATAAATCTGCTTTTTGGCTCAAAGGTCACACACCTGCACTGTCCACTCATATCGATTACGTCACAGGCTGAAGTTTGCTGGAGCTGAATGTCCTTAATGGCCTTTTCTTTCACAGCCTTTGCGGAGGTTTTTGAAGTCTGAAAAAGGTGCTCCGGATTTTGTATGAAAGAATCCTTCACGTAATCCCTGTGAACGGTATTTAGTGCTTCATTGTTCCTCGTGTTGCAACAAAACTTCCTATTACATCGCAAACATGAAGCAGTCCTTCCTCATTGACTGAAAGCAAATGTTCAGTCTTGTTCTTAGTCCAGTCTTATCAACTCGTTCTCTTTTTATCTTTGGGATCCGTGCGCACACGCCGGTTTGTTTACAGCAGCAGCCGTCTGCCGCGGGGCCGCGCCACAGGATATGACTCACTACGTTGACAGAAATGTTGAAATTGAATATTACTTATACACATTTTTACAGCATTGAAATACGTTAGGAATGTTTTTACTCCTACAGAAACCACATTCAAACTAGGAATAAAATATAGCCCTCCCACTCCATTTTCAGACATTTTTGAAAAGGCTCCAGGAGCCACTGGAGGAGCACTAAAGGTTGCCGACCCCTGGTTTATACAGTATGTGGAAGCAAATACTGTAGAGGATCAGGATGTCTACAGTTTCAACAAAAAAATAAAAGTGCAATAGTCTACATTACAAGAGAGTAATAAACATGTCTCAGAGTGAAGGAGGTGGACACAGACAACACTGTTGTTTGTTACAGGGATGAGAATTGGTCAAAAAAGTCTGAAATGCATAATGTCAGCCATTGGCTGGCTCTAAATCTGTTTAATTTTTTCACAACATTTTACTTTTGTGCTCAAACATGAACTTTTAATGCAATGGAAAATTTAAGCACCCGAGCTTTAATTTAGTCGCACTTCGAGAGAAGAGGGGAGACGCGGACTATTTCCTGAAGCGGTGTATTTATTGGGTGCACAAATTACGCAAAGACACGCATGGTCCTGTGCGCGTTTATGGTCTTGGGTACATGGGCACGTTGCGGCTACGTGCTCACCGTGTTGTGTTGTGAGCGGCTCCCGGTGAGCGGCTCCCGCGTCCAGCTCAGAGCCGTTGGATGCCGGAACACTGCGGCCGCTGAGGTGGTGGAATCCCGTTCGAGTACATACAGCAGGTGCCCGCGGACACGCGCGCCCCCTCGAACAGTTCTCAACGGATTTACACTTTTCACAAACATCTTTTTTGTATGAGGCAAACAGACCGGCCCAAATATGGGCATCGGCCCTTCTGGCATTGCCCGGTACGCCCGATGGCCAGTCCAGCCCTGCCCGTTGGGCAATTCATCCTCTGCATTTGACCCATCCTGATGCCACTAAGGCTTACGTCAGGCGCAGTGGTCACCGTAGTAACAGCGCCCGGGAACCCATCTCCTGATGTTGATGCTCAGCTTGGTCAGGACTACTAGAGCTGGAGGATTTAACCTAGTGCGCATGTTGTTAGTGGTAGGGGAAACCGGAGTACCCAGAGGAAACCTACGCAAGCACGGGGAGAACATGCAAACTCCACTCAGAAAGACCCCGTTACGACCGAGATTCTCCTGCTGAGAGGCGAGGGGCTATCCACTCAGCCACTGTCCTATGTCCCTCCTGCATCAACCCAGTGGGGAAAATGTAGAATCTTGGGGAAGCCCACATTGAGAGAGGGATGTAGGCGCTTGTGTGGTGATATTGTCAACAGTTCAAATCCCATCAAATTCTAACATACTGTTCTTTTAACTATTTCAAATATCGTAAATTTCTCAAAGGCAAGACGCAGCTGTGGCTTGACCGGTCGTATGGAGTAAATACTAGTAAATGAATAACGCCGAAGCATCTGTTCTATGCATTATCATATGTACTGTATATATAGACAAACAAAATCCTAATTAGTTATACCTGTAAGTAGTTGATATAATCTGTTGAAGTAATCGATATGTATTTTTTTGAACCATTTATAGATTTAACTGTGAAGGAATGTATAACTCAGATAATTCTATAATCTCTGCAGAATTAAATTAAGATAAGACAAGATAAGTGATCTCAAATTGGAGAAATCACTCAGATTGTGTAAAAACTAGACATGTTAAGGTAAAAAAATATAATAAATATTTTCAATTATGGAGATCCCATATTCCCGATGTGACCTTTCGCAAGCTTAACAACTTTTCAATTATGTGTGCGTGTGTGTGTGTGTGTGCGTGTCTGTCTGTCTTAAATCCGTGTTGTGTGTTTTCAGGATGGCCATGCTGTTGAGTCGCTTCAGGATCGACTTCTCTGACATCACCGTTTTGGGCGACATCAACACCAAACCCAAAAAGCACAAGTAACAGCTTCGCCCTTTTACATTTATATAATACACACAGCTGAAATTGTATAATTTCCAAAACGGCTTGAGTAAAAGCAAAAATTATAGATACAAAATACTACAAGGAGGTGATTCCAGTTTTTGACCACATGTCTCTGTAATCCCCCCGGTAAAACCAATAAACCATCACCAGTAAGTAAGTATTAGTAAGTCAGTCAAGTATTTGAATTCATTTAATCCAATCAGGGAGCAGGGGCGGAGCATGGGCCTGTGTTATAAACAGAAAAATTCAATACACAGTAAATAAGTGAACATGTGAGTTAAATCTATATTGATAGTAGGATATTTTGATATTTTGACTTTCTGTGGAGATCTAGAACTTCTCTATCTACTGCCAGAACAGATACTCACCATATTAACAACACCCATAAGCTGAAAGATTTGAAAATGTCTCACAATGTTCATGTGTTGTTGCAGTAAGCTGAGTTTTAAGGAGCTGATCGAGCCGTACAGACTGAGAGAAGACAACATGCAGCAGGAAGAGGCCGAGCGGCTGAAGGCCCTGGAGCCCTGGAGGATCACTGACAACGAGCTGGAGCTTTACAAAGCCAAGGTGAAGCAGGAAACAGACACGCCCTGAATCAGAATGTAACCCTTGAACTGAAACATGTTGAGATTTATTCATATTCGTTTGGTAGAACAAAGGCCTTTTAGATAGTACATCATGGAAATAGTACTTACTAAATTACCAAAGTTGTTTATCATAGATTCTTTATCATAATTGTTTGAGTGTGTTTAAAGGGACAGGCCTCTTTTCTGTCCCCAGATAACAAGTCACATCATGTACAACCGTTTCTGTTATTCTTAGAAATTCAATCACATGATGTCCATAGTACAGTACTTGAGTATTAAGCGCACCTGCATATAAAACATGTTTTATCTTGAAAAGAAAGTCATTTTTTATGTTTTTTTTCTGCATACAGGCTGCACTTGACTATAAGTCTGAGGTTTTCATGTTGTATTGTAAACTTAAAGGCACACCGCGGACTTTGTGACCTAAAGAGTTGACACATATGAGTTATTTTATATGAATACTTGGGCCAATATACAGCGCTTGACACTTGCAATGCTCCGAGCGGGGCTGCCCTCTTGAAATACCGCCCATGTAAGTTTCGAGCAGACGGACCGTCTGCCACCAGGTCACGTGACTTGGAAGAAACACTTGCTTTACGGCTACAGGCGCTGATATACTCATGGAGCTAAGGCTTTTGCTACTCATTTTTCACCTGCTCGACTCCTGGTCATGGCTGAGGCAAGGAAAAATTTTAAACCTTCGGAGGAGGCTAAAAAGAGGAAACGCGAAAGGGATCGTGCTGTAAGCTGCATGTCTGTATGAGCGCTGCTCTTCACCTGGTTCCTGGATGTCATCGACTGCAAAGATGTCATTCCACGCAGCACGAGCTAGACGCAGAACTCCCTCATCCAGGATATAGAAGTCCATGTGTGGTAGATTACTAATGCAGCGGTCTGGAGGCTGACCACAGCAGAGTCTCTCAATATCTGTAGGCATGTCTCTACAGTTTGAACACACACACCAGTGCATGCTGTCTGAATACACACTCAAAAGACACCGGCTGACTGTTTGTTGACTTTTGCGACAGTGCTGAGTTGCTTGTGGCCACTAGGGGCGCTAAACGTGAAAGTTGCAGGTCTAGCGCCCCTAGTGGCCAAGAGTTACACGGTGTGCCTTTAACAAAAGGCTAAAAGAGAAAAAGCGGAGACGACTGTTTTAACTGGACACAACATGATCGAATGCCAAGTTGCACTGTTGATGATCAAACATTCAAACTAAAACTTGATGGAGTCAAAACAAGTCCATAAATTCTGACTAAATATCCATCAAACATACTAAAAAAAAAAAGTACTGTGTATTTCCCTGTTCTTCCTTTTGTCTCTCTGCTGTTCACTTAAACACATAGTGAAGTAGGAATGTGTGCCACGACGTCAGCTGATGGGGCAGTGTCCAAACCACTTCCTGCACATTACTTACTTACTTACTAGGGGGCACTCTGACAAAATATAAACACATACATACATGCTCTGGTATTCATATCTAATACAGAGAGTTTGTAAACTCCAGCTGGTGGATTGCATCAGTAATCGGTGCTTTGGAGCCTGATGTGTCACAGGCAGAAGATTCAGTCGATAAAACTGTGTGACTGCAGCATATTACACACTCTCCCTTTAACACAGAGTCAATCTCTCCAGTTGCTAATATCATCTTGGAATCCACATCGTTTTCTATAAAAGATGTATTTGTCTGTAACAGTTCCTTGTGTTATTTCCTCAAAACTTCTTGAATTGTTTGTTTCAGACAAACCGTCAGATCCGGCTGAACGAGCTTCTGCAGGAACATTCCAACGCAGCCAAACTCATCGTCATGTGAGAATAAGAATCATGTTTCAATGTTAAAGGACCTAAAAGAACACAAATAATGATATACAGTATGTTGCTTTTATGCCTAATTGATGCTTTCACAAAGAGGGCGGGAACCTTTTTAGTTGAGAGCCCAAAAAGTCTCATACTTAAAAAATGTATTACTGTGGGAGCCATAAGATAAGAGAACCTTTATTTGGCCCGCAGTGGGGAAATTTCAATGTTGCAGCGCACATACAGGACAGTAGTAAGAGCACACAAATATACAATATAAGTAGCTGCTATGTTTCTTAGCTAGCTGTAAATACTTCAATATATCTATCTATATATATATGTGTGTGTTTAAAGTTATATATACATATAGGCCAGGATGATAAGTAGATAAAGTGACATTCAGTGGACATTCTGAAATTAAAGTATTTACTATTTACAGATGACATATAGGCTCAGCAGTTCTCATCGTACAATCTGACAGCAGCAGGAAGGAAGGACCTGCGGAACGTCTCCTTTCACACACATTTTAAAACAAAATCAACACATTTCGAGTGATATTTTAGTTTCAAAGTGTTTTCTTTGACGGCATTTTTATACAGAAGAAATACAATGCATAAAACATTCTATTAAGTTTGAGAGCCAGACACAATTATTAAAAGAGCCTAGGTTCCTGACCCCTGCTTTAACCCGTACCTCCCTCTCTCTGCAGAAGCATGCCCCTAGCCCGTAAAGGCACAGTCTCTAGCGCCCTCTACATGTGCTGGCTGGAAACGCTGTCCAAAGACCTGCCTCCGCTTCTGTTGGTGCGCGGGAACCACCAGAGCGTCCTCACTTTCTACTCCTGAAGGATCCAGACTTTACCTGCAAAAGATCCAGAGTTTAACAGAACCGGGACATCAGCAACAGACTTTTACAACGTGCAGCTCGTTCATTATTGTGTCATCTTAATTTTAGCACAGATTCTGTGAGGAAATGTTACAGTGTGGGGCTTTAACCTGCTCCAAAAGATTGTTGGTGGTAATTAGTAACAGTATGTGCTCCTCGAAAAACAGAACTGAAGTTTTGATTTTCTTCATTCTAGGCTTTTCTGATCTTGACCACATGATTAACAAACATTAATACAAGCGATATATAATGACCTTGTTCAGTAGTGCGCCCTCTGCTGTCGGTTCAAGAAGATTAAAAGAGAAAATATATATTTTTTAGTTTACATCCATATATTTTATGTCCTCAGACACGAGATAAACATGTACACATTATACAGTAGGGTTGGGAACATAAGGGTACCTCACAATACGATACAAAGCTCACGATAACGATGTGACGATTATCGATATATTGGTCAGCCAATATGCCAATATGCCAATTTATGGCATAAAAGAAAAAATACTTTATTTCATGATAAATGGAATGGAGATGCGTAATGTAGCCATATATTAAGTTGATACATTTTTATTTATTTTTTATTGTAAACAATAAATAAATAAAAACTTGGCAAATGCATATCGATAATCGAATCGTGGGAGAAAGTATCGCGTACACCCCTATTATACAGTGCATCCGGAAAGTATTCACAGCGCTTCACGTTTTCCACAATTTGTTTTGTTACAGCCTTATTCCAAAATTGATTCAATTCATTTTTTCCCCTCACAATTCTACACACAACACCCCATAATGAAAATGAGAAGTTTTTTTGGGATTCTTGCACATTTATTAAAAATAAAAATACTAAGAAACCGTACATAAGTATTCACAGCCTTTGCTTAATACTTTGTTGATGCACCTTTGGCAGCAATTACAGCCTCAAGTCTTTTTGACTATGATGCCACAAGCTTGGCACACCTGTCTCTTTGCAGCACCTCTCAAGCTCCATCATGTTGGATGGGGAGTGTCGGGGCACAGCCATTTTCAGATCTCTCCAGAGATGTTCAATTGGATTCAAGTCTGGGCTCTGACTGAGCCACTCAAGGACATTCACAGAATTGTCCTGAAGCCACTTATTTGTTATCTTGGCTGCGTGCTTAGGGTCGTTGTCCTGTTGAAAGAACGTCGCCCCCAGTCTGAGGTCAAGAGCGCTCTGGAGCAGGTTTTTATCCAGGATGTCTCTGTACATTGCTGCATTCATCATTCCCTCTATCTTGACTAGTCTCCCAGTTCCTGCCGCTGAAAAACATCCCCACAGCATGATGCTACCACCACCATGCTTCGCTGTAGGGATGGTATTGGTGATGAGCAGTGCCTGGTTTCCTCCAAACATGACGCCTGGCATTCACGCCAAAGAGTTCAATCTTTGTCATCAGACCAGAGAATTTTTTTACTCATGGTCTGAGAGTCCTTCAGGTGCCTTTTGGCAAACTCCAAACTAAGAAGCAGCTTCCGTCTGGCCACTCTACCATACAGGCCTGGTTTGTGGTTTGCTGCAGAGATGGTTGTCCTTCTGGAAGGTTCTCCTCTCTCCACAGAGGAACGCTGAGCTCTGACAAAGTGACCATCGGGTTCTTAGTCACCTCCCTGACTTCTCCCCCAATCGCTCAGTTTAGAATGCCGGCCAGCTCTAGGAAGAGTCCTGGTGGTTCCAAACGTCTTCTTTTTACGGATGATGGAGGCCACTGTGCTCATTGGGACCTTCAAAGCAGCAGACATTTGTCTGTACACTTCCCCAGACTTGCCTCGAGACAATCCTGTTTCGGAGGTCTGCAGACAATTCCTTTGACTTCATGCTTGGTTTGTGCTCTGACATGCGCTGTCAACTGTGGGACCTTATATATACAGGTGAGTGCCTTTCCAAATCAAGTCAAATCAACTGAATTTACCCATTAAGCAATAGAAGCATCTCAAGGATGATCCGTGGAAACAGGATCCACCTGAGCTCAATTTTGAGCAAAGGCTGTGAAATTGTGAATACTTATCTATCTATTTGTTTTTTCATTTGTAATACATATGCAAACATTTCCCAAGAAATTGTTTTCACGTTGTCATTATGGGGTTTATTATGTAGAATTTTAAGGGAAAAAAATGAATTGAATCCATTTTGAAATAAGGCTGTGACATAACAAAATGTGAAATAATTGAATACTTTCTGGAGGCACTGATCTCTCATCCAAGTTTAATGCAGATTTGTTCCAAATTCCAAACTCGATGGAAAAAACTATTGTCTTCAAATACAATTAGCATCACATGAGTCTCTCATTTGGTAAGCGGCCTTTCCTTGTTTTGTTTATTTTTTATGGTGAATTAAAACCTACAATGAATGATTGGAATATTGGACTTTTATAACTAATGTTTGTTAAACTAAAATGATATTCTTTATGGATTATATGAATATATTGTTGTTGGCTGGACACTAAACATATTTATGGATGTGGAAGGAAAATGAATCCTCGGTAAATTCCCAGAATTGATTGTATTAATGAATAACTTACCAAACACGGTGGTGCAGGGTTAAAGGGGTAAATGAAAAGTTACCTTGCCAAAAGTATGTTTTTATTGAATATGTAATTAATTCAATAAACATATCCAAATGTTTTGCTGAAACTAATTGTTGACTTTTGGTTGTGATCATCTAGAAACACTTATCTGATTGTACGGTACGACAGTTTAAATGATGCCAGTTTGCCAACATTTCCGGTTGCCCTTCACGCAGAAGACTTTGTGTTGAAACTAGTGCTGTCAGTTAAACGCATCAATAACGCAAACCCTTTTTAACGGTGTTCATTTTTGTATCGCACAATAACGCATGTTCTATGAAGACCACGTCACTGTGCTACAAAAATATCTATGTGCGTAATGTATGTTCCAGGCTTCTACCACGGGCACGTATCTGAAATAAGCACTGAGGCACCCTACGCACGCCGCTGCGGAAAGCGGAGAGGCATGGCATGCGCTGTGTCGGGAACGTACGGTGCAGCAGTCGCACTCACTCCTCAGTGGACAGACATCAGGAATCACAGCTATCTCCAGGTCACTGCCCAAACGATGAAGCTTGAATTATTTCTCCTCAGTGTCATATACACTATAACCATCTGTACATCTGTATATGTATCTATAAACTGACTTGAATGAAAACATAAAACAAAAGAGTAGCCTTTATTTGACAATTCAAGTCATTTCTAGTTTGTTAAAAGTTCTATACACTGTAAAAAGTATGTTCGGTATTTCTCTTCCACAAATTTTGTTTTTAAAAAATCCATCCCTAACTATATTATCCGATGGAAGAATTAGTTCAAACAATTTCATACTTCACTTAATCTCATTAATACTAAAAATACTATTGAACATGTATTGATACATGCCCTTTACATCTACAGGTAACTGCAAATACCTAAACGTATGCCCTGGTCTTGTTTTTGTTTTTTTTGTCATACTATATGTATTTGTATATGTATGTTGTGTTTTTTAAGGCACCTGTTATAATAATAAAGAAAATGATGAAGAACATGTATTTGTTGGCCCTGTCACAACTTTATATCTTCTTTTTCAGACAGAAAAATGAAAAGGAGAACCCCCCTCACTTCAGCCTCGCTCTCAGTCCAGTCACAGGGCACTAGTTTGTGTGCAGAATGTAACATTTCAACATATTTACGTTTTCTATTAAGATGAAGTCCAGATGATGCAGGTTGAGTATAATTAATTAAAAGGACCTTTATTCGTCCCACAGTGGGGAAATTATGAATAAAAAAAGTTAGGTACCCCAGCTTTAATAGGCTAGATGCTGGAAGGCACTGACAGGCAGCATAGGTCGGTATGATCTTCATCAGCACCGTGACTTCATAATAATATTACATAATTTTTACAGTCTGGTTTTATGGAAAGCAAATATAAGGGAACGTCATCGAACTGCGCCGTGTTTTCTCTGCGTCGCGTCGGTTGTGACGTCAGCATCTTTTGTAAACAAAGCGACAGAGCCAAAAGTCCAAGGTGAGACCACTGTCCACAGGAGCTGCAGGTACAACAGGTGTAGATATAACAGGATATTGGTTTAATGGTAGTAGCAGTTATAATAACATTAGGGAGTTTGTCATAATACGAGTGCTGTCTGCAGAAAGTGCTCGGCTTCTGTAGTTTTGTAATAGAGTAAAAGTAGAATTGCAGCACATAGAAAAAAAAAACCTTGGAAAATACTACGGGAGCACTGATTACTTTATGTAGCACAAATAGTAACTAGTAGGGGAAAGCATGGCACAATATATACCGTTAAATTGATTTTAAATGCAAATGAATACATTTCTGTCATTTTTGAAAGTAATTATTGCTTTTATTTTCTCACTTGGGCAATGATGCTTCTGGCAAATTTCAAAATATGTACATATTACATGTTTCATATCAAGAACAAAATCAATAACTTGCCACATTTGCCAATTCAAGTTCTAATTTTAGTTTCAGTTATTTGCAGCAAGGTTTTGTCTTCAACCCATTGATCTATTCCAATCTCCCGTTGTCAGCTCTGGTTCAGCCTGGAGTCTGTCGCTGACCTCCTCAGAGATGTCTGAACAGTGGACCGCGCAGGAGGAGATGTTGCAGAGGTTTCTGGACGCAGCCGCTCGTGGAGACCTGAGCGCAGTGTCCTCTGTCCTGTCCCACTCTCCGTCGCTCATGAACCAGACCGGACACAACGGATGGACGGCGCTGATGTTTGCCTCCAGGAACGGACACCACGACCTGGTGAGGGCGCTGCTGCTCAGAGGGTGAGTCCAGGAGTCCGACTCTGTTTCCTCTTGAGTCTCGTCTGAAGTTTGTTTTTGTCCTGCAGCTGTGACAGGTCTCCTCAGAACCGCTCGTCTCAAACCGCCTTTGACGTCGCCAAGTTCTGGGGCCACACTCACATCTGCAGACTACTGCTCAGTCCGGACACTGCCCGAGTCCCGGCACCGGCCCTGGACTCTGTGCTGGACCGTGCTCTGGTCTCTGGTCCGGTCTCTGAGCAGAGTCCTCATCAGACGTACTTCAGCGCTGAACCTTTGGACAGACTCAGCGTTAAAAGACCAGACTCGGACTGGATTAGGACGCGACAGCAGGACCCTGGGACGGTCTATCTTCTGTTCCACAAACTCAGCCCCATGATCCGAGAAGGAGACTCAGGGGGCACTGGCCCGGTGCGTGCTTTGTTAATACTCCATGATCATGTAGTGAATCTGGTCTCTGTCCTCCAGAGACTATACAGTTGGAACTCAAATTAGAATGTTTTTCAAAAGTTCAATCATTTCTTTAAGTCAACTCAAAAAGCAAAACATGAAATAAACTCAATGTGACAAATGCCAAGCCAATTTTTTTAGACTGTAGTAAGCAGTTTCACTGCAGATCTGAGCCTCAAAGCGGTTTACAATTGTTAATTTTTTTTTGTAGAAGGAGACTAGAGTCTATTTGGGATTTTTACAAGCTGTGAGCCAACACTATAACAAATAGACTTAATAAAAATGTATCTTACTTTGCTGTAATGAGTCATACATTAGTTTCAAACGTTAAATTACAAAATAATTGTTTCATTATTTTCTGAGTTTCACCTGTATTGCATCAGTGTTGGGCAGAAACTTGATTACAGCAACTGTCATTCAATTATATTCAAAACACAATAATACAATTTCAAAGTGATGACACTGTCACTTCTCATTAGTTAACTTTTAACTACTTTTAAAAATCAGTCAAAAATATAAACATGTTGCTTTTGCCATTTGTGTCAGAGGCAGCTCACTCCAGGAGACTGTGGATTGATCTCCATGAGATCAATGAAGTCTTTTCTTCTGTTCAGGCCGACAGCAGACTCTGCCGCTTCACATACGGCGAGTTGAAGGAGCTGCTGGAGCGGCCCGGGTCACAGCTCGTGTTTCTGGGAGTGGAGCGGAGCCTGCCCCCCTGTCCCACCGCTGACCCACAGAAACCTCCAGACCCGGCGCCACGGGCCTGGTTCGCGCTGGGATCAGACCTGGACCAGTCAGAACTTCTCCAACTGAGCAAAGAACCAAACAAGTGCTGCTTTCCCAAAAACCCCCACAGAGACTTGCTGCGGCTGGGCGAGGAGGAGGCAGGTGAGAGGCATAGTCCTGGTTCAGTCCTGGTTCAGTCCTGGTTCAGTCCTGGTTCAGTCCTGGTTCAGTCCTGGTTTTGTCCTGGTTTATATCCAGTTAGTGTTGTCCCGATTCTCAAATTTAGGCTGGTTAGTCCATAGCAAGCGGAGACTGTGGTGATGATTATGAATCCTCTTTTATGTAGAAAAAAGTTGTGATTTTTATGGAACCACAAGGGTACTGTACTATACTATACTGGATCTTATTAAGGATCTTATTGTTCTATTTGGATGATCCAGTCCTTGCTTGGTTCTGGTGTAGACCCGGTTTTGTCCTGGTCTAGTCCTGCTTCAGTCCTGCTCTGCTCTCCTCAGGTCTGGTTTCTCACTCACGCTCTGTTCTGGCCTGGCACTCGCGGTACAGCTTCTGTTCCACCTGTGGGGGGCGCAGTCGAGTCGAGGAGGCGGGGCACAAGAGGAGCTGCGAAAACACTGCATGTATCAGCCACCAGGGGGTGCACAACACCTGCTACCCACGAGTTGGTACTTCAGCTACTACTCCTACGATCATCTAGTACTACTGTTTCTACTGCTACTATCACTGCTCTCAAGCCTCTGATACAAACATATATGAAATAAATATAAATATAATGTGTTTGTGCTCAGACCCGGTGGTGATCATGCTGGTGCTTCATCCCGACCAGAGCCAGTGTCTCCTCGGCAGAAAGAAGGTGTTTCCTTCTGGGATGTTCTCGTGTCTGGCTGGATTCATCGAGCCCGGTACAGTGATGCCCTAACGCTGCACCAACACAGATAAATATTTCAGAGCCAGATCAGGTTTTTATAGAAGTCGGGGAGAGTGGTCCAGGAAAAATGTATTTTCTGTACTGACAAATGAGAAAGGAAGTAGAAAAGCTTCATTTAAGCAGAAAGGTTTGTGGAGGAGGTCGCAGATACGTGCTCGTTGTAGAAGCCTGGAGCACACCGCACATCCACCTGCGTGTCCCTAAATTCAAGCCACGCATTATTCTCCACACGAGGCGCACAGAGACACAGCTTCAGTCCAAAGACATAAGACATGATTGTGCTGAGGTGAGGGCTGCAGGTTTGACACTGATTCTGGACATCGTTTTTATTCTGTCATAAAGTCTTGCATGAGTCCTGTGAGTCAAATCAAATCAGTTCATGTTTGAGCTGCCTATAATTACATCAGCAGTCATCTCAAAGGACTTATTTTATTTGTAAACAGCCGATTAGAAATTCAAACAGATTAACCAATGGTCACAGGAATAAAGCACATGGATAAAGTGCCTGTCCTTCGACCATAGACTGTAAATATTAACGGAGGTAGTCACGCCTATCTCTGCCGTTCTAACTAATGTGCCACAACTTCCGCTGTCTATGGGCAGTTTCAAAATGGCCACGGGGGCTGGAAAATGTGAAAAAACGCATGCGTCAGTCGGCACGAGCCCCATTCATTTAAACGAGTGACAGTGACTAAACTAGACTGATCCAAAAAAATTCACCCCCCTCAGCATTGACACACATGTGGAAGGGAGCTTTGGGCCAAGAGCGACTTTTGGACCATCCTGTAAAGACATTTTTGAAACGTCTGCTAATGCTATATGTTGAATAACTCTCATTCCACCGCCATCGGGCCCGGGGTGGTATTGCAAGCATGTCAGCGAATGTCATTTTGGCCACTTTTGAGCCACTGCCTTGATCCAGTTAAGCCCCGGCTTGGACCTGGTTCAGTGCTGGTTTCGTCCCAGTTCTTACCCTGGTCTCTGGTTTCAGGGGAGTGTGTGGAAGCCGCAGTCCGAAGGGAGGTCCAGGAGGAGTCTGGGGTTCTGGTCGATAGAGTTTGGTGAGTGTCCTGAACAGTGAGGATCACGCTGTAATCCCAGTCTGTAAATGAGTTTATTGTTGTCTGATAAATTAGTTATAAATAAAACCTTTTATTATTATTATTATTAACGCACCTTGCATATGCGAAGCACATTTCAAGGTGCTACAGAAAGGTAAAACATAAGCAAAACATCAGATAAAAATGACATACAGACAAAATGTATTTTATTATTAAAATGCATTGAAAGACACGGGCTGCAGATCAGCAGTAGGACCTCCTGAATAGCTCTGTTTTCAGGTGAAAACTGTTTTTCACTGTGGAGTGCTTTTAGGTGAAGCACTCCAGTTAGTCCCACTTGTTGCCAGAATCTTCCTCCTTGTGACACATGTAGCTTCTAAGCACTGATTACTGATGCAATCCAACTGCTGGAGTTGAGCTAGAAACAGTAGAAACTCTGTATTACATATGACTCATTACTTTTGGATCTACTATAATTTGTTGTGGGGCTAAATTCTTTGGTGTGAATATTGTACCTCTGTACAAAAAAGTTTTCTGGTCTGGTTTCAGGTACGTCTGCTCTCAGCCGTGGCCCATGCCATCGAGTCTGATGATTGGCTGTCTGGCCGTTGCCGTGACAACAGAGATCTCTGTGGACCAGGACGAGATCGAGGAGGCCAAATGGTTCACGAGACAACAGGTCAGGACCAGGGACAGACTAAGACTATAAAATACATTGTACAGGGACAGAACAATTTTCCCATTTCCTTTTTAAATTAAATTTGGTAACACATATTTGCTATTTTCAGTGAAATCTTCTTCAGTGATACAATTATTAATTTTACAAACAGAAATATTTGAAGGAGTGAGAAACAGAGCCAAAAAATGTGGTGTTTTGGAATGAACCAAAACTGGACCAAAAAGTGAAGAGGGCTGAGTAGTGTCGACTCATTTTTCCTTTCATTTTCATCCCCTTTATTAGTCCATTTCTGGGCCTCAGGCAAAGTGGGGTTAAGAGTCACCCTTATCAAGGAACAGGTTTTGTACATTAGTTTTAGAGAGTTTCCAGTCGCCCTGAATATTCTTTGACTTGTTTTAATCCAAATGACCCTTTTGCTACGTTAAATGTCGTTAGTGAGATTGTTTTTTTTGTGTGTTTTAAACTGTCCAGTCCTGGTTCATCTGTGTCTCCTCCGCAGGTGATCGACTCTCTGATTGGTGGATCTGGTGCTGCGTTCATGGTTCCTCCGAGACAAACTATCGCACACCAGCTGCTGAGACACTGGACCGGCCTCAGCTCCAACCTCTGAGTCCAGTCTCACTGGACCATTTCAGGTCTAACTTTACTCCAGGCCTTTCATGAGTCCTTTGGCTTGATATAATATAATGAAGTAACATTTCTCTTAAATTCAATGCAAGGTTCTGGAGCCATCTCTATGCTCTTGTTAAAGCTGGGGCAACGATTCAAGCAATCATTACCTCATAATGATTGCTTGAATCGTTGCCCCAGCTTCTATCTTTATCTAAGTTAATTCTGCCCCCACTGTTAAAACCAGTAAGGCCGGGTCCTGGCTCAAAAATGTCCAAAATGACGTGCGCTGACATGCTTGCAATACCGCCCCGGGCCGATGGGGGTGGACCCAGAATAAGAATTATTCAATGCTAATTTACATATCTTCTTACCTCTCGACAAAGGGTTTACAAAAGTCACTCTTGGCCAAAGCTCCGTTCCACATGTGTCAATGCTGAGGGGAGAGAATTTTTTTGGACCAGTATAGTTCAATCGCTGTGAATTTTTGAAGGCACTTGTCAACTGACGCATGCGCAGATAGGTTTTTTCACATTTTCCAGCCCCCGCGGCCATTTTGAAACTGCCTATTGACAGCGAAAGTGATGGTACATTAGTTTCAAAGGTGGGGATAGGCATCACTACATTCGTTAAAATTTACCATCTATGGTTAAAACAAGATTTGCCAATGGGATATAGCCATTTAGTCTTAAGAAATGTTGCTTCATTTTTTTTATCTCAAGGGAGACATTTCGTGTATGAAAATCCTTTTGCTTTGTCCCATTGGTTAATCTTGGGTTAAGGTAGTCAAAATGTGATCAAATTATGACACATTTTGCCAAATTTGAGCAATTTTTGACCTAATTTTCACTTTTTGCAGTCTTGTCATATTTATTCCTCACAGTGTAAGAAGCGCAAGAAAAATCTAAAGCTTTATCTGCACAGACATGATTTAAGTTCAAAGTAATCACACGTCTCCTTTTTAAAAATAAATGACTTAAAATAGTGCCTTGTACAAATGCTTTAGAAATACTAACTACTGTAAAAGGAGCCAGAACATTTGTCTAATTAAGGAAGAAATCTGTGTTGTCTGTTAATAAAGTGCAGAATTATTGAAAAGCTTTGTTGGGACTATTTCATAATTTTCTTTTTGTTCCAAATTCCAGTGTTTTTTGGAGCCACATTTTTATGCTTCACTGTAAAACCAAGGTGTTAGATTTTAAGGTTTGTTTGTATTCTGCCAAAGTTATCTACATTTATATACACAAACACACAGGGCCCGGTGGCTGAGTGGTTAGCCCATGTTGGAATGAGCATTAAAAACATGTATATTAAGTCTCTGTCCTCCTCCTCTGCTCCGGACACAGACCCCAGGGCAGATGTGGCCATCACGAACATATACAATGGGTCAAATGCAGACGGCGCACTTCCCAAACCGGACGATAATATGACTTCACTTATGGAGATTTTTTCCCCCAAATGATTATGTATTGAGAAAATACAATTAAGTTCAGTTTAGTTTGGACGGAATCAAAATTGGACAAAAGGTAAAGGCTGAGTTTTGCAGTTCTAAATCTAGAACTTGTCTCTGGCTTTTAGCACTGTGTGAGTTGTGTTGTCCTCTTTTTATAAGTTTTATTTTTAAATTAGATAACTGGTATTTCATAGTTTTTTGAAAATTATTTTTTACATATAAAGCTTGAAATCCTGTATGTGTTATTTCTGTGGAGAACTTTGGAAACTTGTTTTATAAAATGTGCTAGATAAAGTGGATTGGATTGAACTCGTGTATCAGAGGATGGTTGCAGGTTTTCATTCCAACAGAGCAGGAGCACACCAGACTCTGCATCCCGCTCAGTTGGATTGAAGCACCGTGTATAAAACTCCCAAACACGTTTCCTTCATCTCATTTTATTATTAGCACAAATTCTTTCCAAAATAACAGACCTCTGCAGCTCGCGTCATAGAAAATATATCCATAAACTCGTACAAACATTTAAAATGGACAGAGAGCGAAAAAAAACAAAACAAGAGCAAAGCTGTACATTTGAGTTTCTGCTGCAGACGCTGAAAAACAACCTGATTTTCTGCAGCTGGAAAAAAAATATTGGAGAGAAAAGGACAAAAACAAAATGTAATATTTCGCACACGTGTTAATTTCCCAGTCACAGAAAAACACTTTTCTATGAATGTTAAGAAGTGAACTGAATATTCCAAGTTATAAATATATAATAAAAAAATATATTAAACCTACATGATTGTGAAGAAAAGTGACCGGTGAAACTAAATTCTTTTCACTTTTGATAATAACAATTTAATTTTGAGTCAAATTTGACCAAAAATCTTCCAGTTTCCTGGTCGTATATGAAATCACACAATGCAATCCTTGTTGAAAGCTACAGCAGGATAAACACACATTACTAAACAGATAAATTAGAAATGTATAAAAACCAATGAAAACAGAAGCGGAGTCACATGATTGAAACGTTTTGAATAAATGTGACAAATGTGTAAGTGTTTCTCGTCGTGTTGTAAAAACAAATGTATTTTTATTATTTGCAGAAAAGAGGTACATTTTAATGAACGCGGGGCTTCCTGTTCGCTCTATCACATCCGGTTTCAGTACATTTCATTTTACAGCGTCTCTGCAAAAGCTCAGTTATTTACAGATTTACAAACGACCTGCAGCACGATTCCACACAATTCTCTCATGATTTTTTTGGACAAAATAGAAACAACAAAAAAATGAGTCAGAAGCGACTAGAACAGGGAGGTTGTACCGCTCCTCAAAGTTCCCTGGTGGGGCTGCGGGTTTTCATTCCAACCAAGCAGGAGCAACACCAGACTCCACCCATTTTACTCAGTTCAGTCCAAACGGGAAGACCTGAGCAAATGGGTGGAGTCTGGTGTGGTTACAGGTTTTCATTCCAACCAAGCAGAAGCACCACCAGACTCCACCCATTTTACTCAGTTCAGTTAAAACGTGAAGAAATGAGTGGAGTCTGGTGTGTGCTGATCCTGCTTGATAAGAATGAAAACCCCGCAGCCACACCTGCCCTTTTCAGAACCGGTTTGACCCCCTCCTGGATTAGGTTTTCAAGTTATGCAATACATTTACGATTATTAGAGAAAGATGTGACGTCGGGAAAAAAATTATGTTGATTTACCTTTTTAGCAGCAGTTGAGGTCAATCGCTGGTATTAAATGTAAGCAGTCATCTTTATAAAGGTTAATTTCGTAACGTCGTATTGTCTTTGAATTAACTTATCTCATGAAGTTTGTCCATTTTTTTCATACTTCTCTGGAACTGGGCAGAGAACGGTCCATGATTGTGAAAGTAAAATAATTTTATTGGAGTACTGTTCATGATTCTGGGGCTGACGTGAAACGAAGGGGAAACTGATGATTTGTTCTGTGCTGAGGTTCAGTCAGTAGCTCCCTCTGCAGGCGAGGGGTGGAAGTGCAGGTTGACCCACTCTCAGATGAAGTCTGAGGATGGGGCGGGGCGGGGCGGGGCGGCAGGAGGAGGGGGGGTGGCAGTTGGGGTCATTTGCTTCGCAGCAGCTCCAGCTGGTCTTGGTACTCGGTGAAGAGTCTCTGAAATCTGAGGTTTTCTCCGATCACCGGCAGCACCTCCGTGAGCAGCTCCCTCTTCCTCAGGCCCTGAGACACACAGAAGAAACAGATGAAGAGAGAGACACATAGAGACAGACAGAGAGAGACACAGAGACCGAGACGACAGACCGAGACAGAGAGAGATACATACACAGAGACCGAGAGACAAGAAAGACAGAGACAGAGAGAGACACAGAGACCGAGACGACAGACCGAGACAGAGAGAGATACATACACAGAGACCGAGAGACAAGAAAGACAGAGACAGAGAGAGACACAGAGACCGAGACGACAGACCGAGACAGAGAGAGATACATACACAGAGACCGAGAGACAAGAAAGACAGAGACAGAGAGAGACACACATACAAAGAGAAACAGAGAGAGACACACAGAGAGACAAACAGACAGAGAAAGACGGACAGACAGAGAGAGACAAAGACACCCACACATTTTTTTTTTGGGAACAGATACTAATTTATGCAAGTACAAATTGACGAATACCAATTTTTCACCATCAATGATAATGTGAGATTTCTTATACATATTTTTGATGTTAGCTCATTAGCCAAAGATGCTAACAAGAAATGCTAACCGCTAACAATTTCATTTGCGAGGCACTTAAAAGCCAATGAGTGACTTGTAAAACAGACATGAACATATTGATTACCATTTGGTGAACTGAAGTTGCCTGAGCGATGTCGGTACTTTATTCTAGAGGTTCTAAACTTTTAAATGACAACGAGAACTTGCATTTATGATATATGCTTTGGCCCAGTGAATTGTGTAGATTCTGAGCTTTAGACGTATAACACGTCAATATCAGTGAAAATAGAGAGTGAGAGGCAGTAACTTTCAAATATTTAAAAGAAGAATCTAAAATCTCCACAGACCCCGCGAGATCTTCAAAACATTTCCAATTTTTTAGTCAAGGACAAAAGGGACGGAGCTGCTTACAGTCTTAACACTCAATACAAGAGTTTGGTGTTTGGCAAGAGCACATACACAGCTGCCCAATGCAACCTTCTGTGCTCTATTATTTGTAGAGCACAGGAACCCGGACTCACCAGAGTGGAGTTTTCCCAGGAGGAGGTGGCAGACTTGTGCACTGGCCCCAGGAGCTCTTTACACAGCTCTCGCAGACGGAACTCTGAGCCTGAATCAAGGACACGGATAAATCAGAGGAGAAACACACATTTTGAGTTTAATCTTTACATTAAGCGCAAAGACAGATGTGTTCTGCACCAGATCATAGCTACATACTAAATTCCGTCTGCAGTCCCTGGTTACATCAAAAAACAAGACACACACAACAGCAGCTTGATTTGTCACATATATTTACACTATTACAGTTTTGAAAAGGGATTGGACACAATTCAACGCAATAATACACCAAACACACACATACCGGCCCGAACACTCCGGTGTGTGTATGTGTGGAGACACGAAAGACAACATTAAAGTGAAACTACGAGGAGACACTTGACATTCATTAAGTAGTAGTAGTAGTAAGTAATCTTTATTTATATACCGCCTTTTCACTGCACATCGGAGTCTCAAAGCGGTTTACAATTGTGATTTTTGAGGGTGGCAGTACAGGAGGCGCATGCCAGACCTATTGTACATATTTTTAGTGGTAGGGGAAACCGGAGCACCCGGAGGAAACCTACGCAGACACGGGGAGAACATGCAAACTCCACTCAGAAAGGCCCTGGTCCAACCGGGTTTAGAACCTAGGACCTTCTTGCTGAGAGGCGAGAGTGCTATCCACTCAGCCACCCTGCCGCCCATTTATGGACATTGGTCTCTGCCCCTTCTGGACCAATGGCTCTATGTTTTTGATCATTGCATTTCCTGTTTTTGATTATCTGATCTGTGCTGGTGAATTCAACAGTTGTGTAAAGTCCTCTGAGATAACTACTGTGGATTTTTTATGACACTTTGAAGCAACTATGGCTAAAGCTGAGCTCCATCATTGCCAGTAAGTAGGACTTTTCCACTTCATGTTTTGGTTTTCTGAAGACCGATACTACTAGCGCCATGGCAGGAGCTGCTGGGACTGTTTTCGATTCCTCCATGCTTTGAAAATCACATGAATGCTGTAAAATCCTTGTTTGTGGCTTGTCTTCACCATCGACAATAAAACACTTAACGACCAGAGTAATTTTCTTCACTACTGTTGCGACTTAGGGCGATACAAGGATACATTGAATTGACCAGGAATAGGAGAACTAGTTACAGGAGTGAAATACCTTCGTTGACGAGGAACCGGGCGTAGACCAGCAGCCAGTGTCTGTACTCTGAGGCCGACTGCAGCGCGAGAGCCGAGGAGAGCTGCGTCTCCAGGAAGGCCAACGTGACGCCCTGCTGCAGGTGGTGAGGGGTGGAGGACAGACGGGAGGCCAGACGACCAGCGCTGAGGACAACACCAGGAGTTAACACCAGGAGAGGAGGACATGAGAGGAGAGAGAACTGGAAACACAGACTCTACATGCGGCCGGTTAAACACACATGTCTCTACAGAAGTGGATTAGTTGACAAAATAAAATAAAACAAAAGACAATATGGACTATTTCCTGGTTGGACATAGGCACCAGATGTGACATAAGTAGAGATAACAACACAAGAAAAAAAAGGACGAAGGAAGTCTAATTTACACAATAGTGAATTAATATCTTAAATGTTTTTTTAAATGCACATAAAACTGCAAGTGAATCAGTAGATTTTGTTGTTAGATGAAAGTTCTCTGAACAATCAGACCCAGTGGGAAAGCGGTAAATTAAGAAGATTATTAAAAGATCCTTTATTTGTGGGGAAATTTCAGTGTTGAATCACCAATGAACAACGCTGAAATAAAATAAAATCTCTAACTTTAGCATAATAATGAGTAGTATTAAATGCTGTATATTCTCGAGCAAGCAATATATAGTTGTGTGTTTACATCCGTACATGTTAGAAGCATGAGGGACAGTGACACATGTGGTTTCATATTGCACATTCTGAGATTAGTTCAAGTTATTGCACAAGACGCACAACATGTTAGGTCAGGTTAGCAGTGCTTGTTATTCCTCTACAATACATGTAATACACTACATGTATTGTAATGTTTGCGTACAGTGATTCAATTTCATTTTTCAATTGTTTATCAAAAACGGCCTGATGCCCTCAGCTGAACAGGGGCTCACAGAAAGTACTGTGTCTACGGACATTCTTTTGGGCCCAGCAGGAAAACACTGATGCTGCTCATTATCTTACGTAGATGAATAGTATCAATCTATGGTTGTACCCGAGGTGGCGGCCTTGCATGGAGGCCAGTGGTCCGGACAGCACTGATGCATCATGGGAAGGTGGCAAACAACTCCTGAAGTCTGCGCACTGCACCAGAGAGTCGGCTTTGTCTGCGACCAGAGTCCTGCGAGAACACGAGAACGAGTGAACAGACCGATGCTAACAAACTGAAGCCAACATTCTGACACAAACAGACTGATGCTAACAGGAAAGAGCTAAAACGCCTCAGTTTAATGAAGGCGGGCCTCACTCACCACGTCTCCATGGCGAGGTTGAAACAGAAAGACTTCCCGTTGGACAGCGAGACCACAGGGACTCCCTGCGGCGTGAGCGTCGACTGACTCAAGGTGACGTCTGCGCCTGAAACCAGAGAACAACTTCATTCACAACAATTACCATATTCTGGCGGCCAGGCAAACATCAGTTCATTTTCTCAGTTTGGTTAACAATCGCTCATAGCCGTTTATTGAGCAGTGTCATATTTGTCTGCACACATTTTGTTTTCACTACGGAACTGAACAATTACAGTTTTTGGTGCAAGTTATACATGAGAGGAGATGGCTTCCCGTTTGCTGCTGTTATGTTGGATTTTGGGTTTTCGTCTGTCCAATAGTGAGTCATTGTCGTCTTTCCCTGTTCTGTGATTGGTTCCCAAATCCATGTTAACAGTTCAGCCTGAGTTTCCAGGCTGCTGTGTTGTTTGAACCGATTCAAGCACCCACACAGTATTATGGGTATTCTCAGGCTAATAGCCAATACTCGAAGATCTGGAAAACTATGGGTCAGTTTTTATTGATCATATGTAGATTTTCAAAAACGATCTTGAAATAAAGACCAAGCACATTCATCATTAGAAGCCCAGCGTGATGAGCAGCTGGAACATTCCATTCAAATGCATTTTAGCCTTACAAAGCTTTGCAAAGGAATAGCAACACACTGAGCTCATTGTTCAACACTCTGCAGAATCTGACCTGTGAGCAGCGGCAGCAGCGACTCGTTCTTCACCAGAGCCTTTGGTTGGAGCACATCCCTGTGAGAGAGAGAGAGGGTCAGAAACAGTTGCTGCTCGAGGTCAAGAGAAAAGTATTTGAAGACTTTTAAAGGAAACCAAGACAAAAACATCTGCTGTTATTATCTGCTACTCAAGCTTCCAATTATAGATTTCTGCTTTATGTGAACAAAATATAACTTGACAATATGGTTATTATTGTTAATGTTAAAATGTGAAATATTATTAAGTGGATTTTTCAGATGTTCTTTGTAAATTAATTCACTTTTAAATGTCTGATATGTGTGATTTTTGTTTTATGCATGCCTTTATATCTATTTTTTGTTTTAACTTGGACCTCTATCCGATCTATAACCTCCTATAATGTGTATAATTATATCGGTCTTATCTACAGACGCCTTGTAATTGTTTTTGAAATGCGTGTTCTACAATGTTCTACTCTTAACTGTTTTTGTTTACTATAGAGCTGTGTGAGTGTGTCTGTTGTCGCTTGTTTTATTTATTTTTTTCATCCTGTCTTTTTTTTTTTTTATTTTACTTTTATTATCATTTTTTGATTCTGAGCCTGTACTGCTGTTTTCTGTCTTGTGTTTTTGCTTCTTGTAATTCTTTTGAGGACCCTCTCTTAAACGAGATGATTCATCTCAAGGGGTTTATCCTCTCAAATGAGTAAATAAATAAATATGCCAAAGCTAATCATAAGTAACAAACAATAGATAAAATGCTTATGAAGATTTAGTGGTAAGAGTTGTATATCGCTAAATAAATGGCTTTACTTGAATTATCCTGCTGTATTATACTTTCTGGTTTGAGTGAGTACAATAATGCTGTGTGTAAACGCTAACCAAACGGAGAGTGTGGCTCCGGTGCTCAGAGCCATGACGTAGTGTCCGGCGCAGTGCACAGACGAGACAGCAGAGGGCAGCGCAATGGGAGGGAACAGCCGTCTGCCGCAGGAAGAGAAGACTGAGAGAGTGCGGTCCTCACACGCCACCGCCACCACCGCACTGCAACACACACAGACGCACAATTTCAACACATTTAGGCAAGGCAAGTTTATTTCTATAGCACAGTTCATACACAAGGCAACTTAAAGTGCTGGACAAAACAAGAAAGACAATCACACAATGCATTAAAATCATAAAGTAAGAGTAAAGATACAATCCCTCTGGTATACACAGCTACAACAAAAATCTGGAAAAACACAAATATTTATTTGTAATAAATATTTCACACATTTAAACAAGTTCAGTGCATCTAATTCCAGATCAAATAAAAATGTATTCCACATTTTCAAAACTGTTTGCAGCTGGAAATATACAAAATTGGGAACACATTTTTTAAACCTACCTGCCCCCCTGGTGGTAACATAGGAATGTATGTGCGGAAAGCATTTTTTAACATCATACTTGTTTTATATCGATATTATTCCACAATTGAAAAGGTGAAATGACATGAAAAGTAAATAGTCCCAGTTTCACGTTTCTGCAACTTTGAACCCAAGAACTGCTATTGCCACTTTTTTACTGTACATAATTATATCCTGCACAGACTATATTTTTAACCTTTAACATGTTTGCACACTTCTGCCTTTTGCACAATCTGAGTGATTTTTATCTATGCCAAATGTGACATGTGTGAGATCAATAAAGTCTATCTTATTTTATCAAACCCTTCATTCCAAAGCCAACAAGACAAAAGCATAAATTCATGACACACTGCACTCTGAAACTTATTTCAGGGGTGCTGCTGCTCACCTGCTCCCCGCGGCACAGAGCACAGAGCTGGGCAGCAGCGTGCTCCAGTCCTTCCCGTCTCTGGAGCATCGGAGCTGACTGAGCCTGGACCCGGCCACCACAGAGACCTCGTTCTCCGTCTCCACTGTGACGCTGGGCTCCATGCTCACCTGGAACACAGTCATATTTCTGAGGGCGCATTCACACTCGGCCCAACCACTTTCCCAGTCACTTTCCCAGTCAGCAACAACGTCTACTGTGTATAAAAGGTCTTTTGAGTGTCCCAATAAAGGGATGTACAAAAGTGATGCATTAAGTCAATGCATGAAATAGCATTATTATTATTATTGTGATTATGATGATGATTATTATAATAATTATTGATTATTCATATTTATATATTTTTTTCTTATTTATGGAGTATTTAATAGTAAAGTTTTGTTTAAAGTTAAAACGTTTATAAAACTTTCTTGAAAAGGCAAAAAAGCAAACATTTCTTTTCATTGAGTTGATAATCACAAACATACGCTAAACTGCAAGTGTTTACATATAACATTTTAACTCAAAAATGTAACACTTACAGCCCTATTTGAATCTTTCAATAGAATATGTCTGGTTGAAATAAAGGTTTAACGCTTTACTCCATCAGTGAAGAGTCATGGGGAGGATTGTGCATAAATATTAGTTCCATTCACTTCTGGGTCGGGGGAAGACTCACCTGCAGGCTGAGGGTCTTCTGGGCGCTGGGCGTGGGCAGTCTGGAGACCTGGACCGGACTGTGGACCACGCGCACAGACTCTCGCTCGGTTGAGACTGAGGCCTGAACAGAGACAGTGATGTTTACTGACTTGGAAATGTCAAAAGGATCAAAAAAATATCTTATGTTAGTCCATTCAAAAGCGAGTAATGACGAGGCACTTATTTGAGCAAAGAATCAATACCAAAGATCGGACAAAAGTTGAGATTTCAAGAGCATTTTGAGTGGGATTCTGAGAGAGGATCCATCCAAGGAAATTAAGCTCTGTAAAAGTACCTCCAATCTGATTTATATAACAAAGAATATGCGTCTCCATTGGTTACAGCAGGTGAATTTGTGAAAGACATTTAGAGCCTATAGCAAGATTATTTTTTTTTTTTACTTTCATGACTGTCTCAGACCTGTACGGAGGTGAAGTTCTGGGTGGCGGGGGCCATCTTGTCCTTGCGCGGCCGTCCCTTCTTTCTCTTCTCTACGACTTCGGCGGCGTCCAGCTCCGGCCTCCTCCTCTCCTCCGCTCCCTCTGGGTCCGCCTTCCTCTTAAGCGCCAGGTTCCTGTTGATGGCGGCCATTTTGTCCTCGCTGTCGCTGCTCGTGTCTTCTTTGGGCTTCACCTCCTTCATCGATAAAGTGTCTTTCGGTCTAGGTCGACAAAACAGAAAAAGTTTAGAATGATGGTCATGACAAACACATGCATCACGTGCGGGAGGAAGGGAGGGCACCTGGAGCATCTGTCGAGGGGAGTGAGGGCAGAGGTGGAGGTGAAGGTGGGGGTGACTCCAGGCGTGGCCTTGGATCTCTCTGTGAATCTAGAGTCCAGGGCTTTCATGGGCTCGATCTTTGAGGCAGCGGTGAGCAGCAGGGTCCCCTTTATCCTGAGGGAGAGACAGATCAAACAAATAAGTGAGTAAGTAATCTTACCCAAAGCACTTTACAATGTTCAGAGTTTCGATTCTCTTCACACACTATAATGAAACGTCTAAGACACTGGTGCATCAAAGCCCCCAATCAACACCATCCATTCACTCACTTGTACATGTTTTTAGTGGTAGGGGAAACCGGAGCACCCGGAGGAAAAACCTACGCTGACACGGGGAGAACATGCAAACTCCACTCAGAAAGGCCCTGCACCGACCCCCACTCTACCACCGTGTCACCTGGCTGTGTAAGGCTGTGATTAACTAAATTTTGATAACCAATAAGTTCACCAATTTCTAGTTAGTGACTTAAGATCCTGAAAGTTGGAAGTCCACAAGAAAGTTGCAGTGATGCCCTGGAGAACATCTGCACAGAGACGACTTGTTACACGCCGGCTTGCTTTATTCACAGTGATAAAGTACGGACTTCGATTGTACCCAGACAGGGGCTACACGCTGCACAAAACCTACCCGTCCTTGTCCCCGTCTTTGCCTCCAGCAGGGGGGGAGGTGATCATGGGCTCATTTCCAGTTCTCATCCCCAGGGCGGAGGCCGGGCCCTGGGTGGAGTCAGAGGCCAACTGCCCTCCCATCTGGTTGGACAGGGAGGAGCCGGAGGGAAGGATTGGAGTGCTGTTGAACAAGGCTGGGGAGAAGTCCCTGAGGAGGAGAGAACGTCAGACGGGAGCAGAGAGGGGAGCAGAGAGGGGAGCAGAGAGGGGAGCAGAGAGGGGAGCAGAGAGGGGAGCAGAGAGGGGAGCAGAGAGGGGAGCAGAGAGGGGAGCAGAGAGGGGAGCAGAGAGGGGAACAGAGAGGGGAGCAGAGACGGGAGCAGAGACGGGAGCAGAGACCGGAGCAGAGACCGGAGCAGAGACCAGAGCAGAGACCGGCGCAGAGACCGGAGCAGAGACCAGAGCAGAGACCAGAGCAGAGACCGGAGCAGAGACCGGAGCAGAGACCAGAGCAGAGACCAGAGCAGAGACCAGAGCAGAGACCAGAGCAGAGACCAGAGCAGAGACCAGAGCGGAGCTGAAACAGACAAAGGAGTAGCAGCTGTACCCTGTGTCCAGTTGAGCGATGCACAGGGGGGTGATTCTCCTCCTGCCGTCAGCCGTCCTCGTCTCAACCTGTTTCTTCAGGAGGTTCTGCAACCAAAAACACAAATTCTAAGCTCCATTGTGATGTAATTGTTTAGTGACAGTCCCCAACACTGCGTCCTTCCCCAGGGTTTATCAAGGGGCCTTTTTTGTGTCATTTTGTATTTAACATAAAATCACGTAAGGCTTGTCTCTCTTGTTCATGGTTTTAGATTCAACTCAGACAAAAAAACCATAGCCATAGAATTATGGTCAAAAAAAAGTGGACTAATGCGAGTTGGATCCTATCGTGTTTGTCTGTTCTTTTTGAATTCATAACATTTGAAATAAGTACTATCAAAGGACCTCAGTGATTTTAAATGTTATACCTTAGAAGTGTATGCTGATTTTTATTATGCCTTACTCTATTCTGTACCTCTCTTTTCTGACTGTTGCACCGAGCCAAAGCAATTTCCTAGTCTGCGACTTCATGTTACTTACATGACAATAAGAATGATTCTAATTCTGATTCTGAAATCCCAAGGGTAGCACAGCTTGCCACTACCAGTAGTCGTAGTTGTAGTAGTAGTAGTAGTAGTAGTAGTGATGGTAGTAATCGCCACTAGCAATAGCAGAAGACTCAAAAGCCGTGCACAGTACCTTGCGTATGTCCTCGAGCGACTCCCCGTTGACCACGCTGCTGAGTTTGGGGGCCGAGCTGTCGTTGGCTCCAGGTTCAGTCCTGGTCTGGTTCTGGTTCTGGCTTCGCTCTTGTTGATACTTTAACATCTCTGGGTTCTCAATGATGGTGGTGGAGAGCTGCGTCTCTGTGTTGGTGATGGCCAGACTCTTCCCATAGATGTTCTGGTGGATCGTGTTCTGAGAAAATGCCACCAAGATGTGTTTACAATGGAGAAGGACAGAGATCTTTTAGTGCACTGCTGATCTGTGGTTATAAACAAGCCACCATAAAATATGGTGTAAAAATGCTAACTTTACAACTTTCACTCACAGAGCCTATTTTTTTTACATATATTGTAGTTCACTGAATTTTCAGTTTTCTTGAACAAAGCCTTGGATCAGTCATTTTACAGATTGCCTCACCTTCTCCTCTTCACTGAGCGGATCTCCGAGTTCGTCCAGAGAGAAGTCCAGATAAGCCACAGTGCCATCCATGGAGCACACCAGCATCCCCAGCCCGGTCAGCGTCCACGAGATGTCCATAATGGATTTGTCGAACAAGTCGTGTATAACCACTAGGGGGCGCTTCAGCGAAGTCAGCTGCAAACCAGGACACAAAATGTAAGCTATTCACTTTTAACTTCAACTTTAGAATATAGTACAAAAACCCTTAACTTTAGAATAATAAGGTGCAAGAATGAAATGCTGTATTTTCTAGTTTACTGACCCAGACGGAGAGCGAGCGGTCCTTGCTGCCCACCGCGCAGCAGCAGTACGGGCAGCTGGGTTTGGGGGAGCTGCCGTTCTTCTGCTTCTTCTTAAAGATTTTGGGATTAAATTTCTACACACACAAACACACAGTCTCAGTTTGTGATGCTGCTGAGGCCAAAAACACCAGACTCTTGCAAAGGTCCTCACCACGACAGTCACGGCCTTCCGGTGGCCCACAAAGTCCATGTTGGTCTTCCAGCCGTCGCGCTCCACGATCTGAGCCGTGGGGCCGGAGTTGTTCATGGCGTGAGCGGAGACCAGGTACTGTCCGTCAGGAGACCAGGACAGTCTGAGAACGTGAGTGGTGCCGCCGCACTGCAGAGGACAGAAGACACCACGGGGTTAGACAGAAGAGAGTACCAAGATCAGGCATGTCCAGAAAGTAGTCTTTAAGATCATAAGCACGTTCAGCGTCAATGACATGATGTACCTCTATTATTCAGCCATTGACTTTATTTGTAAATACTGATATGTGTCTATGTCTCTTAAGTAGCTGGTGAGGTGGTCAACATTTGTCATTTAGCCAACTTCAGCTCTGAAGCTAATCTTAAAGCTCAGAACAGCCCAATTCCAGTCCATTTTTCAATCTGAGTCATCGGCTGGTGGACTAAACTGACTAAACTCTGACTAAACTCTGACTAAACTCTGACTAAACTCTGACTAAACTCTGACTAAACTCTGACTAAACTCTGACTAAACTCTGACTAAACTCTGACTAAACTCTGACTAAACTCTGACTAAACTCTGACTAAACTCTGACTAAACTCTGACTAAACTCTGACTAAACTCTGACTAAACTCTGACTAAACTCTGACTAAACTCTGACTAAACTCTGACTAAACTCTGACTAAAATATTTGGACACCCCTGCTTTAGATTTATAATCTTATTATGTAGTTAGAGACTAAACCTAAAACTCATTCTCAAACAGGACTTCAAACAAACCAAAACATGGGTGAACAGTTTCTAAACAGCCTTATCACGGCCACATGGAGCAGCTTGACTGATCACTCTGCACCAGCGTTACCTCGTTAAATGGTTTGGTGATGTTGGCCTCCATGTTCCAGTCCACGGTCCTCCACACTTTGAGGCTGTGGTCGTCGGCCTGTGAAGCCACGTACTTCCCCACGGGGTCCCAGGTCAGGCCCTTCACCAGCCCAGTGTGGCCCCGGAGGACACTCACCATCTCTGGAACAGGAGCAGTCCATGGTCACAACACATGCGTTTAGAGAAGACTAATGACATTTAGTACTTCCTTGAGTGGAGGAGGCAACAGATGAAGCGGAAGAAAATGAATGGATGATTACTGGTATTGTGGGGCATAAAGGTCCCATATTGCACTTTTGACTTTTCACTGCTTTAAACATCAGTGCTATTTGCTATTTGGCCTCCATACACATGCCCACAGACGTTTTATTCATTTAGTTAGAGAGCGGTCTTTCTCTTTCTTTCTCGAGAGGAGGCAAAACTGATTTACTTTGTAACATGTCCACCTTCTCTCTCAGCACATACGGACTACAGTCAAATCCTTTTCCCATAGAAGTAATTAGTTGACAATATCCAAAAGCACACGCATGATGTTGGCAGAAGAAACTACTCTCAGACATAAATAGGATTCTACAACATGAACGCACCGTCTCCAAAGATTAGTTCCTGCCTGAACATAGTTTTGCAGTCGTTTAAAACAGTAACTGGAGTTCAGACCTGGAAACTTGCGTGCGTTCCAGATGACGATGGTGTTGTCCACGCTGCAGGAGGCCAACCACACGTCATGAGGCGACCAGGCCACGTCCATCACATCTGAGGAGCAGCAGTTCATTTCATATTCAATTTGTGACAAAAATAGAGTAAAGGCAACAGGAAGACTTAAGATGTGTTTGTGTTCAAACCACAGCAATTAAAAGGCTGCATGATTTATCGGCAGAAAAGTTAGGTAAGAGTACGCAACCTTCACCAACATTTTGAATCTCACTTTATATCTCTGCATCATTGTAGCACTATTCTTAGGGACTACACTGTACAAGACTAAAGCTGGGGTACCCAACTTATTATTATTTTTTACAACTAATACATTGGGTTTGTCCCAAGAGAAGGAGTCAGACCAACACATGCTGCAATGTTATCTTAATAACATTGCATATTTTGCTTTAAATGTATTTACTATATGTTTATTTGAAGCATTGTTACAAATAACCGATGTCATGTTCATAGGCCGTATAGCTAACGGCTAATTCGCAGACCTGGTCCCTAAGACATAAAAATATATCACATTTACAGATCCTTAAAAAAACACAGATTAAGGGATCTGGTTTGTCTCCTCCCCTGCCCTCCTCTCCTCTCCTCTCCCTTCCTCTCCTCTCCCCCCTCCTACCCTCTCCTCTCCTCCTATTGAAAAACTGGGGCTGCTCTTGTTCTGGGCAGAAGACCCTCTTCAGACCTGTGAAGAGTGTCTGCTAATGACTCCAGGCAGCTTCAATTCCCATTTCATACAATTGTTATGTGTGTCTTTCATTACTTAAATAAATCACACAAAAGACACAAGTTTGTCTCAGATCATCATGAAAACAGCCACAAAAACGTATACATGTGAAAACCAGTGATAGAACCAAGCCTTTTTGAGAGCAAGAAACAAGTTCCATGCATTAGTACATAGTTGGACATAGTTACCCCAGCGTTAGGAATAAATGAATGAGTGATTTGATGTACTTTTCATTTTCTTTTGTACCGTTGTCACCATATTCTTGCAACTTATTTATTATGTATTTGAGACTGTATTTGTGTGAATGAGAGCTGCCGGCACCACTGTAATTTCCTTCGGGATCAGTAAAGTGCATCTGTGTGTGTGGCCTTACCTCCAGTGTGGTTGCGGAGGATGGTCACACACCTCCACTGCTCCACGTTGGCCAGTTTGGAGCTGGAGCCGAACACGGTGCTGGGCCCGATGAAGCTGGAGCGCACATAACCAGGGTCAGATTCAGACTTCACAAAATGGATTCAGCTCAGGTCCCGGAAGTGAAATTTACATTGAAAAAGGTACAACTGAGATTACTTTTCAATGCAAGTCAAAAGGAGCCAGAGTGGGCCGAATGAGCATTTCCCTACTAGAGCTAGCATTGTCCATTCCTATATTTATATAGTCTAGGCTTCAATGCACAAACCAAATTTAGGATCAGCTAAGACATCATTTACTCGTCCCACAGGGGGAAAATTTCAATGTTGTAGCAGAGTACACAGGGAGCACACAAAATATACAATACAAGTAGCTGCTTTATTATTTAGCAAGCTGTAAATGTTTCAATATCAATATATCAGCAGGAAGGAAAGACCTGCAGAACCTCTCCTTCACACAGCGAGGATGAAATGTGGACCTTTTCTCATAATCTCATGCAAATAGGATAGAAAAAGTGTATTCCTGTATCCTGGCTTTACTCACGCGGCTCTCTTCCAGACCATCACCAGTTTGTCGTCTCCCCCAGAGGCCAGATACAGACCGTTATTGGACCAACGCACGCAGTTGACACAGGCTGGAAGAACACAGAGGCATCAAACAGTCCCTGATATTTTAAATTATCTAAATAAGGAATAATATATGGAATTAATTTTCATTTCTTTAAAAAGTCTAAATATTTTGTTGTTTGCACTGAAAAAAAATCAAAAAGGTCTATTTTTCTTGATTTGAGTTGACATAAGCAGAAAATTACTCGTTTTACCGTCTCAAAAATTTTGGGAATAATGCTACTGCACAACCACAAACAAATCTTATTGTACAAGAGAAATACAGTTTAATTCTTAAACTACTGTGTATCATATCGTATGTATCTGACAATTATTTCAGATTTTGGATTAATCTTGCAATCATTGGTCAGCAGTTACCGAGGTGGTTGTCCATCTGGCAGAGCATTTTGGGGACACTCTCGTTCTTCTCGTCGTCTTCTCTGAGGACAGGAGCCATGTTCCAGATCATCACCTTCCCCGAATCCTCCCCTGAAACGGCCAAACACCAAACTGACTCCTCCAGACATTTCAGAAGACACCAGTGTGTTTCTGCTACATACAGTGGTTACAATCCCAGTGTTGTGCCAGTTCACAGCTTTTCTGAACTAGTTCAAGTTCAGTTCATACATGCTCAAAGTTCACATTTTTTATTCTGAACTAGTTCAAAGTTCAGTTCATTTTACTTTTTTTGTGAGATATTCAAATAAATATTTTTTTCACACTACGAGCTAGAAATCCCATTATATATATATATATATATATAAAATATATATATATATATAAATATATAAATATATATATATAAGTATATATCTATCTATCTATTCTACATTGGGAGGAAAAAACTGAGTTGCCACTGCTCATAAGTACTACAAACAGTAATGCGCTGCAGTGCGTGTGTCTATACTTTATGTCAAATGTAAAAGGGTGGTCCTGTGTCGCAAACTCACTCTTTGTTATCATCACAACTCGGGTACATGTGAGTCCAACAACCAAAGAAAAGCACCAGCTCACAGCGCCGCACCGCAACACGGAGTCGGGGTACGTTCACAGACGGTGTACACTGTAGGAATTTTTAGTTTTCGGCGGAAAAAGTGCGGAGAATACTGGAGGGAGGAACTTTCTCTCGTTGTGTTTCAAAAGAGAAAACAAATTCCAACGTTCATAGTGATGTCTGCCGTTCATGACACATATTATGAACTAATTCACGTTCAAGTTCTTTATTTAAAAATGTGTTGCGTTCAGTTCAACATTCACAAAAAAATGAGCGTGTTCAATGAACGCGTTCTTTTGAACTCGTTCACGCACAACACTGTACAATCCATAGAAAACCATAAACAATAGGTTTGGCCCTCGACAATTCTGAAGCGCTTTGTAAATTTGTGAGAGCCACTACATTATATAATGCTTACACTCTTAGAGCATTATTTCATATATTGTAGAGTTGGGAAAAAAATATATACTGCTGATGGATTAGCTGTAACAAGAGCCTTTAAAAAGTCTTTAAAATATTCAGGTATCTCTAAACATCCAAACTGCACTCAAATTCAGAAAAAAACGTGCAGATTGGCAGCGTTGCACTCTGTCTGTCACAGGGCAGCTGTGGCTATAGTGGTAGTTTACTAAAGAAAAATGGAATATGCCCTAAATACCTCAATATAATTCTGGTGCAATATAGTAATTCACTATTTATTTCTGTAACTGCACCATATAAATCATTAGTCTTTATAAAAACAAATAGCTGACTAATACAATCGTGTTTGACAAAGATACCAGCTTGAAATTAATCATGGTCTAATGTAGCGCCACTTTTTTTCAGAATTGAGACAAAAGGCTGAACAAGCGATTGGGATTTAATCAAAAAGATAAAACGGGAAACAAAAAAAGCGTTTCTATGTCTCTTTTCTGGAGTTTTTATTTCAGTATTTCAGCCTCCCACCTTGTCCTCCTGTGGCGAACTTTGTCCCATCGGGATGAATGTCCACAGAGAAGATGGGTTTGCCTGAAAACAGAAGCAAATTCATAAAACAGTCAGAAAATAGTCTTTGCCTCTGCTCTTGGCATTGATCTGATTTAAGTATTTCTATGGCATCTGATACAAACTGAGATTATAACCGAATTGGAGTAGATAAAAAAACAACTGGAGCATGCCGTCTGAAAACATATAACAGGTCATCACAGCAGTTGTTCACCTTCCAAACATCATTCCTTCTACAGGGCAAATTTCAGCTCAATCCGTCCAGTAGTTTTAGATCATTCCTGCTTCTTACAGACACACGCACCCACAGACGACCATTTGATGCAGCACTGTATACGTGTAAAAGATTCATACATTTAATTTCTTGATTCTTTATTATCAAGAAATCAGAGGTTTTGTGCTTAATTCTTCCTATTACATTATGCTAAAGTTAGAGATTTTAGATTGCTTCCTTATTTTAGCTAAAGATTATATACTGCTTATTTTTATGCTATGCTATTTATGCTAAAGGATATTTTATTTTAGTCATTGTTCATTTATCTTGTGTGCTCCTCATTCCTACTGTTCTGTAACTGGTGGTGCAATACTGTAATTTCCCCACTGTGAAACAAATTAAGGATTGAATTAATTAATTGAACTTAGTGGCTTTGCAGGATAGGTCAAATGGAGACAAAGTTTCCTAAAGGGATAAATATTGTTCATAACTCAATTGTTCAGCAATGAATTGTGCAAAACAAATAAACTCGCCTTGCCTAAATAAAGTGTACATTTACATATATTCAAACAAGAGATTTTGCCTTAATATGCACCATATAAAGCTGAAATAACACTGCATTCTATGTTTATATGATAACTGCTTAGTTTGAGTCATAACATTATATCTCACAGGATACACCAAGATGTGTTTGAGCCTGTATATAGAATAGTTGAATATTGATGTAAAAATAATCGATTAATTGTGACAGTCATAAGCTTTTCTGGTGGAGGGTTCAAACTCCACGTGGAGACTTCAAACTCCACGTGGAGACTGCTTATTTTGTGTAATTGTGTTAAACATTTCTGTCAAAAACAAGTCCCAAACAAGTACAACTTTGCCATATCCCTTCCACTATGATTTAATATATGAAAACAAATATTTAAATCATCATTCAACGACACGAGCACATGCAAAATTACAGTCACGTGTCCAGCCATTTCCCTGTCATCACAATATTAATAGTATAGCGTGACGTTAAAAGACGTTTTCCCAATATGGTGGCCTTAAATCATTGCCATATAGAACGTAAACACGGAGATACAGCTGAAGTTCCACCAAAGTCACTGCAACGGTTAACTTTTTCTCCTCTGCCATCTTGGAGACACTTTGAGCCATCTTCTTGACTTTAACCCCAACATTTACACATCCACCGTCACTGCTTGTGCAAGTTTGAGTTTAAAAGTGCTGAGAAACTGTTTCAGAATGCATAATGTCATGTAAACGTGGAAATAACAGGAGGAGAATGTATTGTTGAAGTGATGCTAACAGTGAGTAGTTAGCTAGCGGCTGCAGTAGTGGAGTTCATACAGCAGCAGCAGCAGCAGCCAATGGGACATTTTAGAGGCAAAATGTAGCAAAACACAACAAAATGCAATTGTTTTTAGAGTTTGCAGGGGATTTCAGAGGCCAGGCAGACGCTGAGACACGTCAAACAGGTGTTCCCCCGAAAGCTGCGTTGTTTACCCCCGACAACAAAAGCCCAACTTGCTCCAAACATCCAGGTGGAGCGGGCGGGAGCTTACCATTGTGGCTCACCCAACTCGGCTTCAGCAACTTCATCTCCTCAAAAACGCGGCTTCAAGCGGGTGAAAAATACCCCCAAAAGTGTCCCCGAGTGGAGCTCCAGCAGCCTCGGGTGTCTGTGCTTACTCTGGCCGCCCAAGAGTAGAGGTTTTGGGGGCACGCATCGCGCTTTTCTCCGGGTTGTGGATCAAGATGAGCAGGCAGCGCACCGGAGACAGGGAGGCAAATGCGCATGCGCGAGCCGCGGAAGTGCCATTCAAAACAAACCCTGTCGAAATAAAAGCCCTCGTGGGTTTTCGAAATAAAAGTCGTTACAAAGCAGATTTATTGATCCAAAGGGCATCAATAAAGCTGCTGTTGTGATATAGTTAGGACTATACGATTCAAAAAATAAGTTTCAATGAATTATGAGAAAACACATCTTTTGCATACTAAGAAAGAGCCACTGTTTGGGCTGAGATAACCACAGTAGCTACAATAGTTACAAGAGACCAAGAAACCATAAATTCAGGGACCAAGAGACCATAAATTCAGTAGTTATAATATTCAATCAAACATTTATTTTATTTAAAACAAATTACAAAAAGATTCAGTAAAGCTTATTCAAATTATACATAATTTTTACAGTTCACCAGATGACACATACAAAATCCATGAAAGTACAAAATGTCAATGTTTGTTTGATTTTTTTGTCCACATATAAAATTCAAACAAACCTGAAAAATAAATGTAATTCTGTAGTGCAACCTGTGTAGTTTCAGTAACTGTTATTAACAAATAATGAAGCCCCCTTTCCCCAAGCTTTACTTGGCCCTACTCTACGCTACTCTCCTCTACTCTAGTAGGTGAGTAATCTTTATTTAAATACCGCCTTTTCACTGCAGATCTGAGTCTCAAAGCGGTTACTCTACTCCAATTGAGTGTTTCCACTGGCCCTGTTTAACGGGTACCGGCTACTTTTTCAGTACCTGCTTGGCTCTGTTTCTATCCAGGCCGAGCTGGTACTAAAGTGTTCTAACTGACAGTGACAGTTCTAACTTACAGTAGAATATAAGATACCACACTTTTTCATCACTTTTTGTAGTGTATAGTGTAATGGAAACAGAAACAGGTAGCGTAGAGCCGAGTAGGACTTGTGGAAACAGGGCTTTAGTCTTTAGTTGAGAGTTAGTCTGTATATTAATCACTGATATTCAGTTTGGTTTCTTCGCATTGCCAAAATTCTCTGACTGTGGCAATTAACTGAATTTTAGTCTAATTTTAATAGCTTTGTTACTTCATCAACACCTTATAATTAAAGCTGGGTACGTGACTTTCAAGTGAAAAAAGCCAATCAGCTGGCAGCCCACAGTCACAAGGCTCTTTTATGTATGCAAAAGATCAAATGTGTTCAAATGAAGACACGTATGTTTTGGTCTAGTGTGTCCACAACATTTTACTTTTACAAGACTCTTTCGGTTGGGACAAACCATTATCAGCAAGGTTAAAAAAGTTAGATACCCCAGCTTTAAATGTAAAACGTATTTAGCTTTATTCATTACAATCTCATTTATTTTCTTCTTCATGAGCGCAACAGGCCATGCTGTGAGGTAGTGCTCTAAAAGGTTTTCTGTGCCGTTTTAAGCCCGTCATCTACAGACATGTAGGTACGACTGCCTGCTTTTATTATACATGGTTTGCATTTGTTTCATCAATCTGAACCTCAACCTTTGCATTGCGTATTTGAGATCCTGAAATATCCATCCATCCATTTTCTACCCCTTAATCCATTTCTGGATCCTGAAATATGTGTAGAAAAAACATGATATGTAAAAATCAGCAGCAGAGTGAGGCCAAAACGGCTCAAACATGTTGCTTTTCCAGAATGTTCCCAGTAATAATGTGGATTGTGAGACTCAAGTTTAAAAAGGCCAAAAATAGAACAGATAATACACGTTACCTGATCTTTGTTCAAAATGAAAACACAGTGTTATGAATTGGCACATGTTAAAAAAGTCCTTGTCTGAATCACTCCCTTGTGGTCCCTTATGGTCAGTTCAGTAGCTCACAGAAAAAGGTTTCCTCCAGTTGTTATTGCCGTGTTTGTGGTCGGCCTCTGAAAAGGGTTTCGATCTGCTCCAGAGTTTTGCCTTTAGTTTCAGGGAGGCACACGGTGGTGAAGACGAGGTTCAGGACACACATGAACGAGAAGAGCCAGAATGTGCCGGCACTGGTCAGCAGCGTCTGGAAATACACCGTCACATGTTATTTAACGTTAGATCTAAACAGGATTCATTATTGTCAGTTTGGTTTTTCAAAATCAGTGAAGGTCGAATAAATACACTCTCACACATCAAAACTGTGTCATTTTGATAGAATCCAAAATTTCATTAAGATTAGAGGAGTAATCGTTTTCTCGGGGACAAAGTTCTGGCTCAGCAGCACACATGAGACTGAAGTGGACGAAGAAGAAACGTGCAGATCACATCATACCCTCTTTTTTGGCATTTTTCTGCAATATACTCGAATGTAAATCCCAACAATAAAATGAATATGGCCCAAATATAAGATTATGTAACGACCAAATGAGATTAAATGTGAAGGGCAAAGGTCAATGGTGTAAAGGTCACAGGAATAAAAACTCGAGTAAACTAAACAGAGAGGATTTTGCTGATCATGGAAATAAACAGAGGAAGTGGTCATAAAACATGTGCGACACATCTGCCTCCTCCTCCAGCTCCTGTGGAGCCAGCAACAACACTTCAAGGGTCAGCAAAAAAAAACCTCACTTCCATTTGAGGAGTAATAAAACCCCACATCCACATGATGTATCCCCCAACAACATGTCCCAATTTTCCCACCTCGAGATATAACATGGTTCTTGCCGAGAATCTTCAGCTGAAAATGTTCATGTTTATTAGTTTTGTTGTTGTCTAAGTTGGATCAGTGACAAACAACTTTTTATGGAGGAGCCATTAGCCAGATGCTCCTATGATCATTCTGATGCACAAAGTCTCCCACACGGCTCCTCTGCACTTGACATTTAACTACTGTTAGCAACTTTTAAAATTATGTATTTATTTGATTTCTTTGCATGGATGGATGTGCTTCTGCTGAAACTGCACACCTGAATTTCTCCTAAGGGGATCATTATCTTTCTATCTATTTTACCCATCCTTTAATGTCACAAGGGCAATCTGTCAGGGGCAATGGTCGCTGACAGATGGACCAACAGATGTTGAGCCTCTAGGTAGGATCTTTGCAGGTGGATTTTACACATTGTGGGGCAAACCGGAGTGCCTGGAGGAAACCCACCCAGCACAGGATTTCAACAACCTTCCTGCTGTGAGGTCTAGGCCTGTTCAAGTCCTGGTTTAGTCCTGGTCCAGTCCTATTTACCATCATGTCCTGAAAGTTCTTGGTAACGATGAAGGCCATGCCCCAGTTGGTGAGGACACAGACGGCTCCTGCAAAACCTCGGACTCGGACCGGGAGAATCTCGCCCATAACGAGCCACGGGATTGGCCCCCAGCCTAGAGCGAAGCCTGAGGAGAACACAGAGTACATCCAATATCTTCAGACCTGGTTCAGTCCCTGGTTCAGTCCCTGGTTCACCTGTCCTGTTTCTCACCTGTGATGAAGACTCCCATGCTGAGGAGGGCGAGCCAGGCCATATCTGTGGGCGGCTCAGGCTGGTTCAAGAGGTAGAAGTAAACACCAAACGCTGCCGTGCTCAGGGCCATGGACGATCCTGTAAGCGGCAGATAAAGTCACAGTCCTTTGTCTGAGATGAAACCAAGTCCTTGAAAATATCAAGGCTTCTTAAAGTCAGAGTGAGTTCTCAAGTCCTCTACTTTGAGCTAAGCGTATAGAAACTATAGCTTGACCAGCAACAACCACACAATTTTACAATATACATGTTCAAATAGGGTCTGGATCTCCCATCAAGGTACAGCCTTTTACTGAGATGCGTTTGGTTTATAGACTGTGTATTAAGAGTTTGTTGTTCACCATGTTTGTGAACAACAAACAGTTTGCGCTCGGCTGTTTCTCACAGTAAGTAGATTAAAACTTAAAAAACAAATCAACATGCATCAGGTTGGAATCCACAAAGCCTTGGCTGCAATCAAATCCAGCAAGAGTACCTCCTCGTTCTTCAAAAATGATTCAGGTCAAGTGACGTTTAACACAGTTTAAAGATGTTTGAAGGCCACAAAGGTCAATGAGAAGGAAGGATAAGTAGGGAGAAACTTATAAAAGTGGATGCAGGGCCAGTTCTGTGATTGGTTGTTTTACATATTCACCCAGTCCCAGAGTCTGTTCCATTTAGTCAAGTGTGTCAGAATGTAGAAGCGCCTGGTTGGTCTCTGGCAACAGCATTTCAAAAGAACTTAAACCTTCAACAGAAGTCAGACCTGAGATGATGAGCAGCAGCCTCCTCCCGGCGCGGTCCATGACGACGGCTGCGACTGCCGTGAAAACCGCCTGGGTCACTCCCACCAGGACGGAGCCCAAGTCCCCGTTCTGCGAGTGGTACAGTGTAATTTTAACTTGAGAGGAGGAAGTGGAGTGGGAGGAGTCATAGAAGTGGAAGGAGTCAGAAGTGGGAGGAGTCATAGAAGTGGAAAGATTCATAGAAGTAGGAGGAGCCATAGAAGTGGGAGGAGTGAGCCGATACCTCAAAGTGGGCCTGTTCAAAGATGCTCTCAGCGTAGAACATGATGGCGTTGATTCCGGTCATCTGCTGAAACACCATGAGACTGATGCCGAGCAGGAGGGGCTTGAACACGCCCGGGTCCCGGAGGTCCGAAAGCTTGAACTCGGAGCCCTGGATGAAAAACAGGCCCAGAAAATTTGTTTATTCCTGGTTCTGATTCTAGTCTGAGGGTCTTAGAAGCAGCCACATTGTATGAGACTGCTCTCAACTCTCTCTCTCTGGTCTCTCTCTCACTGGTCTGTCTCTGGTTTGTCTCTTTGGTCTTTCTATCTCTGCTCTCTCACTCTGGTCTCTCTTTCTCTTTGTTCTCTCTCTGGTCTCTCTCTCTCTCTCTCTCTATGGTCTCTCTCTTTCTCTCTGATCTCTCCCACTCTGATCTCTCTCTGGTCTCATCCCATGCAATTTCCGTCTCGTCCCATTCCTAGTATATGATCATCAGATAGAAGCAGCATTTGTTGGTTTTCTTCCTCCACACCTGGTCCTGGGCGCTCTCCTCGATGCGGGAACACTCCCAGTCCACAGGAGCCTCGGGGCCCCTCAGGAAGCGCAGGGCCTGCTCCGCCTCCAACCTGCGGCCGCACGACAGCAGGAAGCGCGGCGTCTCGGGCATGAAGCACATGCAGACCAGCATCAGGGTGGGAGGGATGGAGCTACAGACCGCCAGCCAGCGCCACTCCAGCACCAGACCTGGGACCAGAGGCAGAACATCAGTCTCTGCCTCAGTCTCTGCCTCAGTCTCTGCCTCAGTCTCTGCCTCAGTCTCTGCCTCAGTCTCTGCCTCAGTCTCTGCCTCAGTCTCTGCCTCAGTCTCTGCCTCAGTCTCTGCCTCAGTCTCTGCTTCTTCCCATTTCCACTGACCATAGGTGAATTTTGTGATTAAATTCATAATCAAAATAATAGACTTATACGTCAACTTTATTTCAACCAAGAAAAACTTATTAATAGAAAATATCTACGACAAATATCTTTCCATAAATACCAACAGGTCAGTTTTTCTGCAGAGACAGAGTAGGTCCTTGTGTTTAAACCATGTGAGCAAATGTCACGCTTCATTTTCTGCACTTAAATCTGTCCATGAAAGCTGCAAGTATGAACCTAAACCAAAACACAATTTGAACGCTTACTCCAAATTACTTGCAATTAGTGGACTTTCTAGCCACACGAAGGCTGATGCACTTTCACTTAATTATTCATAAATGCATTCTTGGTCAGCTCCCTTTTGCAGAGGTATAGACTGTATATAGGTGGACAATGCTAACCCGCTAGTTCTGGCTCTTATCGACTTACAATGAACTCGCATGTAAACTCGCTCTCTATTATCCAGAAGATCTAAATATTGATTTGGTCTTTGTAAATCCAGATATTAGCGACAAGCATTGACCTATCAGATGCCTTGGCAACCATGTTGGTAAATTGGCTCAAGTTAGCTTATGTTCAAATCGGCTTCTCCTGCATACTTTTCCTGGTTAAATGAACGTTAAATAATAAAACATTAGGTTTCAGACTTCTCACCTGCCAGGTAAACTCCCATGATGCCGATCACCACCATGAGCTGCACACAGGAGCCCAGCAGCCCTCGCACGCGCTCGTGAGCCGTCTCCGAGATGTACAGCTGCAGCAGGGGAGAGCCACTATTACTGAATGCACTCAGGCCAGGCAGGTTTATTTGTATCGCACTTGTATACCCCAACCAACTCAACGTGCTCAGCAAAACAAGAAAAGAAACATTAACATCACACACAGATAAATTATACACAATCACAGTACAAGATGCAATCAGTTTTATGCACTGCTAAACAGAACTGATTTTAACCTGGATCTGAGGAGAAGCCTGTCCCACATTTTAAACTTCAAGACAAGGCATGTGTATAGAACAAATCCTATTCAAGGCAACTCAAAGTCCTGAACAAAACAAGATAGAAACATCCTGCCCATATATATAGATAGCTAGAGAAATATATGTTGATAGTAGTATTTACAGCTAGCTAAGAAACACAGCAGCTCTTACTACTGTCCTGAATGTGCGCTGCAACATTGAAATTTCCGCACTGTGAGACGTATAAAGGTTCTCTTATTTTTATCTCATCATATCACATACAGTTCCTTTAAATGAGTATGCTATTAGACATAAGTGAAGTAAAACAATAACGATATTCTATTTATTTTTTCCAGTGGCCTTTTGACCAATCAATTTTCAGAGCAAAGTATCAGTAAAAGGCCAGAGCAAGGGACCATTTATTTAACAAAACATATTTATGAAGTTTTATAAATTTGAAAGAGACATTTGTGTACAAACTCAGAGTAAGTGTAGTAAATGTTAGAGCTCATGTCTCAGAACCCTGGACATATCCACATGAAACAGAAACTCCCACAGTTTCACATCGACTATGGCATAATTATAATGAACAATAACATAATTAAATATATGTACAATTTGCTCATAAAAAGGTGTCTAATGTGTGTGCATGCATGTTTGTGTGTGTCTGTAGTCGTGTGTGTGTCTGTAGTTGTGTGTGCGTACATATGTGTGTGTGTGTGTCTGTAGTTGTGTGCGCGTACATATGTGTGTGTCTGTAGTCGTGTGTGTACGTGTGTGCGCATCTGTACGTGTGTGTGTGTGTAGGCATGTTTGTGTGTGTCTGTAGTCGTGTGTGTGTCTGTAGTTGTGTGTGCGTACATATGTGTGTGTGTGTGTCTGTAGTTGTGTGCGTGCACATATGTGTGTGTGTGTCTGTAGTCGTGTGTGTACGTGTGTGCGCATCTGTACGTGTGTGTGTGTGTAGGCATGTTTGTGTATGTGTCTGTCTGTACGTGTGTATGTGTCTGTAGGCGTGAGTGTGTGTGTATTTGCATGTGTCTGTACGTCGTGTGTGTCTGTAGGCGGGTGTCTGTACGTGTGCGTTTGTAGTCCTGTGTGTGTGAGCGTGTGTGTGTGGGTGTACGTACGTGTGTGTGTGTTTGTAGGCGGGTGTCTGTACATGTGCGTTTGTAGTCCTGTGTGTGTGAGTGTGTGTGTGTGTGTACGTGTGTGTGTGTTTGTAGGCGAGTGTCTGTACGTGTGTGTGTGTTTTTAGTCATGTGTGTGTGTGTACATGTGTGTGTGTTTGTAGTTGTGTGTGTGTGTGTGTGTGTGAACTTACGGGCACCACAAGTGAGGTGACTCCGCTGGCCAGTCCGGTGAGCACACGGCCCACATACAGCATCCACACGTTCTGCGCCGCCACAATGATAGTGAAGCCGCAGACGTACGGCAGTGCACACAGCATCAGAGTGAACTTCCTGCCCCAGCGCTGCACCATCCAACCCCCGAGGAGACCGCCGCCCGCCGCCCCCAGCGTCACGATGGACTGGACACACAGCAGGACACTATCAGACTCACTGCTCAGCTCAGACATAACCACAATCTGGCAAGACAATTATTAGTGGACCCCAATTTAATTTTCTATAATTATTATTAACTTGCAGCATTATTGGTTATGGACTACCAAGGCAGGTTATACATCACATTTTTGTCAGGAAAACAACCAAATTTTATTTATTCTAACATTTTAACCCAACACATCATTAGAATTTAAATAGTTAAATACAAAACAATGCGTTTAACCGCACCAGTATTGGTTAAATCTAAACAATAACCACATCTTTTAGAAAAATCCACCAGAAAATAATAGTGTCATATTAAAGTAATGTCAAAACACCTTCATAATTTAAGGAAACCGCTACTACTATTTCGGCCCCTGACCTGTTCCTATCTTTTTTTTATTTTGCAGCTGACAAAAATGAGTCTGACTCCTTAGACCTCACGTAGCTGTCACAAAAGGACACATTCGAGAGAGCACATTACCCCTGTCCTGGCCTCACTTTACTGACTTCCTTTGATCGATTTTAGGATTCTGATGCTTGTTTTTGATTGTTTAAATAGTTTAGCCCGTGTATATGGAACAGAGCTGTTATTTCTGACTGCTCCTATCAGATCAGTGAAGTCAGAAAACCAGTTTCTGTTGAACGTGCCCAGGTCTCGTCTCAAAACTTGAGGAAACCAGGCCTTTACTGTTGCTGCAAGCAAACTGTGGAATATACTTCACCTCTGTTCATTGGAGCGGCTCCTTCATAGGAGGTTTTAGAATATAGTCTGTGCACAGTGAAGGCCGAACAGTTTGAAGGAACATTTTTAGAACTTTGCCTATATTCAAAATCACATTTATTGTTCTAGTTTTAATACCAATGCCACACCTATGAGACTTTGACGGCCAATAGGGTTATAGTCCTCGTCTTCTGCATAATCTTGTCACTGGAACCACAGTGATCCAGGATTCATACAACTGTAATTACTTTGTGAAACTTTTAAATCTTTGTCCCACCAATGGTTTGTTTTCAGCTTTTTTTCGGGCTCTGGCAAAAGTTTACTGTGAGTAATCATATTTTTTTTTTACTCTATGGTGAACTGTTTTATAAGTGCCATGAATATAAACTTGGCTTAACCATTATATTGTGGCATCAAAAAAGAAACTATAAAGAGTGTAATAAGAAAATCCTTCGGAGTCTCTGCCTACAGTCTGTCTGTGTCTTGTGTTGGGCATCGTACCCCAAACCAAGAGGCCTGATCCGCGTCCAGCCTCAGCCGTGGGTCTGCGATGGAGGTCAGGTCTGGGATGGCCGGTGAACTGTAACCCAACACAAAGCCGAAACTCAGGGGCCCCAAGACGGCGGCGAAAGTGGCGAGAAATAACCGGCTGTTCTGGACCTGACTGTGAGAAGAGACGAGCCGTGAGACAGGACAAAGAGATACAGCATTACTTTCATCCAGAAAAAATATACTTAGTACTCAATAGTCTACTCTAGTCTAGTATAGAGAAGCACTGTTGGGACTCCTCAGGTCCTGGTACTTGGGGTCACACTATGAAGAATTTCTATTGTATATTACTTCTGATTCTTAATAAATACGATTGTGTTTATTGTTAGGCTATTTGTTGTCTTTTTTTTATGTATGCAAGAATCATATCAATATATGTTTCCAATGTGCAATTGAACAAAAAAGGTTGCAATATCTATCAGGAGAGCTAAAATAGTTATATATTGTACTATACCAATTGATCTATTTTTCTTTATAGCCGTGTTATTTTCATTTGTGCTGTGGCTACTTGTTCATCTTTAGAAATAACAACAGAATATTTAATCTATAACATAGATAAGACAACATAATAGCAGGTTTCTATTCTTAACCTGTGAACATTGTTTTTGGTTGGTACAAAAGTAAATAGAAAGATAGATGGTAAGATAGACATACAACAAATACAAATAATACATATTCACATTTTAAATAGGGATATAATGTGAGTACGTGTATTTTATTGCGTTTCACCTGAGGTACAGGTCCTGCTCTGACAGCGGCTCCTCCTGGTCCCTCAGCCCGGGTCTCGGCTCGCCCTGGTCGGCCTCATCTTGCAGAAGTCCACGGCGTTCCTCCTGGATGTCCATCACTTCTGCTTACACGCGATCGATGGCTGCAAACGACCGCCTCAAAAGAACAACATCAACAAGCACCACCACAACAACCAGGAGACCAGGAGCGAGCAGTCAGAGAGGCCGAAGAGAGGCGCAGGACAGCGGGCATGTCAGCACCAAAAACCCGGGGAACGATGCGTGTGTCCCGGGTGAAGAGGAGGTCTGAGTCCGAAGAACCGGTAGAGCTGCTTTGTCAACAATTCGGTCAGCTGATCTGAACGAGCCGAATATCCTGCTTCCGGGATAATTTCAAAATAAAAGTACGTGCTCCGGATATGAGAAATGCGCGTCTATGATTTTAGCAATTAATTGTATTTTTCAATATTGTTAACACACACAAATGTAATTCCAGGGCTGGGATTTTATGATTGGACACAGCCAGATTATTATCACACCTGAGTTTCCTCCACGGTTGGTGGTGGTTGTCCATAAAATAATTACATAAAGTTTTAATTTAGTAAATGTTTTACGTACCCCAGGGATCAAACCATAGACTGTAGATCAAACTCATGTTGATAAAGGTTCCAATACCATGATTATTTTATAAAAACCCGATTTAGCATCTTTTTATATAGTATAGAGTTATTGTTCATTTATCTTGTGTGCTACTCATTCTTACTGTTTTGTAACTGGTGATGCAACACTGAAATTTCCCCACTGTGGGGTAAACAAAATATCTCTTAATCTTAATCTTGATTTTGTAATTCTAATTGTATTTGTGTACATTATGCAGGTTTGTGATCAAATGATTACTTTTATTCATTTATTATTCTCAACCAAACACGTACATGCTTGGACTGAACTAAAAATGAAGAAATAAGAACGGCTTGTTATTGCTGAATAAATATTATTAGTTGTGTTCTTGGTTCAGTGTTTAGATTAAAAAAGTGTATATGGTTGTTTTCTTGAGAATGATCTTATAGTTGCCCTCTATTACTATAAATCATTTCATGTACCCCATGTAATACCCCTGCACACCCCTAGGCGTCCACGTACCCCCAGTGACGAAACACCGGGATACGCTCATGGATACGCTATGGTGACGCGCATATTTCACTGCCTCTCATGACAACAAAAAATTATAGTTGGCCACGATGACAATGACACGCTGAAGACGCTTGGTGTAGGGTTGAGCTCCAGATTCTCTCCTGGAACCTGGTGAGATCGAGACAAATTTTTCTGGTAAAAGCAAACTTTGGTGTAATGTATTGTGTAATATATTGCATATTTATAGTCTCACAATCAATTATCAATATTCTTTTTCCAGGTATTGTGTAGGAGCCATAAATTGAATATACAGTGGGCTGTGATTTGATTGGGTGATGTGCCGGGTGTGGGTCACGTGGTTACTGGGGCGGTGTCTACTTAGTTCTCACCTCTGTTTTATGAATGAAATCAGTAGTAGAGAGGGGGGCTGGGTCGCCGTAGTTTTTGTTGACCGTTCGTTTGTGTTTGTTTCTTTGGTACCTTCGTTTTTCTCACTGTTTCGTTCAATATCAAGACGTCTACGTTATGTTATCACCTCATCCGTGTTTCTTTTCATTAAAACGCCATCAAACTTAATCCCTGACAAAGTGTGCTCTGTGACAGCCAAGCAGCGCGTCATACAATTAGACGAACCCGGTTTCTCCTCTCCAGCGGCAATAGGCACTAGAGTCGCTACAGATATGTTAATTGTCCTTTTTTTTGTCAACAGTTTCAAACTTAGTTCCCTTGTGGATCAATAAGGTTTGTCTATAGAGAAGTTTTTTCGGTAGAACTACGGGCGCGGCCATTGAACCCCTGTGCTGTTTTTACACTGCAGATCAGACCGAAGAGAGGATCATTCTACGTTTTCAGAATTTTAAAATGGATGCAGCGAAACTCTCAGTCTGAGTCTGACCATTTGCCGACAGGGCTTGTTTAAATGAATAGGAGTCTTGCAACTTAGTCAGAACTACCATGGTCTGCTGTACCTCATTTTAAAGCTTATTCTCTAAGGAAACAACCACATCATGTATTTCACTCCAAGGAATAAACTTAAAAGGCAATTGGCAGTAATAAAAATAAGAAACATTGTTAATCAGTCAACAATACCCAGTCTTCAATCTAAGCGCAACTGCTGCTCACTTTGACAATGATACATAGACGTCGGAACTAGGGGTTCCGCGTGTGCCGGGAGCGAGAAGTTATCACTATCCTGCGTTCCTTGCAGCCCAAAACCCGCTCCATGCTGTCGGAGAAGCTTATGAAGCTCTGTCTGGCTAATATCTGTCGCAGCCTCTGAGCGCTCTTTCTCAGCCTTGCGCAGATTAGAGACCTGGCTACACCAGTGACGTGCGGTGGGGGATCAATCATGTGTGTAGTAGTAGTAGTAGTAATCTTTATTTATATACCGCCTTTTCACTGCACATCGGAGTCTCAAAGCGGTTTACAATTGTGATTTTGTGTGGGGGTGCCAGTACAGGAGGCACATGCCAGACCTATTGTACATATTTTTAGTGGTAGGGGAAACCGGAGCACCCGGAGGAAACCTACGCAGACACGGGGAGAACATGCAAACTCCACTCAGAAAGGCCCTGGTCCAACCGGGATTCGAACCCAGGACCTTCTTGCTGAGAGACGAGAGTGCTATCCACTCAGCCACCGTGCCGCCCTCATATTATATACATCATATTAACCAACAGGACCTACAGGAACAGGAGCGGCTTATACACAATTTGTTTGGCTACAGCAGAATATGATTTAATGTCTGCATTGTTTTCTCATACAAAACGCAAACGTTTGTAAATAGTACAAAGTGTGTTATGGGCCTTACCTTAGGTATTAATGAACAGCACAGACCACTTCAGTTAGGACCAGTTTCATGTTTAAGTCCAGATAATAGTTTGGGCACAGACATGTAATCCTCCATTTGGAAATAAGTTCAATGAGTTTTAAAAAGTAAAAAAAACGGGTGTCTCCTCCGTAAACTCCGAGTTTTGCTGCAGCCGACTCCCGGGTAAATCCAATTTCTAAATTCAACCTTACCCTTCACCTCCTTTTCTTATGATTCATATCATCATTGGAAGCAAAACATTACTCTAAGTGCATTTTAAATTATCTTAAAATGTATTATAGGTATGTTAGCCAAACCTGTAGCTGCCCTTAGCAGAAGAAGAACAAGAAAGGAGCTTTCTGATAGAATTGGATGCAGCCAAAGTTTGGGCTCACAAGCGCCCCCTTGAGGCTTTCCTCACTTACAAGCTGTGGTTGAGCGCGATTAAGACCCATATTTGCTTCAAAAACACAATTTATGAGCCATCCTCTTAAATGTAAACATGTTGATTGTAAATTAAATATTTTTGAACTTTTTAAACTGTGATAAACAGGGAAAACAGTTTGATAGCACCTCACAGGACTCTCCCTGTGAACTGTTGCTTTTTACGTCTCCCAAGAGAGGCTCGCCTCACAGCACCGCTCTGTCAAATCTGCGATTTCAAGGTATAAATAAATGAAATAAGGCACAGCACAAATCACTTGATAAAGTGACCAAACATTATTGTATCCATTTTATTACTTTTCTTTCTATGATCTTAGGTGAGGGCCTTGCCTGCCTCATCTGACCGCACGTCACTGGGCTACACAACACAATGAAGCCACCGGAGAGACTGACGCATGAATGCGTATTGAAAAAAAAAAAGTTCAGTTTGATAAGTGACTTGCTTGATATATATTGTTTATTTTGTTTTTCTTAACAATTAAGATGGTATGTTATTATCCAGTGTAATCCAAGTATGAGTCTCTCCCTCGACTCTCCCAACAAAAACCCGCCCCCCCTCTCAGAAAATAGTTCCGACGTCCATGCAATGATATAAACAAAATTGAAATGAACTGAAGTAGTTTTGTTCAGAAAAAAACAACCAAAAATAATATCCAAACTATTACTCATTAGTATTGGTTCAACATAGCTCAGTCATGTAAAAAAGTAAATATCCCAAAATTACCACATATGGATACGAGGGGCATAAACAAATCTTGGGATGGGAATTGTAGTACTGCCATATTGTGATATTATTGTCACATATAGTATTGTGAGAGTCCCATAAATTTAAAGTCTCAGCTAAAGTAGTTATTGTGCTTTACCAATTGATATATTTGTCTAAAATCCATGATATCTTCATTTGTCCTTTGGCTACTTGTTCATCTTTAGTAATAACAACAGAATATTGAATTTAAAACATAGACAACACAAGAGCAGCTGTTTCTTACCCTGTGAACCTTGTTTTTGGTTGGTAAAAAGTAAATACATTGATAGATAGTAAGCTACGTTCTATTGTTGTGAATAAACACCACTCACGCCTCAGAGTTCAGTTATTTATTTCCTGCTGCGTTAACTGCAGTTCTGCGCACTTCCTCCAGGGGGCTTCAGTACTCCGGGGCGCAGGGCGGGGCGTCAGTCACCGGTTGGCACCTCTCCACCACCGCGTTGATCTCTCCCACGTTCACGCCGTCGTAGTTGCCACTGATGGACGTCCAGTGCGTGTCTCCGTCGTTGTTGGTGCGACTCAGACGAGCGGTGAACGGGATGTCCGCGGTCATGCGCCGGCCCTCCATCCGCACCGCGCACGAGTGGTTTGGCGGCACCAGGATCTGACGCAGAAATGGAAGTAAGTAATATTTATTTATATAGCGCCTTTCACAGACCAGAGTCACAAAGCGCTTTACAATTGTTGTGGGAATTTGTTTCTCACTCCACACAGAGATGGGAGCGAGCTCACCAGAAGCTAGAGAGGTAGGGGAAACCGGAGCACCCGGAGGAAACCTACAAATGCAAACTCCACACAGGTCGGAGGTGGAATCAAACCCAGGACCATCTCGCTATGAGGCACGAGCACTAACCAGCACCACTCTCAAGAGGTCTCATTAAATCACATGAAATATATGATTTTGTAATTAATTTGAATTACGGTTTTACACCAATAAAGCCAAAGGCTAGAGAAGGAGGGGACTGGCCTCCTGCATAGAACCCTATGGAGCACAGGGACGGACTGGTTTCCTGCTGGGACTCTGAGGAGCACAGGGAATGGCCTCTTGCTGGTGCCCAGAGTCAGAACTAAACATGGGGAGGCAGTGTTTTCAGATTTATGCAGCAGTAACCTGAAAATGTGTAAAGACAGTTGTGTTGATCTGTGCATACAACTGAAGGATTGTATCTTCACTCTTTTGAATGTGTTGTGACATCACATGAGGCTGGAGAGGGGCTTGAGCCGCATTATACCCTAAACATATCATAATAGAACCATGTGGTCTCCTCACCTGCACCTCCACCGTGTGCCTGATGGTCTCGCTCGTCATGGTTCCCTCAGAGAACGTCACAGTCTGCTCTTTGCTGAAGTCCACGTCCCCCGTACCTGACAATCAGACGTGTGTGGATTAGCAGAAGTCGTCTCTGGATAGTTTTAGAAAACTATACAATCATCTGCAAAGAGGACTGTGAGCCTTTGTGAGTTCTGGAGGTTCTTTATGAATCCAGACCCTTAAACCTAGCTCTTCAAGTAATAAATGACTCTTCTGGCCCCTGGAAAAGCCATGTTCCAGCTTCGTCCTTCATGGAAGCTAACAATGAAGCTGTTTCGCACCTTGTCATTAAATCGTGTTGTGATCAGTTAAAATGGCCGTCTTTCTGCTACATTATACATGAAAACCTGCAGCTTATATTCAAGTGCGGTCTATATATGAACAAAACGTACTTTCTTCTAAAATGTTGCGGGTGCGGCTTATACACAGGTGCGCCTAATAGTCCATAAAGCACGGTACTGTCATGATGTGGACTTTTTTATTACTTTAACCTGCTATTATTTCAATATATTGGTTATTTTCTATCCCTGTTTTGTCCTTTATTTTGTTACTTTTGAGTTTTTGTGTGTTAAATCTTCTATTTTTGGCTGTCCTATATTTGGGTACGTCACAGGTACAATCTCTCTCCGACTTTTCACTCACCGAGGATGGGTACTTTGGCCTTCATGGTGCTGACCGACCCGTTCCTCGTCTCTCGCCCGATGTTCCAATGTTTTTCCAGCGTCGTGGACTTTTCCAGCCTGACCGTCTTCTGCACGCTGCTACACTCCAGGTTGGTGACCCGGGCCAGCTGCAGCGCCTCCGGTGGATGGTGGAAGAGCTTCATGCTGTCGATGGCGTACTCGACGTGGGAAATGTGTTGGCTGTAGCTGTCGTGGTTTAAGGTCAGCACCTGGTATTTTTTGTACCAATACTCATCCCCCTCCCACGGCAGGAAGAAGGCCTCATGCTGGCTCACCACTTTGCCCAAGCCGTATTTGTTCTTACCCACAAATATATCGACTTTCGGGCACGTGCGCACGGAGTATCGTGGCACCGAACCGTACGAGTCCTCCTCCCACACCAGGAACTCAAAATGGTCGACGTTCACCAGGATGTCAAACTTAGAGGAGGTGTGTTCGTTATCGGCGTAGGGGTAGTGACACACGTTGCCCTTGCCGACCGAGTAGAAGCCGGACTCGCAGTTGACTTTGCAGATGTAGTCGGTTCTCTCCGTGTAGCCGTTGAAGATGCCGACGGCGCCGTTGGGCAGAGAGCCGTTGAAGCGAACCCACTTGAGGTTGACATACTCGGGGAACATGGGCGTGTCTGAGAGAGGGGCGGAGTCAGGTAGGTCGAGGGGACGAGGGGAGGAGGAGGAGGCGCGAGACGGAACCACCTCCGAGAGAGACGGATTCAGCCACGGCTCTGGGGAAAGAGAAGAATGAAGCTGTGTTTATGTCGAGTGACTGGTGTTTGTTTGATAAATGCGAGCTTCCATTATGTTAAAGTTTGATGTTAGTAACTTTCTCTTGCCTTCTCCAACTATTCCAACAATAGGAGCGTTTAAATCAAGCATTAAAACAGGGCTATTTGCCTCAGCATTTCCATAAACTCATTCCCTTTTTAAAATTATTATTATTATTTTATTGATTGACTGCGGAACCTTCCGCAGTCAACCATTGGTTTTGTATTTCTTTATTCCGTCATTTTTTTTGACACGTTTCACAGCTTTCACATTTTCAACAATTTCCACAAGTTATACATCAAAACGTTCCACATGTTTGGGAGATTATTGCTATTACTTTTGGGACTTCAGCGATTTCCGGTTTTTCCGCAATCGGACAAAAATCTGCATTGAGAATTCTGCAATGCATTTTAATAGGCCCATGCATTTTAATAGGACTTCAGCTCTTTCAGACATTTCTACAGTTTCAATGATTCAACAGTTTCAAGGATTCAACAGTTTCAAGGATTTCAGCAGTTTCAAGATTTCAAGAGTTTCAAGGACTTCAACAGTTTCAAGGACTTCAACAGTTTCAAGGACTTCAGCAGTTTCAAGGACTTCAGCAGTTTCAAGGACTTCAGCAGTTTCAAGGACTTCAGTGTAATCATGCAACCTAATAGGGATTTTTCCATGTAAACCAGTATAATGCAACTTAATAGGGATTTTTCCATGTAAACCAGTATAATGCAACTTAATAGGGTTTTTTCATGTAAACCAGTATAATGCAACTTAATAGGGTTTTTTTTCATGTAAACCAGTATAATGCAACTTAATGGGGATTTTTCCATGTAAACCAGTATAATGCAACTTAATAGGGGTTTTTACATGTAAACCAGTATAATGCAACTTAATAGGGTTTTTTCCATGTAAACCAGTATAATGCAACTTAATAGGGATTTTTCCATGTAAACCAGTATAATGCAACTTAATAGGGGTTTTTACATGTAAACCAGTATAATGCAACTTAATGGGGATTTTTCCATGTAAACCAGTATAATGCAACTTAATAGGGGTTTTTACATGTAAACCAGTATAATGCAACTTAATAGGGTTTTTTCCATGTAAACCAGTATAATGCAACTTAATAGGGATTTTTCCATGTAAACCAGTATAATGCAACTTAATAGGGTTTTTTTCATGTAAACCAGTATAATGCCACTTAATAGGGTTTTTTTCATGTAAACCAGTATAATGCAACTTAATGGGGATTTTTCCATGTAAACCAGTATAATGCAACTTAATAGGGGTTTTTACATGTAAACCAGTATAATGCAACTTAATAGGGGTTTTTTACATGTAAACCAGTATAATGGAACTTAATAGGGGTTTTTACATGTAAACCAGTATAATGGAACTTAATAGGGATTTTTACATGTAAACCAGTATAATGCAACTTAATAGGGTTTTTTACATGTAAACCAGTATAATGCAACTTAATGGGGATTTTTCCATGTAAACCAGTATAATGCAACTTAATAGGGGTTTTTACATGTAAACCAGTATAAAGGATAACAGTTTAAAGGATATCAGGAGCTTCAAATACTTCAGGAGTTTCAAAGATGTTTAAAGTATTTTAACAGTTTTTTTCAGCAAGGATTTTTCAGCTAAATTCCACATTAGATCTGTTTCGCAGTCAATCGCAATGGCTTCAGCCATTGCAACGGTTTCTAGTTATTATTACAGATGTATACATGTTTTTTGTGTGTACTGTATATATATAATTCTGAAACTACTTTAACTCCCAGAGCATACATTTTGACTGCTCTCATCGAAATATATGGAAATCTGAAAAAGTAAAGTGCACCTTTACCTTCTGGCAGTAAACAGTGTGTTGCTATGGTAACTTGCAATTGCTCATCAACTGACTCCACTCATAACCAGAACCAGACCAGGCCTGAACGAGTCCTGAACGTGTCTTGACTAAGTGGACACACGTGCAGCAGACTGTAAACTCACTGGGTTCGAGTCCGTCCTGAAGCTGCGACACCAGCAGCAGCGGCTCACAGCGGACAGAGCTGCAGTGGAGCAGAGCCACCAGCAGGGGGAGCACTGACAGCCTCATCATCTGCAGCAGACAAAGGGAACAATACATGGGAATAGTTCCATTTGCAAAAAATCAAGAAGTGCCCCTAGTGAAACATTTGAAAGCCTTATTATTTTCCCTTCTTTTGAAAAGCCAGATCTATTTTAGTGCCATACATAAAGTTCCTCCATCCATTTTTTCCCCTCAATCCATTTCTGGGTCCGGGAGGTAAAGTGGGGTTAAGTGTCTGCCTAAGGACACAGTGACAGCGGACATAAGTGGGAGTCGATGGAGATGGTCTCAAGGGGGGATCAAACCCATGACCTTGAGGCTCAAAGGCCAATGCTCTACCAACTGAGCCACTGTCGCCAAAATAAAGTTCCTTTGAAATGTAATGGCGATAACAAACATGTTGACTGACAATTATAGCTCGAGGTAAACAACTTTTGGACATTTTTTCAAAACAGAGATATGTGTTTTTACAAGTGGACTCATCATGTACTCTTTAAATCGAGGGTTCAGAGGACACGCCACTTTCAACGGGTGTGAAATATAAATATATACTTAATTTATTTTCTTCTGCTTTACATTCAGAAGGAAAAGTTTTAATTTGATGCAGTCCAGTTCCACAAGTTTGCAAGTTATAAAATTATGCTTTCATATTTTATTTTTTATTTCATAAAAATATTTAATTTCTGTTTTGAAAGTGATTGAGAGTGAATAACTGTCAGAGAGGAGAAGGCTCTTACCTCGTTGTTGGCTGTTGCTTCAAGGACTGAGTCTCAGCTTCAGGTTTGACTCCTCCCTCAGAAAAGAGGATTTATGAACCCAATAAACCTATAGGCCAGGACTGAACCAGGACTGAACGAAGACTGAACGAAGACTGAACCGGGACTGAACCGGGACTGACACAGATATGAAGTAAAATATTTAATAGTCCCATACATATGGATGCATATAGTATGAAATGGATCTATGAAGAGAAGTTTCACATATATTGAATAAACATTAATGGGATATGGATCAAAAGCAACATTTTTAAATATCTATGAGTTGTGTATAAGGGCCTGTTATGATCTCTGCCAGGCAGGGGGTAATGCCATTCCCAGGGTTTGTCTGTTAGTCAGCAGTGAAACTCAAAAAGTTTTGGGAATATTTTTATAAAATAAATAATGCATTTTGGGAATGGAAGGAAAGAAAGTATGCATCTTGGCAGTGGTTTGCTCTCTACGAGTGGTTGTCTAGTTCACTCATGAATTCAGTGTTCTTTTAGAGCTAGGGGGTGCTGTTTCTCTATGAATTCTTCTCTGTGAACCATATTATTTTAACTTCAGGTGAAGATGGCCTGATGTCCAAAGGGCTTCGTCACATTCTCCAGATAAATATGGATAATTCTCTGATAACGCTGCAATTATTGGGAGTTTGTCGATAACATAAGACTGTTCTCAGATCAGATCATGAATGATATCGGCCTGGCCTTGAAACGCAGATAGGAGCAGAGGAGAAGGACAGACCACTGTCAGCAGCACATTTTGCTTAGGGCCTCATAAAACAATGGCTCAAAAGCCTCATGCAAACTCCACAAGACCAGAAATATCTACTGTGTGAACTTAGTGCAATTGTAGAAGTAATTTTATGAAATGATATTTTAGATTTGATTTATATTTTTTGCATGCCTTATTATCATTCTATGTATACTTTTATGGCACAAGATAAGAGAACCTTTATTCGTCCCACAGTGGAGACATTTCAATGTTGCAGCCCACATATAGGACAGTAGTAAGAACACACAGGGAGCACACATACAGCTGCGGCTGTAAAGTGCCAAACTGCCATTGTGTCCTTAGGCAAGACACTTCACCCCCATTGCCTAGAATGAGTCTGGTGTTTGTGTGAATGGTTGGTGGTGTTTGGAAGGGCCGATGGCCCATACTGGTTGCCCTGCTTCTGTCAGTGTGCCTCAGGGCAGCTGTGGCTACAGTAGTAGTTCACCACCACCATGTATGGAGTGAAAGAATAATGACATGTGAAGCGTCTTTTAGTGTCTGGAAAACCGATGTATTATTAATATTAATCCAAGAGACACACACACACACTCTTTTGGTTCTAGTGTTTTTTTTCCATTAATATACTTCACAGCACTTTTCTGAAATCAGCTAACTTTTTACAAAACCAAAACAATTGGAAAAGCACTCGTAGAGCTCAGACCTCCGCCTAGAAGTGCCCCTCACTGATCCTCCTACAGGTGGTGAGCCCACAGGAGCTGATATCTTTCAGTGGGGGCTTCAGGCTAAGTGGGGTTAGGTGTCTTGCCCAAGGACACAACGACAGCAGACATCAGTGGGAGTCGTGAAGTAGGTCTTACAGTGGGCTCGAACCCACGATCTCCAGGCCCACAGGCCAATGTTCTACTAACTGAGCCACTGTCGCCCCGTGTTTCCATTCCTTTAGAAAAATTATGCCTCCAGACCAGACGGAGATTCAGATCACCTACTGTTTGAGTTTTGTTGCTCACAGACAAACGCTGGTGATCACTTTACCTTCTCGACGGGGATAATTATTTTATTTACCTCATATTAATCCTACACTTAGCAAAAAAACAGCTTTACTCGAATAAGAGTTCAAACATTCTGCATCAACCCCAGTAAATAGTTTTTGTGTGTCGATGTCTTGGGCTCAGCTGAAGTGGCCTCTGTGTGATACCAGACCCTACATTTTCCCCTTTTCTGTTGTTTTACCATATTTAATGCAATTCTACACATGTCAGTGCTAAATGAAAGATATCAAAGCTATTAACCATATACTACCTCCACCTGAAAGTCTGACAAAACTTTAAACCTGACCTGACAGACCTCAATCGTAACCGAGAGAGGAATCTGTGTCCAGAGATAATCTTTGATGTTAGTGTAATATTAACAAGAGGAGATAAAGTCACTATCAAACACCTGTGACTGATCTTAACCGTTGATCATTGATTGATTATTCCCTTAATGATCTTTGTGTTTTATTATGTGCAAGGTCTTTCATTCTGGTGCTGTCAGACTGTACAACGAACAGTAAGGATTAACAAACACTGCCGACCTGACCTCACATGTCATGCATCGGTGCAGTATCTTGAACTAATGTGAGAACGTGGAATAAGAACCACATGTTACTGTCCCAGATCCTCATGCTGCTAATGTGCAGATGTAAACACACAACTAAATATTACTTGCACAAGAATACACATTTTATACTTACTTCTTATTATGCTGGGGGGGATATTCTTAAGTCTTGCTTCTTCATCGTGCTAAAGTTTAAGATTTTATATTTTATATTTATCTTTTATGAGACTTTTTGTGCAATTATGTCAAAACTGAGTTGGTCATTAAAACAGTCGTCAGAAGTGAGTACTTTTCCACTTCATAATTTGGTTTTCTGAAAGTTGAAGTGAAAACGGCGATGGTGAGAGGAGCTTTTGTAATGGTATAAAACTATGTGGACACTGCAAAACTTGTGTCATTGTACGCTGTGAACCAACAAGAAAACATGTCACTTTCTAAAATTGTGCATAAGATTTTTTGTTTACGTTTTCTGCTCATGAGAAACTTTATATCTTATATCATAGTTTTTTTTATCTTATAACTTTTTAACCGTTTGCACATTTCCATTTGCACACGCTGAAAGATCTTGTTGAAGCCATAAGGAACATGTAAGTTTAATATACCCATTGTGAGATCAATAGTTTTATCTTTTCCTATGTCTTCTACTGAGACACAACCCCAGACTTCAGCATCCTTTGTCATTATCCTTCTTTCATTTGTGCATGTGAGGCATTTTGGGTAGCTGGTGCTGCTATAAATGTGCAATACAAATAAATAGCTATATAAAACCGAGGCATTATTATTATATATTTTCATCATCATTATCATTATTACAATAACAAGCCTCTAAATGCCTTGTACTTCCCAACACCGACAACAGCAGATTCACAAAAGACAAATCCAGAAACAGGAAATGGATGTTGTTTATTGCAGTCTGTCTCTAGGGGCAGGGCTTTGAGTCGGACACCGGCTCACATCGGTCCACCACAGCCCGAACCTCTCCGATCTGCACCCCGTCATAGGTTCCAGAGATGGAGGTCCACTGCGTCTCCCCGTTGCGGTACGTGCGGCTGAGACGGGCGCTGTACGGCACATCAGCCTTGAACTTGCGGCCCTCCATCCTCACACGGCAGGTGTGGTTCGGTGGCACGGTCAGCTCCACAGAGACGGAGTGAGAGATGGCCTCCACGCGGGTCGTACCTGTCGCACACGCACAGACTGTTATGATTCTGAGCTTACTGTGAGCTCATGACCCCCTCCCTCCTGATGCTGCTGCTGTGGGCGTGGCCTCTCCTGCTCCTTGTTCCTGATTGGCCTACACACCTGCATCTCATCCCTCATCAGCCGCTACTTTTATTAGTGTTCTTTGTACCCTGTGGCTTATATTGCAATGAGGCTTATATGTGTGTGTGTTTTTTAACTGTGGTAGACTTTTAGTTTTTTTGTCTGGCCTCCAGAGTTTTAGTCCATGAATCATCTCCAGACTACTCATTTGTGGAACTTTGTGTGACAATTTTTGTTTCATGCAGATTGGCCCAGGGATTACAGAGATGAGCTCTGAACCCGGCATGTCCAAACTAAGGCCTGCGAGCCAATTGCGGCCGTCTGTGTCATTTCATGTGGCCCTCTGCCTTGCTAACCTTAAGTAGATCATAGACGCAAATTCAGTGTCATCCAGCCAACTTCAGATACCAATATAAGCAGGTTATTCCTCGTTGTGAATCTTTGGAATCCAGATTTCAATGTGTTTCTGATTAGCACGAAATGTAGCTAGTGAGTAAACATTTGTCAATCATCCATCCAGCTTCGTCAAATGTGAAGCAATACAGACATTTCGTACCTCATTTTAAAGCTCAGAACAGCCTGAATTGAGTCAATCAATTTTGGAGAACTCAAGTGGCCCTCTTTCTTACAAGTTTGGACACCCCTGCTCCAAGCTAATAGATATAGGATTTTTGACACTCACCATAGTTGCTAGAAAATACTTTTCAGCTGCCCTTCACTATAATGTTAAACTTTAGGCTCTTAATACTGTCATGTGGATCTGTGTGAACCCTGTAATAATAAAGCCTGAATCCTTTGCACCTCTGTCAAACTGCAGCGTCTTCTCTCCTCCGAGCTCGATGCCGCCTTGGCCGATGAACGGGATCTTGGCTGTGATACTGCCGGTGATTCCGATCATGGTTCCACGACCGATGTTCCACGACGTCTCCAGCTCGGTGGTCTTGCGCAGAGTCACGGTTTTGGACACGGACTGGCATTCGTTGTTGGTCACCCCGGAGATCTGCATGGTTTCAGGAGGATACTGGAAAATGGCCGCTTCGTCAATGGCGTATTTGACGTCGGAGATGTGCTGGGTGTACATGTCCCGGTTTATGGTCAGCACCTGGGACAGAGCAACATCTCACTTTGTTTAATCAGCAGAGGAAGAACTCAAAACACATTCAAGACACTATGTCCTTAAGTCCTTTTAGCCTGTGGAACATGTTAGAACAACTCAATTATGGCCTAAAAATATTTATGGTAGAAGTTCTCTTTAATAGTTCAGGAAGGTTCCTCTCAAAATAAGGTAATAACATCGCTATCTGACAATTTGCCAGAAACCAAATAACCTAAGAAGTTCCCTTACTTTTACTTGGGCAAGACACTTCACCCGCCTGCGTACACTGATCTACTGCAAATGGAGACACTTTGCCCGTTAGGAAAAGTGCAATATTGTAACTTGAGCCCTATCTTTCCCTCTTTCCTACTTAATCTATTGCTGCTTTATTGATTTTCACCCACTATCCCATTTTCCATTTCATGGCGTGATGATGGGACCCCTGAACCTGGCCTTTTCGACCCGCACCTGTGGACTGATCACCCAGACTCATGTGCTGCACCCCCCTCCCTGCTTCTGTCCTGGATCTACTGGTCTATTTTATAATATTTTTGTTAGACCAAAAAAGTAAATATTTCACAACAGAACAACATTCAGTGAGCAGACAGAAGCACGCTATGTTTCTGGGAAAAGATTATTCTCAAGAAGAAGGTGATACCTGGTATTTCTTGTACCAGTACTCATCTCCCTCCCAGGGCAAGAAGAAGGCCTCGAACTGCGGAACGACTTTCCCCAGGCCGTACTTGTTCTTGCCCACGTAGATGCCCACGTTGGCACAGGTGCGGACTGAGTGCTTGGGCACAGAGCCGTAAGAGTCATCCTTCCACTCCAGGAACTCGAAGTTGTCTTTGTTGGTGAGGATCTGGAACTCTGGGGCATAGTACTCGCGGTCGCCGTAGGGGTAGCGGCAGTACGGGCCCAGCTTTGGGTTGTAGAAGCCCGCCTCGCACTTGTACTTGCACACGTAGTCGGTGCGCTCCGTGTAGCCGTTGTAGATGGACATGGCGCCATTGGGAATAGAACCGTCAAACTCCTTCCACTCCAGGTTGACGTTGTCTCCGAACAGGAAGTCCTCTACCTGGAGCTGTTCCAGAGAGGGCGGGGCCAGGGCAGAGGGCAGGGAGGAGCTCAGGGGGAACTCAGGGACTCGGCCCTCAAGCTCCGGGTTCAGCAGAGAGGCTGAGAGAGAAGGAGGAGGTTTACATGAGCCATTGTTCTTTATTTGTTTGAAACTTGTGTCGCACTTTACTGATAAAAGCACACTCTCTATTTGCTGCTAAATGTTCATTATATGGTATCCTGCACATTGTGACTGTTACTATGTTGGTAACTTTTTATTGAACTGTATTTTAATATGCATGTTGTATGATTGTATTGTCAAGGACCACAGATGAAAAGTAGCATGTAATCTTATTTTCCGTTTGGTGTGTTGCGATTTTGCAAATGAACACATTGCATCAATGCGATCATGCTGCAATTTTTCACCTCTCCTGACGGCGGCGCTCTTCTTCATGATGATGTCCTGAACTTTGGCCGAGGCCAGAGCCAAAGCGACGAGCAGCACAAACCCACTGCAGCGCATCTGAGGAGGCCACATGTGAAAGAGAATAAAACATTTATCTCATAAATATCATCAGCGTCTGGACACATTTCTGTGACTTTTTCAAAACTATTACACAATTTATACATCAGTGCCAACATGCTCTTCAATGTGTGTAGAAGGCAAAACATTTATCAAGCATTTCTTGAGACTTATTATGGATACTGGATATCAAGTAAAACAAAAAACACCTACATTGGACGTGATCAAGGTCCAGCTTTTTGAGTTAATGCAAGAGTCACTAACAATAATACAATGCATGTATTTTAACTAGTTCCTCGCTCTCAAAACTATCGCTAGTTTCCACAGTATCTTTTGTCGTTGGTTAAAGAGAGGACCCCCCTCACTGCCAATCAGATCAAAGTAACATGTTTAAGATGTTTTAATACGATAATGACAGGTGTTGTCTGATTTGCTCACACATTGTAACTTGTATCAATTGCTTTTTAGGACCAATCAAGTTTTCTGAATCTTAAACAAGACTCTTTCTGTTGGGACAAACAATATATTTATGAAACACTCCAGCTTTAATCAGTTGTCATCATCAATGTGGTGGTAGAGTGCGTTTGTGTAACTCACCGTGAAGCCGCTGTTCCTCTGACCTGCTCCTCGCCGCCTCCTTTATAAAACCTGCACCTGTCATAAAGTCCAGCTCTTATCTCAGTCCTGCAGGTGGTTAGATTTCTGTCTTTCCCACCAACTCCTGACCAGAGCCATAGGACTGCAGGGAAATCTCCTCTGCATTTGACCTAAAGCCTCTGAGGAAAGGCAGGGGCTTGGGCTTTTTCAGACGGATCAATTTATCAGAAAACAAAGTAAATCCAGGATGGAGAGTGACAGTTAAAACACTAAGACATGAAAAACAAAAAATAAACATCACAAAACATGGAGTCTGATAAATGCATCAAGGCCACAAGAAGATTATGGCGCTTTCTGCATTGATATGAAAAAGTATCTGAGAAAGTGGAAGTCTGATTTTTAGGTTTGACCAGAACAAATAGAATATAGAAATGACTGAAGATCACATGGAACACTGAGTGCAGACCAGTTTTCCAAATCCAATGAATCTGACAATTTGTCCAATGAATTGTTGAAACAGCCTGGTACGTTCCCAGTGCTCTGCAATCTTTTATTCAAGTGCAGATCCTCAGGTTCATGGACCACAGAGGACCAGCCTTCTCAGCTGTGCATATACTCTAAGAAATAAAGAGTTGGAATTCATTAAGTCCAAGAATATTGTTAGATTACTGTTATATTACACATTGATACATAGGGACTTAATTCATTCATTCCAACCTGACAGCTTAGTAGAAAAAGTGGCTTAACATTATCAATCAAATCCAGTACACATTATATAGTATACATAATCCTCCAGTGTTCTTAATGAAAGACTGGGTTGTTTTCTGGAATAATATCGTACATTTAGTTTGAAATTTTCAGAAAGTGTTTACTGTGTCCATCCGGACTTGCTCTGTTTTCAGTTATTACAGATGGGCAGAGATAATACTGCTCAACGCTGATCAAAGCCATTTACACAAAATCTGTTTCTTATTCTATGAAGATGACTTCTGTCTTTGTTTATGTGGTTGGGACAGTGCATGTTAATGAACACACCCCTCCGGAGGTAGCCTTGGGTTCATATGTATCCGTTGTCCCACAGTCACTCTCACAAACACAAACTCATTCACCCTTAACTATTGTACATGTTTTTCTGTGTCTAGATGTACTTCAACCACTAAGTTCAGTTTTGTGCTGGAGGTGGAGCACCATGTCTGAGAGGTCAGACTGGAGAGGTCAGACTGGAGTGGTCCTCCCCAGATCGCCTGGAGATGAAGACGCTCAGACAGCATCTTCTCTGCACCTTGTGTTAGTATCTATCTTTCATCCTAATTTGTCTTTATCTTTGTCTTTACTTATTATTTTTTCTACATTCAAATACATGTACTCCTTATTAGTTAGCCATTATTGGTTTTATGTATCACATAATTTTTTGTTTTTGTTTTGTTTTACAAAAAGCTTGTAAATCTTAAGTTAAATATACTACTCCCATAGATTCATCACTCTCTCGGAGACATGCTACAGTCATTCTATTTTCACAGATGTCCACCAGAGGGGGCTCTTAGCATGAATTTAATATGGAGGCAGCGCAACTGTAATTTCAACCCAAACAACATGATCAGTGTTGGGTTACTTTGAAAAAGTAGTTAGTTACATAACCGGTCTCCGGAAAGTAACTTAGTGCTCCCTTATATCTTCAATTCAATTAAATACTTTTGTGTCGCCCTAAATCACAACAGTTGTCGTCTCAGAGTACTTTACAAAGTTGTCGAACAGATAAGAGAACTAAACAGTTTGAACACAGGAAATGCAATGATAAGAAACATATATGAGCCACTGATCCATAGTGAGCGGGATGACCAATATCCACAAATGTTAATAAATGTCCTTTAACGTCCCAGATCCTCACTGTCCATCTGCAAGGAACAACTCTATATTTTCTTCTCGCAAGGTTTGAAATTACAACTTAAAATTGAAGAATATCTTATTTAAAGACTGTCAAAATATACAGTGGTCAGGTAATCTTGCTGAAATATTTTGGAGTGAAATAGTAACATTGTTTAAGTGGCAATAATCATGAACAATCATCATTATATGGTGTATTTCAATCATAAACCCAAAATGTGATGTTTTGCCGTTCATAGAAATAAGCCATGTATTGTATAATAAATACAATCTAACTATCTGGTCATATTCAAACCTCCCTTCACACAACAGTTACCATCAGATCATGAACAAACCAGTTGCTCAGGTCACTCAGTCACCGTACAAAAGCAACTTTAAATATTTATTGATAACTGCCACTGCTCTAATAGTTATTAGTGAGTTTGTGGTGTTTGTTTAGTGTTATAACTGGGTATTCTCTCAGAAATGATCATAGGACACTGTCAAAGTAAAGTCAATAGACAAACGGCAACTAATGAAATAATGGAAGAAACAGTTAAAAAGGAAAGATAACTCCATCAGAGGAAACTGTTAAAAGGTTCCCACATAATCTTAGCAAAATCACTTGAAAGAATAGATAAGAACAAGTCAGACAGATTTAAATATCCACTTCCTCTTTTGACTCTCTCATATCAGGTAAGTTTAAGTAAAGCCCAGTATGATCCAAGTCCAGGTTGGTTTGAGTACAGTTGGGTAGAAAAGTGCCTGAGAGAACCATTAGGGAGACCGGCCCCTGCATCAATAAAACATGACAGCATTCTGTCCATTTATCTGCAGCACATAGACTCAACCAGGACTGAAGCAGGGACTGAAGCAGGGACTGAAGCAGAGACTGATGTAGGGACTGAAGCAGAGACTGAAGCAGAGACTGAAGCAGAGACTGACGTAGGGACTGAAGCAGAGACTGAAGCAGAGACTGACGTAGGGACTGAAGCAGAGACTGAAGCAGAGACTGATGTAGGGACTGAAGCAGAGACTGAAGCAGAGACTGATGTAGGGACTGAAGCAGAGACTGAAGCAGAGACTGAAGCAGAGACTGATGTAGGGACTGAAGCAGAGACTGAAGCAGAGACTGAAGCAGAGACTGACGTAGGGACTGAAGCAGAGACTGAAGCAGAGACTGACGTAGGGACTGAAGCAGAAACTGAAGCAGAGACTGATGTAGGGACTGAAGCAGAGACTGAAGCAGAGACTGATGTAGGGACTGAAGCAGAGACTGAAGCAGAGACTGATGTAGGGATGAAGCAGAGACTGATGTAGGGACTGAAGCAGAGACTGAAGCAGAGACTGATGTAGGGATGAAGCAGGGACTGATGTAGGGACTGAAGCAGGGACTGAAGCAGAGACAGAGGCAGAGACTGAAGCAGGTCTGGGCGGCATGGTGGTGCAGTGGTTAGCGCTTGTGCCTCACAGAAAGAAGGGTTCAATACCACCTCCAGACCTTTTTGTGTAGAGTTTGCCAGTTCTCCCTGAGTCTGCGTAGGTTTCCTGTGGGTCTGAACCATGTCTGAAAGAGTACTGAACCAAAACAAAACTAGGACTGAAGCAGGACTGAACTAAGACAGAACTAAAATTTGGAATGGAGAAAAAGTCCCCAGAATTTTGCATGAAATGAAGCTGAAATAATTGAAATCCTCAACAAATTGATCGCTATGTGAGTATTGACAGAAAGTTACAAAAGTATCCATAGTTACTGTACACATGGTCTTGTCCGCTGGTATCTGGAGGTACTGCTTTTGTCTGTGTTATATATTTTTGTAGTTGATGTGTTGTGACCCGTGTCGCCCGCAGCGCTCTGATTCACCGTTTGCCAGCGCACCTGACAATATGCTAATGATCTATATGCTAATGAGCTTATGCATATTTATGAGGCTCAAAGGACATTGGGGACGACAGCTGTAGCAAAGGATCATGGGGAAATGGTATAACTTCACTTTGAGGCAAACTTCAGCAAAGATGATGTCATAAATAATCCACCCATACTGTAAACCCTAACTTCAATTGTACTTCAGATATCAAAGTTATTTTAAATAGATTTTTTCCAGTAAGTAGACGTGTAGAGTCTTTAATGAGGCAGGTGTGAAAATGGCAGGGTGGCCTGGTGCCTGAGTGGGTAGCCCCATTACCTCTCAACTACAGGGTTCTGAGTACGAATCCCGGTCGGATCATAAGTAGAAATGTAATCTTTATTGCAATCACCTGAGTTTACTTGGTAATATCAAGTAAAGGATGTACTCGAGGAATTCAAGTGAAGTTAATACGCAATTTATTTCCATGGTTTTTTCAAGTAAACTTTACTTGTCAGGGTTTACAGTGAAGAGTCACAACTATTCTGAGATTCTAAATTCTAGTTCACAGAAGAGAAGACACTGTTGAGTGACTTTGCCTGTTTTTTATCTGTGTACTGTTTGTCTCGCTCAAATATGATTGCAGCATGTTGGTCATAAGTCACTAGAGATTGAAGAATTTTACTGGACTATATTACTTCAGAAAATTCAGAAATTCTGCTTCAGAAAACACATATGGCACTTTTTAGATTTATCCTGGTCATTAACAATCATACAATAAGAAAATAAACAGCAAAATGAAGTCCTATTGAACTCTCCAGAGCTAAACATGTAATCATTAAAAAAGAAAATATCACAAATCTCTCCACTTTTGCAAAGAGTAACGGTACAAACAATATTTATTTTTAATTTTGAGACTGAGTTTGTTATTGAACGATTGGTCAGTATAGCTATTATTTTAGACATGCATTCTCTTCACATGCTCCTTAATAAAACAGTACATAACTTTAGGTGAAAATCACATGAATGTTTCCATTGAAATAAAAAGTAAAACCATAGTCCTTGTGAATGATTTCTTTCAGCTCAGAAATAAAAAAGGGCAATAGTAAGGGTGATAATGATAGCGAACATAAATAAAACAGGGCAAGTGGAGAGGGCCTATCAATGAGGGTGAACAACCTGGAGTTGTTAGGCCCCACTAATCCACTTTTTTAATGCACCACTATCACAGGAACATACACAACATAAGTATTGTTATTGTCATTGTTGTCAAATACCTATTTATTTATTCTTTTTGTACGATGTTTCTTTATTGTTAGTTGCCGTTTTGTTGTCATTATTATTGTGTTTTGGTCTATATATTACTATATATTACAATATATACATATTGTTGGGCAGTAAGATGTCAAACCACTTCACTTACTTAAT